CCTGGGAGTAGCCACCAGAACAACAGAAATATACTTCTAGACCAAGAGATAGTGTGTATCCACACTGTGGAATCAATGCAGTTTGATTCCAGTTTAATGCCATGGCTCAGTGCTATGGAATCCTGGGATTTTGGCCATGCACCAGCATTTTTTTGGCAGAGAAAGCTAAAGGTTTTGTAAAACTCCCAGAATTGCATACAATTGACCCATGGTATCAAACAAAATTAAAGCTACAGTGTAGAGCAGGCACAGGCAAACTTTGGCCCTCCAGGTGTTTTGGGCTTCAACTACCACAATTCCGCTTAAGCGGCTGAGGGGGAAAAGGAAGGGGCCCGAGGCTGTTCAAAATTGTGGGAGTTGAAGTCCAAAACACCTGGAGGGTCAAAGTTTGCCCATGCCTGGTATAGATGCATCCATAGTCGTCCCTGAAAATCTCAGAAACTCACATAGGCCTTTGATGACTGAACCAGGCAAGACAAAAGACTGAATCCTCTTGGTTCAGTCATACAAAAGGCTTATACGTAATAGCAGGTTGAATTATCCCTGGAAGCAGACTTGTTTCCATTGAGGCTGTCATAATGTGCTGGACCAGTTGGAGGTTTGAAATACCTTTCAAATGCACTCCTATGTGCACTGGCGCTATACAATGTTGTTATAGCCTGAAAAGAATGTATTTGCAAATGTATACCTGGACACCTACAAAAATCTGGGGTTTCTTCATGTTACACCATTATAGTGCTATTCTTTCGCCTCTATTGTTTCTGAAAATCCCAGGATTCCATACGACAGAGTCAAAGTGGAGTTGTCATCCAGATTCAAGAATGAGCACATCCAAGTTGTGACCCTGAGTCTTCAAGGGGAGTGTTGCTTATCCAGAAGATATAGAATCGCTGTAGTCAATCTGTCCAACTCAAGATATATCCTGTAGCAAGATACATATACTCCAGGTATAGCTATAATTCAAGGTCTTTGTTTATGACAAGTAGGAGCAGTAGCAAACAACAGATCCAAAGTGTAATATCTAAAATTCGGAGGGCCTACTAGGCTGAAGTTGCACCCTGACGCTAACATTTTTAAATTGGCTGGATGTCTAACTCGGTTTGCATAACATGGTTTCAAGTATTATTTATTGTTTATGTTTTTTTACTGTTCATTTTATTTTAAACTGGGGGTTTGATGCATGTTCAATGTATTTTCCTTGGTTGTTTATTTTTACTGATGTAGTTTTAATTCCACTGTGTTCATTATATGTTGTTTGTACTGTTGCTTTTGTGAGCCACCCCAAGTCCCCTTGAAGAGATGGGGGCGGGATATAAATAAAGATTTATTATTATTATAAGATAATGTTCCATTGAAGTCAAACAAAGGCCTTGAATCACATTGGGGGAGATAATTATGTCTCTGCTTTCTTTTTCTTTTCAGGTAGACACTGAATATTATGTGCAAAGATCTATGCAAGAAACCATGTGAAAACTAGAAGCATGATATCACCAGCAAGACTTTGCCAGAGTTGATTCTGGTCCATGAAACAGCAATGGGTCTTTCCAATGTGTGGGCATTAGATCGCCCTGGATTCAGCCCAATTCAGCTGTCCACACATCAAAAATACCAGGGTTACTCTGGAGTTTCCAGGAAGTTCAGAGAAACCTGCATTTCTTCTTGTAAAGACTAGGGCCCCTTCCACACAGCTCTACAAAACCTACATTGAATTGAATTATCTGGCAGTGAGGACTCAGATAATCTAATTCGAATCCAGGGAGTGGGCTGAGCTCTCGTCTGTCAGCTCCAGCTTCCCATGTAAGGACATGAGAGATGCCTCCCACAGGATGGTAAAACATCAAGGCATCCCCTGGGCAACATCCTTGTAGATGGCCATTTCTCTCACACCAGAAGTGACTTACAGTTTCTCAAGTTGCTCCTGACACGTAAAAAAAAAAACCCAGTTCAAAGCAGATATTGTGGATCATCTGCCTTGGTATTCTGTGATATTATATGGCTGTGTGGAAGGGCCCTACAAAAAAAACTTCTGCTCTAGAACTGGCCGTACATTACCTGAACTGCTCACAGCAGGTGAAAGGAGAGAACCTTTTATTTAGCCCATGCAGAAATGTACTCAAAACAGTAAAATTACTATAGGTCACTTCACAAGGATTTGAGCTGACTGCTGAGATCCAGGGCAAGGGTCAACCCTTTGTTGCAGGCAGCAAACAGTGCTATAGAAAACCTTACAAAATACTTCCCCTTTTGAATTCTGACATAAATCTTGATGGTAAGATACAGTGATTTGATTCAGTAAGATGTTTGTTCCTAAGTAAATGTGTGGATGTTCACAACATTAAAAAACAGCATTATTATATAACCATTCTAACAAGTATTTATATTTTTAGCTTTGTTTAAAATGAAGCTTATGGACCAATGACATTTTTAAAAAGTGCATTTTGAAATGCTTTTTTACATGTCAAAAGTACAATTTTGCTTTTACAGTTCCTATTGAGTTCTATAAACACAGCTTTCTCAGTCAATTGCCCTGGTTCAAGAAGGGAAGGCAAATCTCATAATTCATTCCATTTCAAAGATCTTTTGCAATGTTTCAAATCACAAGAGATCTATATGTAAGCCACTATTACAGTAATTCATTTTACCCCTATAGGCAGGACAGCAAATAGGCCCACACTCTATGAAATTGCTTATGATTGTTAAGAAATAGAAGTCAATAATATCCATGGTTACATATCACTCAAGTACAATATAACACTTTCTTGCCTTTGCATACCAATGAGAAGAATGTCTCTTTGAAGCTTTAGAGGGCCAATTCTAGGCAGCAAAATTTGCAAGCAACTCATTCAGAACTGTGTTCAGACAACACAGGTTTCAATTCTCTTGCTGTTTGTGCATGCATGTATATCTGTGTTATGTATGTGCCCATGTTTGAAAGAAGATGAAAACCACTTTGGAAAATCAGATCATTGACCCATCTATCCAGTTCCATGATTTCAGGCAAGATTCTCTCCAAAACCCACTTAGAATCTCATGCAGCATTCATTCGAAGAGATAACGAAATTTAGTTTCTAATCTCAGAAACTGGACCGTTCTCTGACCTACAAGAAGCACTGCCTGAATATCAAGCAAAAAGTGGGTGCTAGAAATAATATCATACAAAAGCTGACTGGCACAACCTGGGGATCACAACCAGACACAGTGAAGACATCTGCCCTTGCGCTTTGCTACTCTGCTGCTGAGTATGCATGTCCAGTGTGGAACACATCTCACCACGCTAAAACAGTGGATGTGGCTCTTAATGAGACATGCTGCATTATCACGGGGTGTTTGCGCCCTACGCCAATGGAAAAATTACATTCTTTAGACCGTATTGCACCACCTCACATCCGCTGGGAAATAGCAACCAATAGTGAAAGGACCAAGGCAGTGACATCTCCGGCCCATCAGCCAGTATGCAAATGCCTTAAATCAAGAAATACTTCTCTAACATCTACAGAGACACTCGCTGGAACACCTCAGCACACAAGAGTCCAAAAGTGGCAGGCTAAAACCCAGAACATCAATCAATAGCTGATCCCAAATGAGAGACTCCCTCTTGGGCACACAGAAGACTGGGTGACGTGGAAGGTGCTGAACAGACTGCACTCTGGCACCACAAGATACAGACCCAATCTTAAGAACTGGGGCTACAAAGTGGAATCCACAACATGCGAGTACGGAGAAGAGCAAACCACAGACCACCTACTACATCAACCTGAGCCCTGCCATTTGCACAATGGAGAGCCTTCTTATAGCAACACCAGAGGCACTCCAAGTAGCTAGCTACTGGTCAAAAAACATTTAATAGAATGCCAAGTTTGCAAACTTTGTGGGTTTTTTTAATACAATACAACTGTTTGGTTCGCTCCTGACATGATAAATAAATAAATCTCAGATGAGATAAAATATGTTCAGGGTGATATGGTGGTATATATTAGTTTAAATTATTTTAGGCACTACAGTATTTCTACAATGGACTCTAGGCATGTCATGGACAGTGGGTTGAGTCAACATAGTGCTTACCTGGCCTTTTTCTCTTGTTTGCTATACACAAACAAGAGAAAACTCTGAAATGAAGTCCTTCTTACAAGAAACCTTCCGTCCTTAGTTCTAAAGTGATCACCTGGAAAGAGATACTGGAGTGCTGTCACACCAAAGGCAAAACATGTCAATAAAATATGCAAGTCTGTAACAATATTGACTTGGTACTTTCCATAGGTTGCATTCAGATTTAGTCATGCTTAGAGCAGAGCCACTAAAATCATTAAGATTTAGGCTTGCTGTAACTAACTGTTAAGTTCCATTGATTTCATGTCCATACTTAAGAGGACAGGAGAGAAATGGGCCTGTGCCACAACTGTGATAAACTCTCAAGGCATTCGTTTTCAAAGCTATATGCCTACTGAAGTCACAGGGACTTTGAAAGAAGCAAGGTCTGGAGTGTATTGTGTATATATGCAGTAATTTTTGGAAAGACATAGGCCAAGGTCCCAGCCCCTTTTAGTGTAACATAAATTAATGGATACCACTCCTGCATAATAATTATATAGTGTGTAATATGGTTTGGCTCTTTTGTATGCTTTTGTGCTCCTGCAGAATAGTACAACTACTCATCCAACTATTCTATACTAGAATAGCAACCCAATAGGACTCTGGACACAAGACCCAAATTCTAGAAAATGTATGCAAACTTTTGTTTGTTTTGAAAGCACTTCTGCACATGGATAGCTAGTTTTTGCTTTTTCAAGACAGTTTAAAATACTAGTAATAGAATCATAGAATCATAAAGTTGGAAGTGAACTCGTGGGCTGTCCAGTCCAACCCCCTTCCAAGAAGCAGGAAAATTGTATTCAAAGCATCCTTGACAGATGGCCATCCAGCCTCTGTTTGAAAGCCTCACCATAGTGTTATTTATAAATAGACCTCTGTATCAGGAAATGGGCTCCGTCATGCACAGCATCAAAGTTCTAGAATTTGGAGTTTACTGGTGAGAAGAAAGCAATTATAGCATTTGCTACATGATCTGTCCTCGGGCCACACAAGTACATCACAGACATGTTGAATAATTAAATGAGTACATAATCACTGCAAATATGAAATAGATGGCTACAGCAATAGAAACAAAAAGTTGGAAGGTATGGTAAATCAGAGTTGCTTGAAAAACCTGAGAGCTATTCCAAGTCCAGAGTACACATTATGATAAATGTACTTTAAAAAAAGACATGTCTCAACTGAGCAATTTTATTTTAAAGCAAAAAAATAAAAGCTATTCAACCCCATTCCAGAAAATACTCTTGCTTTGACTAATGGCCTGCATATAAAAATCCTGCTATGCCCAACTTCAAATTACTCTCAAAGTTGTTCTCTGTTCTGGAGATTGTTTTCTTCTTCAGAAAAAAAATTACAGGTTTACCCTTATTTTTTCAAGTTAAGCATTTTAAAGTGTTGTTGAAATGAACAGTGCTTATGAATTGTGACTAACCTGCCCTTCTATTTTAATGGGAATACTCTAGATACCGTATATACCAGGAATAGCCAAACTTAGGACTGGTATATACTCTTGTATAAGTTGACCTCAAGTATAAATCAAGGGCAGATTTTGGGCCAAAAACCAGGGATTTTAATATGACCCATGGGTAAGTCAAGGGTCATTCTGTGGCAGAGGTAGGTGCCAGCACCCCTTCAGGAAGCAAGATACACCCCCCCACACACACACACACACACACACCGGCTGCGCCACCACCATTTTCTCTTCCATGCATTTGAAAAGACCAGAAGCAGCCACACAGCAGCAAGAGTAAAAAGAGTCAGTGCTTCTTCTAGGTTCTACACAGGCAGATTAAGCTTTTGCTTTTTCCTGTCTTTAGGAGAGATTGATGTGTGTGTGTGTGTGTGTGTGAATTAAGGTACAGTCCTTTCATTGAGCTATAAATAAATTGACCCAGTTCTTTGGAGTTGATTTTAAAACTACAATTTTTACACTTATACATGCATATGTAAAGTAGTTCTAATGTTGGATACATAATCAGCCCTCTGCATTTGCTGGCTTGACTGGCCATCCATCAGGAGTGCTTTGATCATGGTATGGTAAACAGTTTGACTGGATGGCCCTTGTAATTTTTTCCAAATCTATTATTCTGTGATTATTCAAGGATTTGGTAAAAGTGTTGTCTCTTTAAACTCTATATCAATGCTTTCCAATCTGTGGTCCATGGACTACCAGTGGTTTGCAAGAACAAAAATATGGTCCACAGCCTCACCACTACTACACCGTTGCCTCAAAACCACGCAGCAATGAGAACGACTGGTCTCATGAAACCCTCTTATAGTGCCGAGCAAATGGGGATGTCGGGAGGGGAGAGGCTAACTACCCACACAAAATTACTACTACTACATCAGCTCTAGACTATCAAATATGGTTTTCTGTGAGCACGCAGGTGGTGAGTATTGGATGGCATGTGTTCTGTATCAGAAACTAGAGCTGATTTTCGGAATCAGCAGCCCAAACAACCAAACTGAATCTAAAGTTAACAAAAAACTGATTTTAACACTTTTGGTACTAATGTTGGAGAGTGGTCCATGGTCAAAGTGATCCCTGATCAAGTGATCCCTGGTCAGAAAAAGGTTGAGATACATTGCTCTAAATCCTCTGTGGTCAACTTCTGGAAGAAGCTCACAATGGGATCATGATGGAGGGTCTAGAGAGGAATTTCTAGGTTCTCTGCTTTATTTTATGGTCAGTTTGGGTGCAAGTTGAACTTCAGCTCCCATAAATTTTCACCATTGGTATTCCTGGCTGGAAATACTAGAAACTGAAGTCTAACTGCATTCTTTGGTTTATTTCCTAAATGATTTTACAATATTCTTGAAAACATTTACAAATTCCTTTTCCTATCATCTTCTGCAGTGTTGTCCAATAACTTGCATGTAATGAAATAAAATGAGAGTTGTGAAACTCTTGTACATTTTTGACAGGAAGTAGATGAGGGATGGATTCAATGTGATGTGCTTATCTTTTAACTCTGTAGCTTCAAACTACCTTTTCTTGCAATGAATAAATAGGAGGGAAAAGAGTGCAAACAATAGTAACCTTAATAAATAAATCTTGCATAATGCAAATTCCTCAAGTAAACGTACAAAGGGAAATTGACACTTAGAAAAGTGAAATGCAAAAAACAAAAGGCTTGGAGCGAGATATAACATGTAACTCCCATTTCTTTTAACCTTTTACCCTTCTCCCTTCAGGGAAAAAAAACGTTAACCATTAATGATTGTATGTCAAAATAGGTGACGTTTAAAACACTGTATAAAGCCATGCAGGTGACTTAGAATTCATCATGTTTTCTTCTAAAAGGCCACTTGGAGTGTTTTGAAACATGGTCGGCTGCCAAAAGTACGAGGTGGACAAATTCTTCCACGCCGAAGGAGTAATTTGTAAACTTTGGGTGCTTTCCTAGTGTTGGATGATGGCCCTGAAGAAAGGAAGTTAAAAATAGTTATAAGGAAGCAAGTAAGTCAGCTCTTTTGCTGGGAAACAAGTGGCAACTTGAGTAATTATTTTAATTCATAATCACTGATTCATTGATCGACCCCAGAGCAACGACGTCAGTAGGAAAACACCTAACAGCAATGTTATTGACAATCTGAACTAACAGCCAATTAATTTTACTTCTCTTCCTCCCCCAGCTTTTAATATAAAATGACTTCTTAATCAGAGCAGAGAATTTAATTTGGACTGTAGCAGCAGAATCATATTTCATGTGGAAGAACTGAGAAGGGTAAAACATTTTACACAAACCAAAACAGGGTGAGTTATTTCCATCCAATGCACTACCTCGTCCTGGGGGAAGACTTTGTCCTTCTTTTCCCAGGTGATGTAATGGACGCCTCGCAGCCTTGCTAGATCCAAATAGCAGCGTTCATCCTCACAGTTGTACCTAGAAAAAGACAGACAAGATGAGGACTTGTTAGGAAAATAATTGCCTGTGTTTTGAAGTAGGAAATTAAAAATGGGAATTGGGGAGAGGAAATGTCTGCATGAAAATTTTTAGAAGGAAAATGTATTGTCAAAGGTTTTCATGGCCAGAATCACTGAATTGTAGGTTTTTCAGGCTATATGGCCATGTTCTTTAGAAGGGACCTTTTTAGTAATTTTACCAGCTAGCTTTTTAAACAGAGTCTAGATGGTCATCTGTCAGGGGTGATTTGATGAGCGGTGGTGGCACAATGGGTTAAACCCTTGTGCCGGCTGAACTGCTGACCTGAAGGTCGGTGGTTCAAATCTGTGAGATGGGGTGAGTTCCCATCTGTCAGCCTTAGATTCCCATGTAGAGACATGAGAGAAGCCTCCCACAGGATGGTAACACATCCGGGTGTCCCTGGGCAATGTCTTTGCAGATGGCCAATTCTCTCACACCAGAAGCGACTTGTAATTATCTCAAGTCGCTTCTGTCATGAAGAAAGGACTGATTTGACTGTATTTTCTTGCATAGCAAGGGAGTTGGACTGGGTGGCCCCAGTGGTCACTTCCAACTCTAGGAGTCTATTATTCTAAGAGATAAGACTATGTATTTTGCCTTAAGGCTGCCCAGTGGCTAGGAGGTATCCAAACAAAGCTAAAATGCAGCATGATCACACAACTGGTGAAGAATGAACATTTCTTCAAGCAGCACATAATAGGTTTGATAGCTACCATCACTGAAAAGACCATGCTATATCTCTGCACACATCTACTAAGAGACAGTGTGGAAACCCTCTTTGGAGTAGGAGATCGTATCCTATGTTCACATAAATCCATGAAGAAATATGAAACATACAAGTATAACAATGACAGGCAGGCTTACAGTTCGAAGATGACAGCCCAGTCTGGCAGAAAGAGGAGATGGGTGAGACCAGCTCCATGCATTCCTATGAATATATCCGAATTGTGTGTAATCTTCAGTTGCTCCACAAAGTCAAGCTCTCTAAAGAAAGCACATGAAAATCATATCCAACATGTATGTGTGAGGCAAAGTGCATAGTACATAATTCACAAATTGCTGTAGGATTGGTAAAGGTATCCAATAATTCTATGGTGGAAAAAATAGATAACACATTAAAATTAAGGATCTCCTTGCAGCAATGATGCTGAAGAAATTAATAGGGTAACTTGGAAAGAGACCATTAAGCAGTGCAATGTTTCTACTTTTTGAGATTCACCTTATTTACAATCAATCCATTGCAGATTGAATCTCAAAATTCTTGGGACCAAAAATAAATTTTGGGCTTACCTGTATTGGCACATATGTATATGATGAGATATCATGGAGACAAGACTCAAATTTAAAGACAAAATTGACTTATGTTTCATATACAAATTTTACACTTTGATAATTTTATACACACGATTTTAAATACTTTTGGTGCATGAAATAAACTTTGTGTACACTGAACAATCTGAGTGTAATGTGGATAATTTTGGATTTTAGAGTATTCTGGATTTCAGAATTCTGTGTATTACTCTATTGCACTTAGCAACAATAACCAAAAGTTGTTGCTTCGTGTTTTCAGATTTGTATTTTAAGCCACCACAATATAATTGTATTGTGATTGCCGAGGACTTACTAAGCATGCTTGGCACACTGTTTTAAAAGCTCACAAAATACTGATAGGACTTGCATCAAAGTAACTGGCTAATATCCAAAAATGGGTCTGAAGTGACAGAAAGTACTTCCTCTTTGATCTTTGTTGATTTCCCTCCTCATCTGATGCACCTTATGCCTCTGAAAAGCTACTCTTGAGGACTGGGGAATCTCTGGCTCAACATGGCACAGAGAACTCCAGCAGGCAAAACATAAAAACCAACATTCCTATCTGTGGACTACATTGACAGATAGATGAAAAGCCCGCTATGAAGGACATGCATGATTGCTACTGCTTGCTAATATACTTACTTGTATTTATAATTCACTATTTGGACCTCAAACAATGACAGTGTTTTCAAGGCGTTGGCAAGCTAGGAAAAGGAAGGAACCAAAATGTTAGTCTGGTATTATTATTCCTCTTTCCCCACTTCTCCCAATTCCCTCTGTTCAGAAGGGTTGCTTTGTGTCCACCATTAAACAGAAAACCTTTACTTAAGAGAGAAATTATCCAACCTCGTTTTGGTTCAATATCTTCCGATATTCTGTACTTCGGGCAAGTATAGTAACCCTGATTTTCCCATCCTATGGAGGAAGAAGAAAGGCAGCAAAATAAATTTGCTTGCATCAAGATGAGGAGAAGAAAGACCAGCTGACAATGAAAAAATGAGTGGCCTTAATGGAAACAATTAGCAGAGTGATTAAAATGTCTTTTCTTTTTAATCACCTCATTTGTACAACACACAGGAGAGCCACACACTCTTTAAGAGAAGTCTTAAGACAGATGTTTATAGTGTGCAATTCTGTCCACACTCTTTCCCAAAAGACAATATTTGCAACCAACAGCTGAGCCATTTAAACCCATATTCTTTAGGCAGCCATCCTCAAAATCCATAGAATATTTCTGTGTTAAAAAACAAAAGGGCTTTCAAATTGTTTACCAAATGGATTAGGTAACTATCACAAACTATGGCTGAATCCATGAAAAATATATGTAATTACAACACATACAGTGGGCTATATAAAAAGGTAAAGGTTTCTCCTTGACATTAAGTCTTGTCGTTTCTGACTCTGGGGGTTGGTGCTCATCTCCATTTCTAAGCTGAAGAGGCGGCACCCACATCACCAAAACATAAATATACAGTTTAACAGCAGTATAATAATAACAGGATAAAACAGTGTAAAACAGGACAAAACAATATAAAACAGTATAAAAACAATCAAGCAGTCAGCGTTCACCGGTTTGAATCATCATCCAAGGGGCAGTCAGTCAGTTCTATATAATTTGTCTTGTCAGCCAGTCAGCCTAATCTACAAAAGCCTGATCCCATAGCCAGGATTTTACTTGGTTCCAGAAGGTCAATAGGGATGCAGCAGATCTAATTTCACTCGGGAGGGAGTTCCATAGCCAAGGGGCCACCACAGAAAAGGCCCTGTCCCTTGTCCCCGCCAGACGCGATTGTGACAGTGGGGGAACTATGAGGAGGATCTACTCAGATGATCTTAGGGCCCTAGGTGGGTCATAGTGGGAGATACGTTCAGACAGGTAAACTAGGCCAGAACCATTCAGGGCTTTATAGGCCAATGCCAGCACTTTGAATTGTGCGCGGAAGCCGATAGGAAGCCAGTGGAGCTGGTGTAACAAGGGTGTTGTGCCCTCCCAGTACCCAAACTCGGTAAGCAACCTGGCTGCCGAGCGTTGGACTAGTTGAAGCTTCAGAGGCAACCCCATGTAGAGTGTGTTGCAGTAGTCTATTCGGGATGTAACAAGAGCGTGACCACCATGGCCAAGTCAGACTTCCCAAGGTATGGGCGTAGCTGGCGCACTAGTTTTAACTGTGCAAAAGCTCCCCTGGCCACCGCCAAACCTGGGGTTCCAGGATCAGCGATGAGTCCAGGATCACTCCCAAGCTGCAAACCTGTGCCTTCAGGGGGAGTGTAACCCCATCAAGCACAGGCTGTAACCCTATGCCCTGTTCAGCTTTGCGACTGACCAGGAGGACCTCTGTCTTGTCTGGATTAAGTTTCAATTTATACTTTTTGGTCAGTAAGTTCAGCAGCTCAGCAGTTTAACCCACTTCACCATCGGGGGGGGGGGGGGGTCCTAGTCAGCTATATATGGTGTTGGGGGAAAAAAACAGAGGAGAAAAGAGAGAGTTGCCCACTTGCACTGGGATTGCTATTCCCCCCCTAAAGTAAGCATCCCTCCAACCCACAGCAATAAACCATTAAAAAACAGCACAAGATTGTGGTTTAACTGTATGACACCTATTAACAAAGTATTTTCATTGAGCTTAGAATCATAAATTCTTGTCATAAAATGCAATATATGCTACCATTAGTGTTTTAAGGAATTCAAAAGCCTCAACATTGATTTCCCGCACAGGGTAGACACAGTAAGAATATACATGTACCGAAATTAACAGCAAATTAATTGATATTCCCTATCTTTCTGAGAACTAAGATAGCAGACAGGATTCCAAAAGCCAACGGTTCAGTGGATCACTAGACAAACTAGACCCTTCCTGGCTGATTAATAAGGGAAGGTTTTCTGATCACATCAAGGAAAACAATGAAACTCTAGAAGGTGTTTTAGGATACAGGGTGACACCTTCCGACATGGAAGACTTTAATATTGTGGGTTATAATCATTCATGTTTCATACACTCTGTAATATAGGCATGGATCCAGGACAATAGCCACATTTTCAACACACAATTCTGAATATTTCATTCATTGTTGCAAGAGAGTTTGAGTCTGGTATTTCTGTCATCGTAAAAGGCTCACTGGAAACATGAACACTTAAACTACAATGAAACTTTGATTGTGAACGGCAGGAAAAAGATGAACTGCTAATGCTCAAGTTACAAAGGAAGCAAAATTTGAAGCAAGGGATGCCGACGCATGCAAACTCAACTTCACTTGAGTATCAAATGTGATTGTTATAAAATGACAGACTGCAGCACGAATACCTTGGGTCCTTCTTGTGTGACATTTAATCTGTGTAACACATGCTGGGAAAAGGCTCTAAATAATCCGGTACCATGACAGCCAGAGATCTGAAATCAGAGCAGGGAGATAGGAATAAAATGTGCAAATGTGCTCCATTTTTGTTGACGTATCAAAACATAAAACTTTTATCATTAAATCTTTTCACCTAACATGTCCTGATATGAAATTAATACATTTGGATTCAGGATGGTTTTTGAGAGGAGTGGGCAAATACCCACCAGATTTACTCACCAATGGTGTGTTATAAAATAAGCCGTACCTCATTCGAGGCAATAATGTAAAAACTGCTTCTTTGAAGCATACCTGGGAAAGGAAGATAATTAACAAGTTACAGAAGAACTCCTGATGTATAATTAAGAGAGGTGAATATAAAGTAGGGCCTATTAATATTGCAACAGAAACCAGATCAGAGTACTCCAATCTCGAACCGCCCCATGTTAAGTATTGAACAAACGACTGAAACAAAAACAGTATCTGTCACAAAGACGGAAGAATGTAAGAAGAGGAAACTTTGCTCAGTAGGGGCAGAGGATGCTCAGAGGAGCAAAGCATGATAAGCAACATAAGTAAAGGGAAGGAAGATTAAAAGCAACAATGGAAACAGAAATGTGGCTAACGAAAGCACACTTTCATGGCAGCAATAGTTTTCACTTTCAACAACATAAATACATAGATACAGGTTTAATCATGCATCGACATTTGCAGCACATTAATATTGCAGCAAAGGGAGATACCATATATACTCATGTGTATAAGTTGAGGGCAGGTTTTGGAGCCCAAATTATGGATTTTAGTTTGGCGCATGGATAAGTTAAGGGTAAAAGTTAGCCGCATGTAACAACCAAATCTTTGGGTTGCTGTGAGTTTTCCAGGCTGTATGGCCATGTTCCAGAAGCATTCTCTCCTGACGTTTCACCCACATCTATGCCAGGCATCCTCAGAGGTTGAGGGGTCTGTTGGAAACTAAGCAAGTGAGGTTTATATATCTGCGGAATATCCAGGGTGGGAAAAAAGAACTCATCTCTGTTTGAGACAGGAATGAATGTTGCAAATGTTGATTACCATTTAATGGCCTTGCAGCTTCAAAGCCTGGTTGGTTGCTGCCTGGGGGTGTTAGCTGGCCCTGATTGATTCTTGTCTAGAATTCTCCTGCTTTTTGAGTGTTGCTATTTATTGACTGTTCTGATTTTAGAGGTTTTTTTAATACTGGTAGCCAGATTTTGTTCATTTTCATGGTTTCATCCTTTGCCTCTTCTTTTAAAAATGCATAGAGGAAACATATTTAGGAAGAGCTAAAGAGAAAGAGAAGATCTGTTTATCTGAGGAGTTATAATGGGGCATATGATGATATTTCATTACTGATCTTAAAATGGCTACATCTGTACAAATGCAGATAGAGAAAGAAATAAGTGCTTGAAGTGGAGCAGAGGGCTGGCAGTCATTTTTAATAGGGGCTTCTCTGCACAAAAAACTGTGGTAGCCCTTTTAATTGGAGCGCCTATTATGAATAGGGGTGCCTCTATTTAAAAAAGGCCACCATAATTTCTCTGCAGAGAAGTTTATGCAAGGAAAGCCCATCCTTGCAAAGGTTGCTGTTGCTCCACTCTGCCTTAAAGCACCTCAAATTTTTTTCTCTGCCAAAAAACCTCTGCTGATTTAGGCCCAAAAAGAAGATAAGGAAGGCAGCGAGAAAGGAAGGCTACCTCTCTTTCTCTGCTTTATCTGCACTTGATCCCTAGTCCAGCATTGACCAGTGTGTAAGTGAACTCAATTTTTTGGAGGTGACATTTGGTCAAATATTTTTTCCAACTTATGCAAAGATAATTATTCTCCTTATAGAAATATTATAATATCAAGTCTTAGGTGGGCTGTGTGTTATAAATATCTACAATGTTACAAGGATCCAAAATACTTTAGAAGTTTTCTAATATTTTCTTAGAGAAAAGATACACAACTGCAAATAGTTATTTAAAACATAAATATTCAGTTCTGAGCAATGAAACTATTCCTTAACTCTGCAGAGGCCTATAAGTATAAGTGGATAAGATGCCTTCTGTGTATTCCTACCAAAATGGGCAATGCACGTGCAGCCTTAGGGCCCTTCCACACAGCCATATAACTCAGAATATCAAAGCAGAAAATCTCACAATATCTGCTTTGAACTGGGTTATCCGAGTCTACACTGCCATATAACCCAGTTCAAAGCAGATAATGTGGGATTTTATACAGCTGTGGGAGGGACCTTAGTTTGTAAATAAAAACCTTGACTTTCTATAAATTTTGCAGGAATTATTACATCAAAACTTACTAGTCAGGTGACAGCAAACATCTATAAACTTAGTGCAAACTACTATGTTTTTTAGCTTTTGATACAACAGACGTTACATCTATTTCTGCTGACCTCTGATCCCTATTACATCAGAGCAGAGAATGCTCACTTAGTGTTAGTCAGTAAACTAAGAAAATCAACCACGATTACATCATGGTTTATCAAGCAAGAAGGATAGTCCAAACATGGTAACTTTTGTTTTAAAACTCAGTTACATTGCAACAGTAATTTAACTGTTGTAGCTAATGTTATCAAGAGCTGAATGGAAGTTAACATTTCAGATACATGGAACAGTGACATGGCTTAACATACTATGTGCAATTTGCTCTTTAAAAAAAGTATTTCATACTCTTTTTGAATCATATGATTTCAAGTGCACTATTTCATAGTCCGTAAATGCCTTCCATGTTTCACTGAACAAGTCTCCATATCCATAGGCACTCTAGAAAAAAAAAATTAAAATGTTAGCACAAAAAAGGCTTCTGTTGGAAACAACTCAGAATTAATGTCACATTGCACAGGCTTCTCTATACATCCTTAAAGTTCAAATCCTAAAATTGCGTAATAGGATAGGGTTGTGGAACAGTATTTATATTAGATGTTTGGCATGGCCAGTAGCAAGGAAGCATGGGGATTTTTGGCAGAAAACATTTTAAAAAGTTCCCCATCCTTATACCAGATATGCCCGCTAAGCTCAGTGAAACACAAACTATATGTTTCTTTTAGTAGGTGGCATCTAAATACATTGGAAACATGATTTAGACCAGGCATGTCCAAACCCAGCGTGGGGGGGGGGCAGACACGTCCCTTTGGGCTCTTCATCCGAGCTCCCGTCTGCTTTGGCCTCCTCTTCTGTATGCGAACGAAGTGGCCCGCTGCGTCCCCAGACTGAGAGGAGGACCAAGGCCGAGACGCATCTCTGATAAGTTCTCTCTGGAGAGCACTCAGCACCGGCGTGCTTGTCTCCGTCCTCTGGACGCGGGGGAAGGCGGGCCACTGCCTTCCTGGAGCCCACAGAAGAGCTGGGGACTGAAAAATGCCACTGCCAAACGTGCTTGACAGCAGTGTGTTTTTCTCCCTCCTTTGAGCCAAGGAAGATGGCCAGCTGCCTTCCTGGGGTCCGCAGGAGAGCCGGGGAGATAAACACGCCACTGCTGAGCTTGTTTGACAGCAGCGTGTTTCTCTCCCTCCAGCGTGTTTCTCTCCTCCTAGACACATGTTCCCAACCAAGGCCCAGTCTTTAAAATCAACATAAGAAAAAGCCTTCAGAAAAAGTTACCAGAAGTTATTTTCCATTTAAGAGGGGATACATAACAGAAAGAGAGAAGGTGCTATGAATGTAATGCTTCAACCTGCCATATAATGCATTTTGGATAACGTGCAAAGGCTTCAAAACATGCCCAAATTATTTTTAAATAGCGCCATATATGCTACATACTTCTTTTAAGGTAGGTAAAGGTAGTCCCCTGACATTAAGTCCAGTCATGTCTGACTCTGGGGTGTGGTGCTCATCTCCATTTCTAAGCCGAAGAGCCAGCGTTGTCCGTAGACACCTCCAAGGTCATGTGGCCGGCATGACTGCATGGAGCGCCGTTACCTTCCCACCGGAGCGGTACCTATTGATCTACTCACATTTGCATGTTTTCGAACTGCTAGGTTGGCAGAAGCTAGCGCTGACAGCGGAAGCTCACGCCGTTCCCCGGAATCGAACCTGCGACCTTTCGATCAACAAGCTCAGCAGCTCAGTGCTTTAACCCACTGTGCCACCGGGGGCTCCCTACATACTTCTTTTAGAGGCTAATTATTTAGAGAAATGAGTATACTATTGACTTTAGTTCTCAAGAGGGAAACTGGAGTGGTGGAGATGACCATTTTATTTCTCAATATATTTTGTTTGCTTACTTTAACATACTTTACTTTAAATAGCCTGCTTCTAGTTATAATAGAAGCGCGACTTGAAAATGAAGCCCGTAAGGTCACAGCAAACAGTAAATTCAGTTCACATGCTTAAAATCAATTTCATACAATGAAAGCAAGAGAATGATAAAACAACTCAGCATAAAAGCAATGGCATGGAATTTTAACCTATAGTAAAATATGAACAATATATTGCTTGTGGTTCTTTTTTGAGCATTGCACCTTTTATGCTCACTTTTCATTTTTAGCATTTTAAAATAATAATTCAGTTTTAAAACAGAATATATTAAAAATAAATAGCTGAAGATCTGAAACACCAAACACCATTAAACTAAAGAGGACATCCAATAGTTTTCACATGCTATTTTTTATTTGTCTTTTAATAGATAAGGATCTAGATCACATTAGTTTGTCAAAGTACTCAATAGCCTTTGTACAAGTGCCATAATGTTGCACTTTGTCATTTCTGTTTGTCTGGAAACATGGATGTATGATTCACAATGGGGTTCTGCTTCGTTTCACTTACTTAAAAGGACAAGAATCTATTAGTAAGATGGTAACTCTACTGTAACGATAAATAACAGCATTACACCAAGCAAAACAGAATATATAATAACCACAGCAGCCCACTATAAGGCGATTCTCCAAGTTTAGACAGTTCTTTAGCACCATCAACTGGCTATACGAGGAACTAACATCAATGAACTCAGGAAATACATTCCATAGTTGCAATAGAAAATTAGCATACATTTCTCCACCTAACCCAATACAGAATCTGAATTGAGGAAAAGGCTGGAAAAGAAGATCCAAGACCCTGTCCAAGTATACTATTATGACTTTGACAGATAACAATAACTCTGCTTCTCTCTCCAAATAAGCTTAATATTTAGGAAGCCCAATAACTTCATTGAAACCAGCTCTTACTTACTGTATCCCACATGACAATGTTGACATCTGTGCTAAATGAGTTGATTATATGCTGAGTAATGTACAGGTTAACAAAGTCACAAAAATGGTGGTACATATTGACACCTATGGAAAGAAAAGGGGATAAATCAATGTTTGTTAGTAAATGGTTCTGGCCCAGCTTACCTGTCCAAACAGATCTCTCCCTATGAATAATCTGGGAGCTTAAGATCTTCTGAGGAGGCCCTTCTCTCAGTCCTGCCTTCCTTGCAGGCGTAATTAGCAGAGACGAGAGACAGGGCCTTCTCAGTGGTGCCCCCTCGGCTGTGGAACTCCCTCTCCAGGGATATTAGATCAACCCCCTCCCTCCTGACCTTCCACAAGAGAGTGAAAATGTGGCATTGTGACCAAGCCTTTAGAAAATTTGTGCTATAGATAGACTTGGAACAATCTGCAATGACCATTGGAACGGCCCGGATTATGCTTGTGGATTACGTAATTAACACTGAATGTATTGTTTTTAAATGTTTACAGTATATTCTGGCGTATAAGACTACTTTTTAACCCAAGAAAATCTTCTCAAAAGTCAGGGGTCGTCTTATACACGGGTGTAGTCTTATGCATGGGAGCCGTCTTAACTCTATATTTTAACTGGAAAAGTTGGGGGTCGTCTTATACTCCCAGTCGCCTTATATGCCGGAATATACGGTAATTGTTTTTAATGTACTTTTTAATTCTATTTTAGTATTTCTTTAAGTGTACATTGTCTTTTAAGGCATGGAATCATTGTCTCTGTGTAAAGCCGCCTTGAGTCCCCTTCGGGGTGAGAAAGGTGGGGTAGAAATGTCATGAATAAATAAATAAATAAAAGTAATTTTATTTATTTATTTTTTGTCGACTTCCCTATTTGCTTTGACTTTCTATTGCTTTCACAAGTGCAGCAATTCCTGTTCAGTGACTATAGTGATTGATGCAGAAATATCTTATGGACTATCATCATTGCAAATGGGAAATAGTTCACACTTTTATCTCACAAAAGGATTTCATGACTCGAAGGCACAAAGTAGAGGGCTACTGTTACTACGTCATACAGTGCAGAAACAAAGAAATACCTTATACCTGCATCAAACTTCATGAAATATGTTAGTTTGTCAACAACGACATCACAGCTGCCATCCTCCATAGGTCTGGAGTTCAATTCCGAATAAGTCTGCAGCTCAGCAAACCTGTAATTACAGTTATTTCAGAGAAACTACAAAACGCCCTTAACTATGGCTGATAATTTCAACAATGCACTCCACGGATTTCTTTCAACAATACGTCGGAAAAGTTTTGCAAAGTTTGACAATTAAAATTATTTTTAATTGTAACCGAAGCTTTTCCAGTAAGGCTTCAAAAGGTTAAACTCTGCCTTTGATCTCAGGAGCAAGGAAATTCTTTGATGTATAAATCAAGAGCTGGGGATAGTTTCAAGAGAGACAGACTCTCTGTCCATGTTTCCCTCATCCAGTTAATTTGAATACATCGAGGCTCATGTCAAATGCATTGACCATGATTTCCCAGACATTTCAGCAAAGACGTGTGTTATTAATGGCGACTGCAGGTACAAGGCAGAGAGAACTTGAGACCAATTAGCAGGATCCATTTAACAGTCTCTCTCTAGCAAGTTCCCCCATGAAGGATCAGCAGCTGCGCTGGTCTCAGCCAATACATCATGGGTCCTTCAAAAGCACAATGCAGTCACTTTTAGAAAGGTATAACTAGATTTAGTGAGTGGGACTAAGTCACTTCAGAAGGGATTGTCTAGATCAGGCATGGGCAAACTTCAGCCCTCTAGGTTTTTGGACTTCAACTCCCACAATTCCTAACAGCCAGAAGGGCTGAAGAAGGGCCAAAGATTGGTCAGCCAAAGTTTGCCCATCCCTAGTCTATATGGTGGCACACTGTATTTGAATGTGGCTTATTAAAATACAAACAAATTAGAAGCTCATTATTAAAAAATAAGAATTAAAAATGCATGTTAAGATCATATACAAAACAAGCTTTGCTTTAGGATAAAGTCCTATTCATAAGATTACTTTTTTATTTTTAAATTTGCATATTTATTCAAAACAAGAGCAATAAAACTCTATACACATAAAGAAATGCAATATTTCCTAACATCTATGCAGTGGTTGTAGCTGACTAAGTCATTCCCTCTTCCCACCAATCCCATTATAGTGACTTCCCATCCTTTAGATTAGAGATAGTCATGTTCTTTCTTCCTATTACAAGGGATGAAGCTCTAAAGATTATTATTAGAAGAGCATCTTACCCTCATATACTTTTTACATACCGTATTTCTTTTATTGTGTCAGTTGGTTGTTTGTCATTTGCTCTTTGTTTGTTCATGAAACACATTCTTGAGTGCAATAAACAAAGTGTATGGTCGTTTGGATGCAGCCTACAGAAGGTGTAGGAACATTGCCTTTCTATACAGGTTTTGGCCTGCATCTCCAAAAACATTACTCTGCTAAGATAAGTGTGGATGAAGACCTTCATGTTTATTTTGTGCAGTGATTTGAAAGAAAGAAAAATTACAAGATTAAATACAGAGGGGATTTTTGTATAATGAAAGCTCTAACAAATTTTGGAAATTTGTTGGAAATCATGGGACATTTTGTCACATGAGGTGCTGCTGTAGAAAGGCCCCGAAATATTGGATTCAAATACATTTGATCCTAGAAGATATTGCTAAAGTTAAATTTCATGCATTACATACTGCATCCAAAGGTAAAGGTAAAGGTTCCCCTTGGCATTAAGTCTAGCCGAGTCCGACTCTGGGGGGGGGGGTGCTCATCTCCATTTCTAAGCTGAAGAGCAGGTATTGTCCATCGACACCTCCAAAGTATTGTGGCCGGCATGACTGCATAGTACCGTTACCTTCTCGAAGAAGTGGTACCTATTGATTTACTCACATGTGCATGTTTTCTATGCTGTTTTAATGTTTTACTGTAATATGTATTATGATGTTTTATTGATTGTATGTGATATTATGGTTGGAAACCGGTCTGAGTCCCTCAAGAGAGGTGAGAACGCCGGTATACAAAACTTTTAAATAAATAAATAATAAATAAATAAATTCAAACTGCAAGGTAGGCAGGAGACTGCATCGAAATAACAACTTAATTTGTTTTTGGTAAAGAAAACCCAGATCTTATCAGGCGTCACAATACCACCACAATGGCTCACCCACCCCAAATTAACATCTTAGAATAACACTTCTCTCTAATAATATCCCAATGCTCTGTCATTTTTTTTCCTTCTATTTTCCCTTTGGAAAAAATAGTGAAGATTCTTATTGTGTCTTGGTGATAAAGTGTCCAATTTGTATAGTTCTGACAGCTAACATAGTGAGGTTACAGCTAAAAGTCTTACCAAGACTGCAGAGGGCTTTTCCTTTGCCCTTCAGCAAGGAAATTTTTAGTGTCCATATCACAATGACCTCCAATCTGACCCTTCTTGAAGAAGTCCTCATTAAATCTAAAGTGAATAAAGTGTACAATATAATTAAAGCAAGTTCAACTGAAATTCCAAACACAGTATGTTGTATTGACATTAGTACAATATATATCCAGACAATGGTGACAGGCATTAACAGAAGAATAGAATCATAGAGTTGGAGGAGATCACGTGTGCCATCCAGTCCAACCCCCTGCCGAGCAGCAGGAAAATCACATTCAAAGCACTCCTGACAGATGGCCATCCAGCCTCTGTTTAAAAGCCTCCAAAGAAGGAGCCTCCACCACACTCCGGGGCAGAGATTTCCACTGCTGAACAGCTCTCACTGTCAGAAAGTTCTTTCTAATGTTCAGGTGGAATCTCCTTTCCTGTACTTTGAAGCCATTGTTCCGCGTCCTAGTCTCCAGGGCAGGAGAAATAGAATGCTTAAGCACACAGCAACAAAAAACTGCCTTCTACTTTGTATCTTTATTCAGATGTTAAGCTTATATGAGCTAATTCCCATGTAGTGCCACACAGGACTACAGTTCAAACCTATACTTCTTTTTGAGTAGGTCTCACTTACCACAGTAAAAATTATCACTCCCCGTGTCTGGAACTCCCTTCCCAAAGAAATAAAAATGTTCCCCACCCTCCTCTCCTTTAAAACACTTTTGAAAACACACTTATGCACTTTCGTGTACGGAGAGGAGGAGGACTAGAACATCTTAAACTAATTTCACTGAAACGCTGGCTAATTTACTCGCATCTTATGGCAGCTACGGTACATTTCAAATCAGAACTGATGTTAGACACACATGTTTTTTAGTGTAATTATGTTATATCAAAATATTTGTATTTTCCATTATTATTCTATTTTTATTTCTATTATCTCTTTAGTTGTAAGTTTATTGATGTGGTTTGGTATTACTTTGATTTGTGCATATTTGTTGACTACAGCATTTAATGTCTGCCTCTTTGTATGTAAACTGCTCTGAGTCCTCTTGGGGAGAGAGGACAGTCTATAAATAAAGTTGTTGTTGTTATTATTATTATTATTATTATTATTATATATCCCAATGCAAAATGGATAATGTGGGATTTTATTCCACTGTGTGGAAGGGGCCTCTGAGAGTTGGCATGTACTTTAAAAGCTATTTTGTCCAATCTCATGAGTAGGCAATTAAAGTACTCTTGAGAGATGGCCCTCTGTTTATAAACCTCTAAGGAAAGCCTAGCTTTTTCTGATTCCAGTTTATGGCGACCCTATCATAAGGTTTTCTAGATTATCCTTATTCAGGAGTTTGCCATTGTCTTCCTCTGTATATAGCCTATAACTATATGCCAGTATTCCTTGGTAACTTCGCTTCTGGGTGCTAACCAGGTTGTAGTGCCTCAAAGTATTTGGTTTTCTACATTGACCATTTATTTGCTCCACAAGGAAGTTGAAAGACACTAAATAAATCTTACATAGTTAGCACTATATCATATATCTTATAATGTCTGTTATAACAGGCTGTGTTTTTTTTTTCATTTTAGTTTGTTAAGTAATAATTCTTGTTTATATATTGGGTTGTTTAAAATTTGTTAGTATGGATATTTGTTGTTGTATTCGGGCATTGAATGTTTGGCTTTTATGTTTGGAATCTACCCTGAGTCCCTTCGGGGAGATAGAGAGGAATATAAATAATAATAATAATAATAATAATAATAATTATTATTATTATTATTATTATTATAAGAAACATAGCCTAGATTAACATAAAACAATATAGAATTTTCTAGGGAGGAATAGTAATCTGTCAACCAACTTTCTAAATTGCACAACACAGGAGATGCTGATATAAAGCCGACATATGAGGCTACTGCCCATCCCTGAAGAGTTGTCAAGAGTGATCTAAAGGGACAAGTGCTCTGACCTGCTAAAAGGAAGTTTCCTATGAGGCACTGCAGCTCAAACCATATGATTCATGAGGTAAATAGGATTATCTGCTCCTCTGTGAAACAGTAACTGATCTCTTCTGATTCTTGAGCCTTCTTATAGATCCTTGATGGATAAAGTTCTTTTATTGAACAACTAGAGAAGCCAGCAACATGCTCCATTAAAAGATGATTCATAACCCATCATTATTAGATGATTACTGTTGTGCAATCTTATGGCATTTATCTATTAATGATAATAGAGAGAGGGTGCGAAAGGATGACCCATAGGACTTCCAAGTGCATTAAATTGTCATATTAACATAGTTTGATACCATGTTAACAGCCATGGCTCAATCTTGGGAGTTATAGTTTGATGAGGCACATGTACTTTTTAGCAGAGGAGGCTAAATACTTTGTAAAACTACAGTTCCCACAATTCCACATCACTGAGCCATAGCAGTTAAAGCAGTACCAAACTGCATTAATTCTACAGTGTAGATGCACCCTTCAATAAGACTAGTAAATATTCTTAAAAGAATATCTGGAATATAAACAAAGTACAGACCTCTCATGAGTTCTCTTTGGGCTTCTTAAATCAATATATAGATTAGTGGCTCTGCAATACTGAAGATAACGGGAACACTGAAGTGAAGAATCTCCCTATAAGAAAAGGGCAAAAGGCAATGGGAATAAACTTTTACAGAACTTGGATAAGATAGACTATCTTGCCAAAACCTAAATTTTACCAATACCAATAAGGTCTCACCACTGCCTTAGGCTTGCAGTAAGTCTTGACTTCATCCATCCTCTCTTTAACATAACCAAAGTCAGCCTGCTTCCAAAACACACGCTGGGCTTCTTCGATGGTAGATGCCCTGGCAAGTAGAAACAAGGCTCAAGAAACCTTTTGAGGAAACGCCAGCTTGAACTACAGCAGATCCCCAGGCTATTGGGTGGGTAAGATCCTACTCCAAAGCTTAATGCTATGAAGAAAGGAATGAAAAATGCTTCTTTCAAGCACTCTGTATAAACACCATCCACAAAAGGGCAGAGGGTTAAATCATCCATGAGGTGCACAAGGAGAGTGCTCTGTATATGGCAGGAGAAACCGATTAATTTAGAAGTTAGGTTCACTTAAATATTGAAAGTACAATACATGATTCTTCTAAAAAAAACTACTGTCCTGTGTCCACGACATGTGTGGAGGGAGGGATGTAAACCTATGACTGGGATGAAAAAAAATCAGTAAAAAGGGAAGAGTTTTACTGCTCTAGTCTTGGTCTTCATGTACAAAATGAAACTATAAAAATTCAAAGTATAATCAGCCTGAGGCTTCTGCATTCAACTGAATTTTGAGAGGTTTGGGTTTACTACAAGAGGGAAAGCCTATGGAGTAAAGTGGAGAGATGAACTTTAGCTACAATCTAAGAGACATTGAGAGTATTTTACTGATATCAGTCTCAGGCTCACCACTTATCTGTACTATTAACAGTGGGCTACATTTCAGGTTAGTATGAAGCAACCTTCCAACCTCCATAGACCCCCTTCCCCAACTTGCAATTTCTCTGTATATAAAAGTCAATGGGCATATGTATATTTGTTGGTTTACCCGCTTGTACCACAAAAGCTCCTACATGGCTTGATGGATCTCAACCAAACTTGCCACACATACCCTTCACTATTATCCAACGTAAAATAATTGAGGGGTTCGAATGAAAAGAACCAGCCTGTTCAGGCCCAGAGCTGAGGGAAAGAAAAGGATCAAGTGGATGGTCTTTGGCTAAGTGAAGTGGCCCTCTGTGATGTTACTGGGAAAGAAAAGGAGCGAAGTAGTTTGGGTGCTACTAGGTGAAATGTATTGGAGGGAGGGGAGGGGACGGGAAGAAAGGAAGGAAGGGAAAAAGAAGGGAAAGAAAGGGAGAAGACAGTATGGAAAGAAAGAAAAAGGAAGGAAGGAAGGAAATGAGGAAAGATATAAGGGGAGGGAAGAAAAGGAAGGGAAGGGAAGAGAAGAGAAGAGAAGAGAAGAGAAGAGAAGAGAAGAGAAGAGAGAGAGAAAGAGGAATAGAGAAAGGGAAGGGGAAGAGGAAAGGGAAGGGGAAAGGGAAGGGGAAGGGGAAAGGGAAAGGGAAAGGGAAAGAAGGAAGGAAGGAAGGAAGGAAGGAAGGAAGGAAGGAAGGAAGGAAGGAAGGAAGAAAGGAAGAAAGGAAGAAAGGAAGAAAGAAAGAAGAGAGGAATGGTCTATGAGAGAAAACAAGGGAAGAAAAAAAATGAAAGGTGTATTAGAGGAATGGGGGAAGGAAAGAACGAGCCCCAAAGAGAGCCTGCCCACTGTTGCCAGTGTTGTTATAGGGACCATTTGGGGCAGGCCTTGTCAGAGCTGGAAAAGAGAGAAAGAAGATGGCAAATGGTCCCAACAACACCCAGGCCACTCCAGGTATAAATGCTAAAACTGCAATTAAAATAATAGCAATATTTCAGCATGTTGCAACTTAATAGGGATTTAGCTTAACAGCTTGCCTGTCTCCATTAAAAATGGCTATCATGATCACTCTACAGAGAAGCCTATGCAGAAAGACCTTATTGAACATAGCCACTGCTGATCTGCTTCACTTCAAACATCCAAAATGGGACCCTCATGTCACTGATTAACTTCATTCAGGCTGAAAAACAAGGTGAGGAAGAACCGAAGTGGGAGATCTGCCTGTCTTTCTCCAGTTTGGGCAAAGAAGGGGCAATGAGGTGGTAATGCTTCTTGCCTCTGCCTCTTCTTACTGCTTTTGCATTGGATATCCTTACTTGTTCCTTATTTGTTCCACTCCTGCTTTTTCAGGCTGTTCCCATTCTTTTTCCTCATTTAGATTCCTTTTTCTATCTGTATTTGTACAGATGTGCATATTTTCAGATCAGCAATGCATCTGAAAATGCATCTGTAATGCCTCAAATAAACAGGTGCTCTCCTTCTCTTTAATATGTTCACTGTGTGCATTTTAAAAAGGAGAGGAAAATATTTCTTTGATACACGGCCCAAAGTTTTACTCTTGACTTATCTACAGACCAAAGCAAAATCCATAATTTCGGCTGCAGATATGTCCTTTACTTATACATGAGTTTGACTAATACACAAGCATACACAGTAGATTTCAGTTTCAGTGTTACAAATAAATGAATGACTCAACATTTCTCCCACCGTTCCTCCAAGCAGCTGAGAACAGTGAGTATGGTTGTGTCTCCCCCACTCATTCACATCTCACAATGGCCCTGGGAAAGAGTTTGGCTGAACAATGCGAGCCTGAGAGCCCTATATGACACAGGCAGCTTCATGGCTGAGTGGGAATGGCAACCACAATTTCCCTAATCTCATTCCGACAACCCCTATGGCATACTAGGTGAAGGTGAAGACCTGGATGTTTGTGCAGGCGTTTGAGTAATTTAGTACAATCTGGTAATGGAACATAGGAATGGAACAATGGACGACGAATCTGGACTACGCTTGGATGATGAGAAGATTGGGTACGGTTGTTTTTTGTAATAATTGTGCATTGTAATTGCTTATTGGTAATTTATGGATAATGTGTTAAGTCAATTGTTATATGTTGTATGGAACCACTGCTATTTCTACTGTTTCTACTGTTTGTGAACCGCTGTGAGTCGCCTTCGGGCTTGAGATACAGCGGTATATAAGCAAAGTAAATAAATAAATAAATAATAAATAATACTAGTTCATAAGACTTACACAAAACATTTGGTACCTATCCAAACAAGAGATGCATATTTTAATACATCAAACGTTGGGAAGGTTTAAGAAAAATAAACCGCTATGCAATTATGCTCCACACATTGCATATACTTGCCATCCTGCCTCAGCATAATCGCACACTGGATATCCAAACCTGTTTTCTGGCTTGCATGGTTTTTCATAACCCCAACAGGCTTTTGATTTCTTCAGGTATTTCTGTTAAGAAAAAAAATGTGACAGTATTACAGCAACTGAGAATTAACTTCCAAACGATATTAATTTATCCTTCTTGGATGTGTTGCTTGCAGTTATTTGATTACAAGATTTTTTAAAACTCTACTGTATTTATTTCTCAATCCAGAACTGCAAAGATGCATGCATATTTCCAGTTTTACACAAAAGCAGGCTGTGTGATTTAACCCTACATAAAAGAAAATACATGTAAGGCGATTTATAAATACCACTACAAAACTTTCTGCACAAGCAACTAGGTACTTTGAGTACAGTTTGTCAATTACTCAGTGACAAAAATAATCTCATTTCTCAATTTTTGGTTATTTCAAAGTCATTCTTTTTTAAAAAAAACAGGATTACTTTGCAGTACAGAAGCAAATTACCATATTTACTTGAGTATAAGCCAACCCAAACTTAAGCTGAGGCACCTAATTTTACCACAAAAAACTGGGAAAATGCATTGGCTCAAGTATAAGCTGAGGGTGGGAAAAGCAGCAGCTCCTGGTAAATTTCAAAATAATAGATACCAATAAAATTACATTAATTGAGGCATCATTAGGTTAAATGTTTTTGAATACTGTAATTTAAGATAAGACTCCAACTCTGATTAAACCATTATTCTAACCTTCTTCAGTGTAAATGTGCTTACATATCCTTCCAATAATAATAAAGAGAACAAAATAGTAAATGTAATAATAATAGAATAAAATAATAAATGTAAAAACAATAAATATATACAATAATAAATGTAAAAACAATAATAGAGAAAAATAATTAATGTAGTAATAAATATAGTAAAATATAATTTTGAGTCCCTCCGCGGCCATCCTGAGTCCCTCCGCAGAGGTCAAGAAGGACAGGGTATAAATGTTTTAAATAAATAATAATAGATAAATAAAATAATTAATGTAATAGTCATAATAAATAGAGTAAAATAATAAATGTAATAACAATAATAAATAGAGTGAAATAATAAATGTAATAAAAATGATAACCGAGTAAAATAATAAATAATCTTGACTTGAGTATAAACCAAGCGGGGCTTTTTCAGTCTAAAAAAAGGGCTGGAAAACTTAGTTTATACTCAAGTATATACAGTAGTCCTAAAAATATGCAGGCTAGCATTTTACAAAGTGTAACACTCACTCTTTTAGAATCAAAGCTGAAAGTATTACAAGGGTCTTATAAAAGCAAGAATGGCGTGGTTTTAAAGGCATTGCATAATTAGCAGAAAGGGAAAAGACCCACTGCCCAATAATGGTGAACAGTACCAATCACATAAGTTGTCATTTGGTTGGCGAAGGAACTGGTTACCACCAACTTCTAACCTTTTATGAAGAAAACAAGTGCACATTCTGTAAGGAAAAGGAGCACTCACTTTGTATGGGCAATTATGATCCTGCTTATAGGCTGCAGCAAGGTGCTGGTTATTATGGAAAAAGTAGGGGATATGCTCTTCTGGCAAGTTAATGTTCCCATAGCTATAGAACTGCACTTGTGGAATACTGCTGCCATCCGTGAGGTTTTCATCTTTAATCTTGGCCACGTTTTCCTGAAGTAGTAGTCCAAAGGCAAGCAGCATTAACATGGCACTAAGGAAACCTGCTGAGAAAAAAATACAATAAAAATATTTAAGCATGACATAATTGCTATTCACTAGACTTTTTTTTATTAAAATCATAAATATGATATTTATTTCTGAAAGCATGCAGAGCTGCTGGCCAAAAAAGTCTTTCCTCCTGGTACAAACATGTTATTGCTATCAGATATATTAAGCCAATGGGTGAAAAGAAACTTGCTGTTTCCCAAGAGATGCCTGGGAACTGAAGTCAGGAAACTATGCAAGTTTCCCAAGAGATAGGCTTCCTCTGATCCTAAAAAAAGAATGGGAACCAAAATAAACAAAGAGCAGAAACTTCTAATCAGGTTACTGTGTTTCCTGTTTTGTAATGTATGTGAATTCTAGAGGATTGTGCCTTTGGTCTTCCAGGTGTTTTGGACTTCGAAGCCCTGAAACCTTCTTGGTGAACATCCAGGAATTGTGGGACCTGAAATCTAAAGTATCTGGAGGACTAACGTTGGGGACTACTGATTCCAATGTGAGAGGTGCTCAATCTCCATTAAGGTAGTCTCGAAGTGGGAGAGGGAAGCAGTTCTAATTAAAATGCCCACACTTTTGAAATAACTTTCATAGATAAAACCCCATGGGCCTATAAAGACGGACTAAGCAAACGTGACTTATCCAAGTTCACTCAGTGTGTTTCCAAGACTGGCAGAGATTCAAACTTTGGTCTCCAGAGTCCAAGGCTAACACTCAAACTACTGGCTGGATATCTCCTGTATATGCTCATACACATTATCTCCACCCATTATTTCTAGACTTTTGAAGTAATAAAATATTTCTTCTGTCAGTCATAACACAGATCGAGGAATAGGGAATCAACCTGTGTTAGATGGGGTTACACTTCCCCTGAAACCGCAGGATCGCAGTTTGGGAGTACTCCTGGATTCAGCTTTGAACCTGGAGGACCAGGTATCAGCAGTAATCGGGAGTGCTTTTGCACAGTTAAAGCTAGTTCACCAACTGCAACTGTTCCTGGAGAAGTCAGATATGGCCATGGTGGTACATGCCTTGGTTCTATCCCAGTTGGAAGACAGGTGGACAAATATCAGAGTGCTGGAAGAAGCAAAGACCACCAGCATTGAAGGATGCTCCTACAGCATCAACTCTCTTGGGAAGACAGGCAGACAAATGTTAGCATGCTGGAAGAAACAAAGACCACCAGCATTGACGCCATCAACACCACTGGACTGGCCATGTTGTCCGAATGTCTGATCACCGTCTCCCAAAGCAGTTACTATACTCCCAACTCAAAAATGCGAAACGTAATGTTGGTGGACAGGAAAAGAGATTGAAAGATGGGCTTAAAGCCAACCTTAAAAACTATGGCATAAACACTAAGAAGCGGGAAGCCCTGGTCCTTAAGCACTCTAACTGTGGAAGTCAGCTGTGACCAACAGTGCAGAATTCAAAGAGGCACGAATGGAGGGCAAAAGGGAGAAGAGGAAGATGCATCAAGCCAAGAGGAAGATGCATCAAGCCAACCCTGACTGCCTTCCACCTGGAAACCAATGTCCTCACTGCGGGAGAACATGTGGATCAAGAATAAGGCTCCACAGCCACCTATGTATCCACCGCCAAGACACTACAGTACATCCCAGTTGGACTACTGTAATGTGCTCTACCTGGGGCAGCCTTTGAAAAGTGCTTCAAAACTTGTTGGTCCAAAGAGCAGCAGCCAGAATGCTAACTGGGCCTGGCTACAAGGAGCATACAACTTCTCTGTTGCTATGGCTCCACTAGCTGCCAACACATTTCTGAGCACAATGACTCTGGTCCAGGTTTTTGAAGAACCGTATCTCTTTCTATGAACCTGGGGGGCATCTACCATCTGCTCATGTGCACTTGGTGGGAACAAGAGATAAGGGCTTTTTGGTGGCTGCTCCCAGGCTGTGGAACTCCCTTCCAAGAGAGACCAGGATGGCCCCATCCCTGCTGGCCTTCCGCAAGCAGGTCAAGACCTTTTTATATCTACAGGCATTTGAGGAAGGGACAGGCTTTGGGGAGGCTGGGTGGGATTGGGGGAATGCGAGTTTTAAAGACACTTTTAGTGTATTTACTGTATTTTAATTCTGTTTTTACCACGCTGTTATCTAATTGGTATTTAACTTTTGTATTGCACCTTTTAAACTTGTTTAGTGTGGAGTGTGAGCTGCCTTGAGTTCCCACGGGGGGTATAAATAAAGATGATGATGATGATGATGATGATGATGATGAGCAGCAGCAGCAGCAGCTCTGGTTCTTCAAAGCCATCCAAGTACAAAAAATCACTATTTTTGTAGCAATAAATTTCACAGTTTTACATTTTGAAGGCAGTTATGCACCATGGGAAGAAAGCAAATCAGCAGAAACTCTTCTTCTTCTCCCATAACACAAGAACTCGGAATCACCCCTCAAAAATATTCTAGGAAAAAAATTCTCCTAAAATTTGAAGATTCAAAAACGGGGTGTGCCTTACATTCGATAATGCCTTAGATTCAGTGAAATATGGTACAAGAAATACAAGAAAACCATTGGGTAGCTACTACATTCCTGGCTGACCAACTTGGTAGCTGATTTTTCAATTGTTAACATTTACTTGTTGAGTCTTATTTTCTAACTTGAAAAAGAGGAAGGGTTAGCTGTCTAGAAAGATGCTAACTCTTACATGAACATCACTTTCCCTTGTGCTGACATTTCACCCCGGGATTCATCCTCATGCTCAGTAAGCTGGGGACTTTCACAAGGTTGTCCTCCTTACCTTCCTCCAAGGGCTCCTAGTTTTGAAACAACAACCATGAATAAGTTCTGAACAAAAACAGGTAACTGCTCCTTCCTTAGCTTAGAGGAGGGCAATCTATAGCCTTTCACATCTTGCTGGCCCTCAAATCCTTTAGTCCCTACCAACTGCTAGCCTGGCTAGGAGCAATGATAAGCTGCAGTCCATCAGTATCTGAAAGGTCACTGCCAGAGTCAAAATCTCCATCTAGGACAGTGGTTCTCAACCTGTGGGTCCCTAGATGTTTTGGCCATCAACTTCCAGAAATCCTAACAGCTGTTAAACTGGCTGGGATTTCTAGGAGTTGTAGGCCAAAACACCTGGGGACCCACAGGTTGAGAACCACTGATCTCGAATTATTGTGCAAAATGTAGAACAAGAGTGAAAAAGGCATATCTCTACCCAGCCCGTAGCCAGGATTTTGATTGGGGGGGGGGGCTGAGTTTGATTTGGGGGGGGCTGAGTCTGAGTGAAAGAGGGTCTACCCTAGCAAACCTTTTGTATCATTACCCCAATACCCCCATGCATATGGGATATATTGAGTATGGTGATCAGATCATGATATGAATAAACATAAAGTTTAAATAATGCACCAGTAAGGCCTTTTCGCGAACCACCATGAGAATTTCGGGGGGGGGCCTGAAGCCCCTCAAGCCCCCCCCCCCATCTACATGACTGTCTCTACCAATTGTGGAAATGAAATTCTAATCAACCCAAATTCTCACCATTGTCAATGGAGAAAAAAGTTGAGTGACGCAGTCCAATAATATGGGTCACATATTATCCATTGCCTGTAAATGGAGATTTGCAAGTTCTAGAGCTCAGCACTCTTTTTCTTGCTGCTTATGATGTTTGGAACCATTCCCCAGAGTTCCTATGTGGTACCACCACATTTGCTTGACTATGTTTGTTTCCTTAACTCCCTCCTCCTAACCCAGCATTTCCATGAAGTCTCTGGCACAATCCCCTGGTTCTCATGCCCTGCTACAGTGTCACATATTTTTCTTATTTTGGCTGGTGGGAAGGCTAATGACAGACTGTTAGCTGATTCTTTAGGAACCAAGTTAAGTTTCTATATGAAAGGCTAACTGAAAATCCTTAGTGAGTCATAATCAAGCAATAAATAGTAATAAGATGTCACAGAGGAAGGGAGATGTCACTGAGATGTTGGCACCTGAGGCAAGAAATTGGGTCTCCAAAGCCTTATCCTACTTTGTAGATTAACCTCATAACCGTTATTGTTCTTTATAAGCTCTACTTAATCCCACATAGGAAATATGGTAATGCCATACACAGAGGACATGCGTTTACTTTAATCTTTTCATTAATTAACTTTGTCAAACCAAGAACCTCTGTTGTCACCAAAAAAGGGGCCATCTGCTCACTTGACAGATATTTTGTAGCAGAAATCGCATATAACTAGAACAACAATGCAAATATTTCACAAGAATTGCAGACAATGTTTCCATGGTTTTTATGTGCAGCATATTCAGATAGAAAATTTAGGCCACACCATATCCCCCTTCCCAAAAAAGCTGACAAAGAAAATAAAATAAGGTAATCAATTTTCTTTTCCGCATTTACAGCCAATTCTATAAGAGTTGTGTTTGTTTTCTGTCCTGCTCAATTCAATGAAGCCGCTTTGAGTCTCCTTTGTGGAAACAGAAGAAGAAAAGAAGGAAGGAGGAGGAGAAAGAAGAAGAAAGAAGAAGAAAGAAGAAGAAAGAAGAAGAAAGAAGAAGAAAGAAGAAGAAAGAAGAAGAAAGAAGAAAGAAGAAAGAAGAAAGAAGAAAGAAGAAAGAAGAAAGAAGAAAGAAGAAAGAAGAAAGAAGAAAGAAGAAAGAAGAAAGAAGAAAGAAGAAAGAAGAAAGAAGAAAGAAGAAAGAAGAAAGAAGAAAGAAGAAAGAAGAAAGAAGAAGAAGAAGAAGAAGAAGAAGAAGAAGAAGAAGAAGAAGAAGAAGAAGAAGAAGAAGAAGAAGAAGAAGAAGGAAAGAAGCATCATTTCAGGATGTCAACATACTGAAATGGTGGAAGTAAATGCAGGTGTTTGGTACAGTACACCCCATCAACACTTCTATACAATCCAACTTGAACTGCATTATAATGGTCAGTGTAGACTCATATAATGCAGATTGAACTACGTTGAATAGGATTTTATGAGTCTCCACTGCCATGTAATCCAGTTCACAGCAGTTAATATGAATTCTGAAACTGGATTATATGGGAGTGGAGTTTTTTTATTTTTGGATCAAGACCCTGAAGAACAGTAATTCCAACTCAGTGATAGATATCCTCTGAGTGATCTGGACAAGTCACACACTCTCAGCCACAGATAAAGGCAAAGGTGAGCCTATCTTACTAAAAAGAAACCCATAATAGGTTCATTGTTAAGTCTGAAAGGACTTGAAGGCACACATCAATAACAGGCAAAGGATAAAAGATGAAAAAGAATACATTCTCTCCGGGTTAAGATTAGGTTGCCCTATGGTTAAATGTGGTTTTTCAAATCTAAAGGACGTTGGAGGTTGACACACAGAACAAAAAACAAAATCCAAAGCACAGATTATGATACGTATGTTGCCTTCAAGAAAGTTATGGTGGCCCCATAAATTTCAGGGGGCTTTCTTAGGCAAGGAAGACTCGGGGGCCCTTCCACACAGCCATATAACCCAGAATTTCAAGGTAGAAAATCCCACAATATTTGCTTTGAATTGGGTTATCTGAGTCCACACTGCCATATATTTCAGTTCAAAACAAAAAATGTGGGATTTTATTCAGCTGTGTGGAAGGGGCCTCAGAGGAGTCCTGTGTGGAGCAGCTTAAGGAGTGGGGATGTTCAGCCTTGAGATGAGAAAGTGAACAGGAGGCATGATAGACATGTTTCAATATTTGGAAAGGGGGGCATATTGAGGAAGGGGCAAGCTTGTTTTCTGCAGCCCTGAAGACTAGGATACGAAGCAATGGATTTAAACGGCAGGAAAAGAGCTTCCACCTAAACATTAGGAAGAACTTCCTGACTGTAAGAGCTGTTTAGCAATGGGTATGCTGCACCGGAATGTGGCAGAGTCTCCTCCTCTGGAGGTGTTTAAGCAGAGGCTTAAACACCTCTGTCAGGCGTGTTTTGATTGGATGTTCCTGAAGGGCAGAAGGGGGTTGGACTGGATGGCCCTTGAGATCTCTTCCAACTCTAGGAGTCCACGTCACATCTCCATTGAATGAGGTTGGAGCCCTTTGCCTCTGCAGGTGCACCTGAACTACTGAATTGATGACTCTTAACACCGCTTAAATTGCAACGACTCAATGGGATTGAATTCTGGTGTAGGGGCAATGACTCACCAGTGCTCCAGATGAACTCTGCACAAGCTCTGGAGACTCCAAAGGCTTCAGCAGCAGTGCATGGAAATGGGCCATAAGTTGGATTCTTATTACAAAAGCTTTTATTGGGATCCTAGCAATAACGACAAAATGCATACAGAAATGCATGAAAAGGCTTTGTCACAACTTGAAATGGGGTTGTTCCAGAGGCTCTTGAGCACCTTATTTATTTCATAGAATCATAGAATTGGAAGAAACTTCATGGGCCATCCAGTCCAACCCCCTGCCAAGAAGCAGGAATATAGCATTCAAAGCACCCCTGACAGATGGCCATCCAGCCTCTGTTTAAAAGCTTCCAAAGAAGGAGCCTCCACCACATTCCAGGGCAGAGAGTTCCACTGCTGAACGGCTCTCACAGTCAGGAAGTTCTTCCTCATGTTCAGATGGAATCTCCTTTCTTGTAGTTTGAAGCCATTGTTCCGCGTCCTAGTCTCCAGGGAAGCAGAAAACAAGCTCCCAATATTTCTATCCTGCCCTTTTCAATCTCCCGAGGGGATTCAAAGCCTCAATATAATACAAATATAAACACAAATAGCAACAGTTTAAAACAGTAAATAAAATATTAAGTTAAAAACACATTAAAAATTTTGTCATCAACTATGTAGCCAATTTCAGTTGGTTCAACATCCAAGGTGCTGTCATGCTTGCTGTCCAAAGGCCTGGCCCCAGAGCCATGATTTGACCTTCTTCCCAAAAGAAAGGAGGGAAGAAGCTGACCTGATCTCGCTGGGGAGCAAGTTCCACAGGTGTGGGGCCACCGCCAAGAAGGTCCTGTCCCTCATCCCCACCAAGCGCACTTGCGAAGCTGACGGGACCGAGAGCCTCCCCGGACGATCTTAAGCTACAAGGCGGGACACAGAGGGAGATACATTTGGACAGGTAAACTGGGCCAGAACTGTATAGGGTTTTATAGGCCAAGAGAAGCACTTTGGATTGTGCTCAGAAGTGGACTAGCAGCCAGTGGAGCTGGCACAAAATAGGGATGGTGTGCTCCAGGTATTTTGGACTTCAACTCCCACCATTCCCCACAGCCTTCCTTTCCCCCCTTAACTGCTTAAGAATAATAGAATATTGAGGCTGACCAATCAGAAACCATATGCAAATTAGTAGGTCGCGCTAGCTCATGCATGGGCAAACTTGGGCCCTCCAGGTGTTTTGGACTTCAACTCCCACCATTCCTAACATCCTCAGGCCCCTTCCTTTTCCTGCTCAGCCACTTAAGAATGTTAGAATGTTGAGACTGACCAATCAGAAACCATATGCAAATTAGTGGGTCGAGATAGCTCAGGCATGGGCCAACTTGGGCCCTCTCTCCAGGTGTTTTGGACTTTAACTCCCACCATTCCTAACAGCCTACCGGCTGTTAGGAATGGTGAGAGTTGAAGCCCAAAACACCTGGAGAGAGGGCCCAAGTTGGCCCATGCCTGAGCTATACTATAGCAGGAATGCAGGCTGGCACCCCACTATGGCTCAAGGCTATGGACTCATGGGAGTTGTAGTTCGGTGGGTGAGTCACAAGCGCTCTTGGGCAGAGGAGGCGAAAGACCTTGCAAAACGACAACTCCTAGGCTTCCTTTTGCAGCCAGCCACAGCAGTGGCAAGTGGCATCAGAATGCATATTCTTTGAACGGTGTAGTTTTGCTGCAAAAGAGGCAATACAAGAGAGAGAGAAAGAGAGAGAGAGAGAGACCCGGCCCTTGTTGCAGTACCTCCAAGGAAGCGGACCAGCCGGCGACGTCCCGCCGAAGGGAAGGGAAGTGGAGCCCAGCGAATGGGCGCTTGAGGCCAAGGCGCGCGAGGCAGAAGCAGCAGCACCAGCAGAAGCTCCTCCTCCTCCTCCTCATTGGCCGGAGTTCCCTTTTGCCTTTGGCGAAGGGACAGCGAGGAAGAGGAGGAGGAGGAGCCGAGGGAGGGGCCAGGCTTCCGGAAAAGCACGAGGCCGAAGCACTTCGGAGCGGGTCCTGGCTCTGGAGAGGAGGCCAACCCAACCTAACCTCTCCCCCAAAGCCTTCCCCCTCGGATGGAAAAAGAGCCAGGCAGCCCAGGTGTCGCATCAATGAATTGCATCTCGACACCGCTTGATGAACTGCCAGGGCTTATTATTTATTTATTTATTTATTTATTTACAGCTTTTATATTCCGCCTTTCTCACCCTGCAGGGGACTCAGGGCGGATTACAGTGTACACATATATGGCAAACATTCAATGCCAATTTTTGACAGGCAAACATATACAGACATACACAGAGGCTATTTAACTTTTTTTCTGGCCGCCAGGGGAGCTGTCGCTTTCATTGTCCATCTGCGAAGCTGATGAAGCACTTTCACATTCCTCGCATGCTTCCCCGCTGGAATGCTTTGCTGGAGTCTTCTTTATGGCCTCATAAATCAGTTAATTTAGCCTCCCCACACTTTAAGGTGGTACCTAATTTTCCTACTGGACCGATGTAACTGCCTTTCGGGTTGCAAAGGTTGACAACAGGCTACACACAATTGGTTGGAAACCCACTCCAACACAGGCTGGCTTCGAACTCATGACCTTTTGGTCAGAGTGATCTTAATGCAGCTGACACTCAGCCAGCTGCGCCACAATCCTGGCTTCTAAGGGTCGGGGTTGGGTCAGGCCTTGAGCCATGCTTGCTTAGGCAATCTCTTGTTATCCGAGTAAGATTGTCCTCCAAGTCCTGGTGGTGGGTCCGTAGGTGACTGTGGAGCCCTATTCTTGACCTGCATGTTCTCCCGCAGTGAGGGCATCATTTCCAGGTGGAAGGCAGTCCCGGTCAGGGTTGGCTTGACGTGCCTTCCTCTTGGCACGTTTCTCTCTTTCGTCCTCTATTTGTGCCTCTTCAAATTCCACAGCACTGCTGGTCACAGCTGACCTCCAACTGGAGCACTCAAGGGCCAGGGCTTCCCAGTTGTCAGTGTCTATGCCAGAGTTTTTAAGGTTGGATTTGAGTCCGTCTTTAAATCTCTTTTCCTGTCCTCCAACACTCCATTTTCCGTTCAGAGTAGATTTGGGAGACGGCTTTGGGAGAAATCCTACAATATCTGCTTTGAACTGAACTGGGTTATCTGAATCCACACTCAGATAATGTGGGATTTCCTGCCTTGATATTCTGGGATATAGGGCTGTATGGAAAGGCCCTGAGTCCACACTGCCATTTATTCCAGTTCAAAGCAGAAAATGTGAGAATTTATTCAGCTGTGTGGAAGGGGCCCTAGTTAGACTTCACAAATGTGTCACCTTGACTCTAAATTGCACACGGGCTTTATCGTTTTATTCTAAGTTCTATCAATTCTATCTTTAGTGCATTTGCAATTAAAATAAAAAGCCTGTTTTAAAATATACTTGTTTTAATGAATCAGAGAAAAGGGACAAGTGTCATGGTTTGGTTAATATGGTATATCTATCCTAGTCATATTTCACCTGCTCATGCTCAGCATTATTTTTAAATTTTAATTATTACATTTGGCCTAGCCATAGGTTTTAAACATTGTTGCATTACTGTTAATGTTTATTGCTTATTTTCTGAGTTTTATTTTTATTATTCTGTATTACTTGTTATTGTTTTTATTATTGATGTATTGTGGGCTCGGCCTCATGTAAGCTGCACCGAGTCCCTTGGGGAGATGGTAGCGGGGTAAAGTTGTTATTATTATTATTATTATTATTATTATTATTATTATTATTATTATTATTATATTCATTATCACAACTAACAGAAATTATATGTTCATCCTTCCTAAATAATGCAATACATTTTTTTTTGTGATGTAGAAAATCTTACAGGGCATAGTTAAGGTCATATCAACTACACTTTTTTCTGTTTCTGTGAGCACAGGAAAGTGTCTCATTTGTGCCTCAGTAAGAAATGTAATCAAGCCAAACATATTATTCTGTTTCCTCTTGAGTTTTAAATTCATTTCCTTTTATGTGCCAGCTCGGAGTTATAATCATTAAGCAACTTGCATAAAAAATGATATCAGGATACCAAAAGAGAACAGTCTTGCCAACGTCAAGAGTATGTAGTACATTTTGTTACTAGTATCGTAACAGTAAACAAAGTGGCAGCATTGTTGACATACACAGCAGTGTTTACATAAACAGCTCCCTAAGTTACCAAATTAACACTTTTATAAAAAGAAAATTTCAGACATTTTAGATTGTTGTAGGGATTCCTACAATAGCTTCCATGGGTTGGTGGCTTATTGATGACTTAGGTGAAGGGTTAGAAGGCATGATCAACAAGTTTGCAGATAACACCAAATTGTGAGGGATAGCTAATACTCCAGAAGACAGGATCAAAATTCAAAATGATTTTAACAAAATCATTTCAATAGTTTGTATGCAATGCAATGCTGTAATGTGTTTAAAGGCAGGTTTCAAACACCTACCTTAAATATTCTTCACTGGAAAAGGTACAACACTTTGACATTTCTAAAGAAAATAATTCTTTGTACAATGCAAGTAAGGAAATGGCATTCTACAAAGGAATCTCCTTTTTCTTGCTCTATCAGCTTTTACATTAACAGTATGATGTCTTCTCATCCAGTGAGGCAATTATTTCAATTTTTTAATCTACATGAAATCTTTTGACAGCTTTTTTCATGTCGGGTGCGACTTATGCAACTGCAAGTAGTTTGTGGTGTGAGAGAATTGGCTGTCTGCAGAGACGTTGCCCAGAGGATGCCCAGATGTTTGACCATCCTTGTGGAAGGCTTCTCTCGTGTCCACACAAAGGGAGCTGGAGCTGACAGAGGAAGCTCAACCTGATCTCCCTGGATTCAAACTGATCTATTGATCAGCTAGGAGACATCCAGAAGTGACCACACTGTTCACAAAAACATAATAGGAGTCCTGAGAAAAGAAATCATACAGCAACAGCTAGTGCTTTTAAAAATTGCACAGTAAATTAAACTCATAGATAGTACCTGCCAATAATATCTCTGATTGTGAGACATGAGGAAATAGATAAAGGGATGGCTGCAAAGAACCTGGAAAGTCGAACTACCAACATTATATAGCAAAGCATGGCTTGTCATTGAGTCAAAATCTAATAAATATTTGCATTTAAAACCAGTGAAGAAACTGTGTGTGTGCCAAGTGTATGTAAAGTGTCTTGTGTAAAAGCTGCAAAATCCAAGGCCTGGATAAAACATGTAAGGCTTTTTATTCTTAATATGTACATATAAATTCTAGTTACCCACTGTGCCTGGGATCCTGTTAGTTGCTCCCATTAAACCAACTGTTGAGTGGTACATCACCATATAGGTAAATCTATTTGATTCTGCAGACCCACGCTAAAATCTGGAGCTGTTTGTTGTTTAAGAGTAGAGAATGTTTGTTATGAACAGAATTATAAATTCCAAAATTAAACTAATATGCATTTCTTTGTGAAGAAAGTTCTGATTTGAATCAGCTGCATTCAGTTTTGAACTTCAGTTTGGTTTTTACAATGTGTAGTGTCTTCTTAGAACAGGGGTTCCCAACCTGTGGTCCATGGGTCACTAGTGGTCCACAACAACTGAAATATGGTCCATGGCCTCACCATTACTATACTGTTGCAATGAGAGTGACTGGTCTTGTGAAACCATCTTATAGAGCTAAGGCAACGAGGATGTTGGGAGGGGAGAGGCTGACTACCCACGAAAGGTGTGACAAAAAGCCTCCTGACTGCTGCTGTTGCTCCTCCTCCCTCCCCCTGAGCAGGGCTGTTCCATGTGGCATCGAGGGCGCCTTGGTGTCTTAGTTTTTTGGCCTGTTCCTGGGGTTATTTGGGATACTGATTCAGAAAATTGCATTGGATAGACCACATCAGCTGTAGATTATTAAATGTGGTTTTCTGAGAGAGAGCAGATGGTGACTACTTGATGGCATATGTTCTGTATCAGAAACTAGAGCTGATGTGGTCTATCCAGTGCAATTTTTTGAATTAGCACCCCCAAATAATCAAACTGACTCTAAAGTTGACCAAAAACTGAATTTGTAACCTTTTAGGTACTAATGTTAGAGAGTGGTAAAAAAAAAAAAAAAGGTTGGGAACCACAGTCTTAGAAGATAAAAGTAAGTTCTATTGTCTCCTGTCATTGTTTCCTCCTGCTGTCAAAGAACTGCTAATGCAGAATTTTTGAAACTAAAGAATTTGAGGAAATTTTATGAGTACAATGGAATGTAGTATTTTGTCAGCAAGATGGCTGCATGGTAGAGAATATAGATTTTTTTTACCATTTGCCACATACATGTATTATGGCCCTCCTCCGTATATATACTTTCTGTATTAAAAGTGTCACCAAAACCAGGAAAAACTAGCATTTTCAGCGAGAATCCAACTAACAAGAAATCTATGCTAGAAATGTGCTCCCTGACACCTTTCTCAGGAAGCTGTCTTTTTAAAAAGTTAACAACTCTCTTTCAGATCTTATTTCATACTGCTCTCATAGTGAAATAGGAGAGTTTCTATGAGTTCACTGACTTCTTCCTCATTATAAGTAAATGGATGATATAAAATTCACTTCACTAAATCAAAACTTGATTTCTATACATCAGTTCAGCAAGATCAGCTCAACAGAAGTGCATCTTGTGTATTAACACTGAAGAATTTACAGTGAATTAGCTATCAAGTCAAGTGGTAAACTCCCTTCAAACATGTTGGAAGTGTAATATTTATCTCTGTATGTGTCGCAACTTCATATTGAAATATCACTAACAAAACTTCCAATTTCCAAAGAATTTTAAAAAACATTTTTTAAAGATAGGGCAGAACAGAAACAATGGTCTCATAACAAAAATTTGCTTAAGGAAAAGGTCTTCACAACCACCTAAATGTTTGGCAAGAAACAACAATAAACTGAAGAAAGAACAATACTTTGAACATGTTCCTTCTGCGAAAGTGACTTTTTTTGACTTGGTTAGAATAAATAGCTGGAAAGGCAACTGAAGGTACTATTTCTCACTTGTTCTAGGAAATCTTTTTTAACAAGCATTTTCAAACTACTTGACAGCATCTTGAACATATTTATTCACTTTTGAAAATAAAGTGCACACATATACACTAAAAGAATCAGCAACAATATTGGGGAATTTCTCCCCCTGACTGCTGCATGGCCTTTTCACCAAAGTTGAAACCCACTGAATTTGAAAGGCAGCTTACTTCTAAGTGGCAGTGTATTATGCTTTAGAAAGACTGCCAAACTGTTTTTAAAAAACCAAACAGAATACTAGAGTTGCATTTTACTTAATAGGAGGGAGTTTGGTTACTATTAGCATGTAAACCACTCGGCTTTGCTGGGAGGAAAGGCAACTGTCTGGCATTGTGGAAAGCAAACAGTTCATTGTCTGGTTAGGGCACCACAATATAAATACAAATACAGCTTTTTTAAGTGTCGTAAAAGCACCCAAGCCTCCCATTTCAGACTGCAAAAGAAGTGAATACTATCTGTACAGCATGTATCTTTTACAAAATCAATATATTTCTCTTCCAAACATTCATTTCAATAGGAAAAATTCAGCATAACAACCAGGTAATTGTCACAGAATTATCACAGGGATTAAATATTCGCTGTCAAAATTTCTCACCTCTGAAAGATCTGTCACACACTACTATATAGACTTAAGACAGTCTGCTTGCCATTTAAATTAGCTTTAAGGTATAGATATAAAATCTTTAATATTAACAAATAATTTAATTGCACAGAGCCAGCCATCATGAAACCAAAAGGATTCTGGCCAACAAGTGAACTCTACAGTATAATCACTCTATAGTACACATTTTACAAGATATTTGAATTTATACACTTCTACAGTTTAATACAACAGGTTTTTTTCCCAAGTGGCAACTTCTGAATTAACTGTGCCTTTGTTTCAGAAGTTCATCGATCTGAGTCTTGTACATATTTTTTACATCTTCAAGGTCCAACCTCAGCTCTTCTGCCTCTTCTGCTTTCTCGCCATACATCTGGAGAATAGTATTGTATCTCTGATCCAAATCCTGGACCGGAAAGGGGTGTGGGTGGGGGGGGGGGGGGGGAGAGGAGATAACGCAATACATATGAAGTTGGCTTCCTCATTTATGAAAATATCTTTTTCTCACTCAAGAAATATGCTAACAGCAAACCTATCTAGCTGAGAGTGCTTAGGGAAATTGCAAGGTTTCCCTCCCTCAAAAACCCCAAAGAGGCAAAAGCAGGCATGGGCAAACTTCGGCTCTCCAGGTGTTTTGGACTTCAACACCCACAATTCCCAAGAGTCTACTGACTGATAGGAATTGTGGAAGTTGAAGTCCAAAACACCTGGAGGGGTGAAGTTTGCCCATGCCTGGGCTACAGCATGCTGAGTGGGAAGAGAAGGTTAGCTGATATTTGTGAAGGAAAACATGGAAAACAAATAGGTTTAAATGAAATCATCTGGAAGAAGGGATGGATGATAATCTGGAACACTGGATGGAAGTACTTCATACATACAGAAAAGAAATATGAAACTTGCTATAAAATTAGTGCTGCTTCTATTATACAGATTGAGCATCCTTTATCTGGAAATCCAAAATCCTCCAAGTTCTGAAACTATCCACATGGGTGGATGAAAGAGTTAACACCTTTGCCTTTCTGAGAGTTCAGTGTAGACAAACTTTGTTTCATACGTAAAAAATATTGAAAACATTGTATGAAGTTACCTTCGTACTATGTGTTATAAGATGTATATGAAACATAAATGAATTTCTGGTCCCAAATATTTTGGATAAGAAATACTCAACCTGTATTACAAAATCAGAACCCTTAGTAGCAAATCTACTGATTTAAATTTAAATGTAGCTCTATATAAGACTACTTGTAGCTTTTAAAAGCCTAATGTGCTTCTTAGAAAATAAACTCATTTTTTTTAGTTTGAGTTTTAAAAGGACTAATACCTGCTTTCTAAACCCAATTATCAGAACTGGGCCGAAGATATGTACTCATTTCCCTACCATTTATACTCCTCAGCTGTATCCTGTGGGTACTCTTTCCCAATAAAGCTATGAAACATACCAAACACACAACCAAGATGAAAGCCATCATAACTTAAGGCTTGATCTCCCTCAGCATCGCCTTCTGTTTGCCTTTCCAGCTAGGAATGGAGCCATCCATCCCAGAAAGACAGTTCAAAGGAGCACTGTGGTCAATGGTCTGAATGTTGGGGAGAGTTCCAGCAGTACCAACAAGGACACACTCCTCTGCCCAGTTCCCAAAGACCAACCACAAAGGTGCCTAAAGCTGTTTCCATCTCATCATTATGCCTGAAGTCAGACTCAAGTGGATCTAGAGTAAAACTGTCTCATTCAGGAGCCATGGAACTGGGAGCTTTTAAAAAGTAAGCCATGGATTATCTAGCTCAGGCAGGGGCAAACTCTGGCCATGCCTGAGCTACTAACACCCAAAAATCCCAGTCAGTTCATCGGATGTTAGGAATTGTGGGAGTTAAAAGTGCAAAATACCTGGAGGGCCAAAGTTTGCCCATGCCTGAGCTATCTGCTTAAATTGTTTTTCTGTTGTCCTGGATTATTTTGCTTCTAGTTCTATCATATCTATTATATTACTTTTATTACATATTTTGCATTTGAATATTGGACATATTTAACTGGTTCTTATATATTATAAATTGTTTTGAAAAGTTTGGAGATTGAAATGCAAGATCTAAATATCTACATTAGGCATGGAGAAACTTTGGCCATCCAGGTGTTTTGCATTTCATCTCCCACAATTCCTAACAGCCGGTAAATAAATAACCATAATGCTTATTTTCAATTATGCAGTAATGCTCCTGCTGTAACTATAGGAGTGTAGTGCTTTCCATGTTTACTCAGAAATATGTTCCAATACACTCAGTGGCACTTATTCCATAGACAGTCCACTTGTGATTGAAAATGTTTCTTTGGACTATTTCCAAAGGGATACTCTGTTACCTGCTGGGGATTTTGTTACAGGATCTCCATGGATGCAATCTATGGATGCACAAATCCCATTATCTACAATGACACAGTAAAATGGTAGGCCTTACATAAAATAATAAAATCAAGGTTATATATATATATATATATATATATATATATATATATATATATGGATGGATATAGAGGACAAGCTGCAGATTTTATTTTAGATTTTATCTAATTTTAGAACCTACCCTTAATTGTGCACGCAGCTTGGGAATCTCCTTTACTTTTTCTTCTAAGTCATCATTTTGATTTGTTAATTTGACCAACTCCTCTGCCATTATTGACCGAGTTCGCTCAAGGTTTCCAATCTCCAGCTGCAATAAGAAATATCTGATAGTTAGAGCTTGAAGTACATTTTGTTTTTCATTGAAAATATGAGTTTTGAATTTGCAGGCTTCGGTTCTTTCTTAGTGGTATTGATACACAAGATATATTCTGTTACTAAAGAGAGTTCTAAAAATTACCATAAATGCTTTTCAAAGGATTACCTAGAGTACTTGTATTCTACAGACAAGCTCTGAAAGTCCTGTATGGCTTATGTTGTTGTTGTTCTTAAAGAATATATTGTTTGGAAATGCAAATAGGGAAGCAAGAATAGAAAAAATAATATATAAAAATCTTCTATAGTTTCTGGTGGAATACCTGAAGCCTTCATTGAGGCCCTGAAGGGAAAAGGAATTTACTTTTTCAACTGCTACCTTTAAATTCTACCTTCTCTCATCCAAAGTCCAATTTTAATGCACCAGACATTTTTCTAATGTCTCGTGCCTCAAGAACAAAAGAAGTCCTAAATTTCCAATTAAAGCAGTCCTAAATTTTTGCCTTTTTGAGCAGAAACAGTGAAGACTGCTTGCCATAAACGTACAAACTGAGACAATATTATGGAGTACAAGCCACATCACGTTCCTAACTTTCTTGTGTATCAGTATTAGGAAAAAACATATGATTTAGTTTAAGGTTTCATAAAAAATGTCCTTTCGGTCCATATTAAAATATGCTTTTGAAAGATATTTTCATCTTGAGGAAGATGAAGGAAAAGTCAATTACAGGAAGTCCCCGAGTTACAAACATCATTGGACTTGCCAATTATTCATAGTTAAGACTGGGGCTGAGACAGAAAGTGAGAGAAATCTACTCCTCATAAGGAAAATTAATGGAGGAAAGGTGTCTCAACTGAAGTTTATCACCAATCCTTGTTTCCACACCAAGCCAAATTTTAAATGCCAATTATCACAAGGGCAGAAAGTGAGATGAAATTTTCTGACCAGATACACAGTGAAACCAACACCTCAGGGGTCTTAACCCTTCCCTATGCTACCCCAAAATAAAATAAATGTACCTGTTCCAGCTTACATACAAATTCAGCTTAAGAACAAACCTACAGATCCTATCCTGGGGACTGCCTGTATGTAGGTTACAATGATATTTAAACAGCTGCTAACATGATCAGGTCATGGATCCTTATGCTCACGTTTGTCAGATTTAATACTTCGGAAGTTGTTGGAAACACAATTCAGCTTTGTGCCTTTTCTTGTGATGTTTTCATCAGAAGCAGGGCTAAAAATGTAGAGGTGTATTTGATTTGGTTGCTGTCATGCTTTCAGGGTATTAACCTATTCGAAGTTGATAAGCACTGTCACTAAATTTATAAATGCAGATTGTTGGGCTTAGCAGTAAAAACCCAACAATTTATTTAATGCTAGCAAAAATGAATGCTAAGGAATGCTAGTATAAACCAGCATAGGCTGAGATTGGATAGTGGAACACACTGCTTCAGAGATTGGATGGCTGTCTTTTGTACATTCTTCAGTTGTGCATTTCTACACAGCAAGCAACTGGGTGACACAGCCTTTGCAGTTCCTTCCAAGTATATTACACTGAGTAGAAGGCAAGCCTTATACAGAGGCAATAGGAGTGGTGCATTGTGTTCAACTCTGGAAGATCCTCTGCCCTCAGGCATGGCTGATGAATCGCTAAATTTATTACCAGTAGCTATTTGTCCCATGATGCATATTTTGGATCCGTGCCTCACACATGACAGTGAACTTGCACTGATTAAATGCACCAATTTTCGAGGCTGAGTTTATAAGGTTCTGCAGTCAGTATGGTTGTATAAAAGGCTATTCATTCACTTGGATGATGTTTCAGAAAAAAGACAGTTCCTAAATCCATGTTTTCTAAACTTCAATCCGACTTGGATGTAATAAGCATTATTATTTATTTATCTTTAAAAAAATAACACTGGAACATTTAGGCTAACAGTAGATTAATACAGCCAAAGTAAAACAGACTCTCTTACTACTTTCAAGTATGTCACCAGATGTTTCAAAATGATGGACCCAATTTCAAAGCAGTATATTTTACAATTATACAAAAGGTATCAAATGGTTTAAGTTTTACTGTATTAATTTTGGGCCAGGAACAAATCTAAAACAATAACCCTGCAAACTGAGAATATTTCATTAGGCCTTATGTTACTAAGTCGTCATTTTTGAATGGCTGATGTTAGGGGTTGTTTATATGCTGAGAGAGGCATCTAGTAGTAATCATTTGAATAACATTCTTTCAAGTGGTAAGAATTTCATTCATGGGAGGTTCATAGTTGGAGAGATATAGCCATTTCAGATTGGCTCCATCTTTTTGAAACCCTTTGTATTATGGGTCTTCATTGCATATTCCTACATATAAATTCATGTAATACTGTGATTACCTGTAGGTGAGAAACCTCTCCATCCCGTAATTTTAATTGTGATTGCAGATTTTCAATAATACTTGACCCTGCTCCCATCCTAACAGCATCATATAGGTTGTTCCCACTTGTAGACAATGATCCAAAGGAATGTTCATGAGGGTCATCCTGCAAGTAAAATGTGACACAGCCACGAAAATGAACATTTAAAAGACTCTCATGAGATGTTGCTTCAAAGTGATGATTTTATGTTCAATACTAACACTTCCAAGTCATTTGTAATGTTGATAAAGAATTTCCTGGGCTTAAAATGGCATACATCAATTTAAACAAGTGTTTTCCCCACCTACCCCACTGAAAAATAATAATCTAAATGACAACATTTAAAGATTAAGTTGGACTTCCCACCTCCAACCTCAATGACAATGAAAACATTATTGTAATCCCAATAATCATTTCAAAGTTTCTTTATTCTATCTTTCTAACTCAATGTTTTATTCAGTCATCAAAACCTGCAAGCATTTCTTAAGTTTTATGTTTTTTAAAATAAATGTGATATGTAGTTCCTATTTTTCTAAAAAATTATCAGTTGACCTCCTTTATTAAACAAGATAGTGTGTGTCCATTTCTGCTAATTATAAAACTTTTGTTTTCCAATTTTCTTTTAGGGATTGATGGTTAGTTTTCCATTCTTGTGTATAGAGTACAGGAGTCTTGCTGCAACAATCATATAATGTACTACCTTGGAATTCATGGGTTTTGCTTGATCATTTGCAAGTTTCAGTAGAAATGAAGTTGGATCTAGTTGCAATCTGATTTTAAATATCTGGTGTAACAAAGTTTGTATCAGTCTCCAATATTCTTTGGCTTTATTACATATCCATCACATATGGTTAAAAAGTACTTTTCAGAAGTATTACATGTTTGCATTTCAGTCTCACTTGAGCAAGGAGACTGAAATGCATTAAAAAAAAAATCCTAAGAGCAACACTTCAGACACCATGATTTCCTGATCAACATAGAAGGAGCAAACAGAAGTCATTACCTGAGATATGAAGGATGCCTGGAGACCAGCCATATCAGCCCCACTTACAGAGCTTGAACGTGAAAGCGATGGAGTACTTGAGACAGTTTCTATTGCTGATGAAATGTATAATTTACGTTCCTTAGAGAAAACATACAAAATGCTGAGTAGAATAACCAAGAAAGAGTGGGCATTTCAGAGGAAGAATCATTTGATCAGGGTTATGGCTACTATAACTGGCTTTACTCACTTAAGTCTTCCAGGTGAAGCTGTTTACAGAACTTGTTGCTTATTGGATGCAAAGTAACTTCATTTAATATTCACACAGAAGAATTATCTGTTTTCTCTTTACAATCTGACATATTGATGAAAAATGCAGGTTTTCTGTGTGTGTCAGTCTAGGAATTTATAATTAATATCAAATCAAACTAAAGCTTTTCAAACATTGTCATCGTTCTCAACCTGTGGGTCCCCAGGTGTTTTGGCCTTCAACTCCCAGAAATCCTAACAGCTGGTAAACTGGCTGGGATTTCTAGGAGTTGTAGGCCAAAAACACCTGGGGACCCACAGGTTATGAACCACTGTCTTAGTAACTCTCTGTGAAGAAAAATGAAGAATGCTGACATGGGATGCAGAGAAATATAAAAAGCAGGAGGATCTGGTGGTAGTAGTCACAGCAGTGATGCCCAAAGGGAAATTGAAAGAAAAGGAAAGCAGGTCAGGCAGACAGGACATTTGTAAAGATTGGGGTCATAGAAGGAAACATATATGCCACAAAATATGTGTGTGTGTGTGTGTGGCTGGGGTGTACACTTACACAGACAAGCTCCTGCCTCCACAAACACCTGTAGTTCCCATTACTCAGGAGACACCAAAGGCCCTCCCTCCAATGACATTGCAGGTTATAGTGAGCGCCATGAACATGAACAAGAGCCTGTCAATGTCCTTCACAAATACTATACTGCCCACCAGCCAAGTGAAGGCTTTAATATGGGGACAATTTCATCCTAGATTCTTTGTGTTTCCTCCATCACAAACATCCCAGTGTTTCTGACTCTTTCCATGGTGTGGAATTTGCATGACCCCACCTGCTGCCTCTCCCATAACCTTTTCCTATTCTTTTCTATGGCACACAACAGGCAGAGAAATGGATCAGCAACTGAGAGGTTGGGGAGAATTCACCATGATTTATAGGAGTTGTAGGTACTGGGATGTATAGTTCACTTGTAATCTAAGAGCTCTCTGAACACCACCAACGAATGACCTGAAACTACCTTGGCACACAGAACCCCCATGACCAACAAAAAATACTAGAGGTCTCTGGAGAGATTGATAGGAGTTGTAGTTCACCTACATCCAGAGTATGAACCCAAACAATGGTGGATCTGGACCAAACTTGGCACGCATACCCGATGTGCTGAAATTTGATTATTGGGGGTGGGGGGGGGGACTGACCTTCCTTTCTGGAGTTGTAGTTCACCCACAACCAGATAAACTGTGACCTCCACCAGTGATGGACCTGGACCAAACTTGGCACAAAGAACCACCATGACTAACTCAACCTACTGGAGGGGTTTGAGGGGACTGACTCACCATAGTGGGAGTTGCAATTTACCCTACAGCCAGAGAGCACACTGAACCCCACTAATGACACATCTAGAGCAAACTTGACCAACAATCTTCAACTACTGATGGGATTTTCAGGGGCATGATTTAAGTTGTAGTTCACCCACAATACTGACTTTTCCAAATAACCCAGGCAACACCAGGTACTCAAGCTTATACACATACACATACACACACACACACACACACATGCAAAACTGCTACACACCAATCCCAAATCAGTTCAACTAACTTTAATTTGAGTGGGGAGAATGGCACTATCAAAGACACAAACATTGACAAGCTAATATTCTATGAACACCTGCTTTTTTCTTAAGCCTTTAAGATTTTTGTCACATTAAAATGATAGGAGCTCATTAACACAATCAAGTACCTTCTCTCTTGCTGATTCTTGTACAAAAACGGCTTTCTTTTTTTCTTGTTCAACCTTCATTTTTTCCATTTCTAGCTGAGTAGCTAACAGCATCTGAAGAAAGGGAAAGATACTGCTTTATTTATTGAGATCTCTACTTGATGAAGCAACATTGCATTGAAGAGTTGTATGTGTTAAACCTTTTCTTTCTTTGCTTCTTCAACAGTTTTCACGTATTCTTCCTTGAGGTTTTCTAGCTCAACTTCATACCTGTATGTAAAAGAGAAGGTACTGTCAGTTGAAAGAAAAAACCTGAAATGTGCTGAACTAGCACATTAAGTTCTACTCTTTGGCAATGACAGGAGGAGAAATAACTATTTACACTGTTTTATTTCTTCAGCCAATTAGTTCCTTTTCTTTCGGTGTTATGGTTCACCTTTTCCCCATGCATCTCAACAATTCCCTTCTCTTCCTTTCCTTAGATCTTTGTTTTTCTCTTTGTTGCTCCTTTTTTTATTATCCTTCTCAAAACTCAAAAATCTCTACTTGATTCCTACCCAAATTAAATGCAATTTATTTTACTTAATTGTCCACAACCTCTCTCCAAAACACTCCACAAAGCCTTTTCCATTCCCATGCAAATCATCCCAGGATTTGGAATGTCCCTGGCCTGTCTAATATCAAGCTTTCTTTCTCAATCACCTATTTTAAGTTGCTATTATTATAAACTTTAGAAGCAATTCACCTGTTGTTTTCATTTTCTAGTTTCTTAAGCCTGGTTTTCTCTCCTTCTAATTGAGCTTGGAGGCGGTTATTCTCTTGCCTCAGGATACTATTTTGAGACTCAGTGGAAGAAAGCTGGATTTTATTGGAAAGAAGTTCTTCTGTAGCTGCGCGTTCTCTTTCAGTCTGTGCTGCCAGGGCAGTTTGAGATTCCCCTAGTACCAAAAAAGTAAATATAGTGAATACTGGGGAAGGCATCTTTAGCAGCATGACAAATATCAGGACAGCTTAATTCGCACATGCAGACAATTTGTGAGAGAAAGAGGAACCCTGGACAATCCACAGATATATACCTCACTTGCCTAGTTTCCAACAGACCCCTCAACCTCTGAGGATGCCCATCATAGATGTGAGCGAAACGTCAGGGGAAAGTGATTCTGGAACATGGCCATACAGCCCGGAAAACCCATAGCAACACAACCAATAAAAAATTTAAATAAGTCAGATACAAAAACTTTTAAAAAACCAACAAACAACTTACAATATAAAGGGCCCAAGTGGTCACTTTTGTATAGCAGAAAGGGTTATATTCAGAAAAGCAAAGTAAAGAACACCAGTCAATTAAATCAGATACAGCATTAAAGCTGGTTCCAGAGAGAGCTCTGTATCTATTCTAGTGAATATTCATATTGAATCAGTGACTTAAGCTACACTTTGCATCAAGGTTTTTGACACCTACCAAGGAAGGACAACTGGATGCCTTACCAAGCCTATCAGAGAGATTCTTCTCCAACTTCTCCCAGGCCAAAGTTTGTGCTCCCAAGGTTGCTTGCAAGTTTTCTATCTGTCGGAGCAGAGGCCGTGTAGCAGATGTAACACTTTGACTTAGCTCTTGGTTACGAGATTCCGCTTCTTGAAGTCTCTGTAATAATTATATGTGTAACAGTCACAATCTAAAATACCATTAACAAGATGATTTAAGGGAATTTTGGTAAATGTAATACAGTACCACATTACTGTTACGACCATTAGTGAAATGGTCCAAGATCAAATCAAATCTGAACTTTCTCTAGAAAGTTCCCTAGCCAAGATGACTGAACTGAAATTTATTTATTTATTTACCCTATTTACACCACGCCTTTCTCTACCCCAAAGGGGACTCAAGGCAGCTTACATATAGGCAATTATTCAATGCCTTAACACACATACAATTCCAATAACATTAAAATAAAAAATTAATACATATTAAGCATTTAAAAAACATTAGATTTAATATTAAAATCACGCCATCCATAATCGTAGTCCAAAGTCATTCCATAGTCATTGCACATATTCTAAATCTGTTATTGCACTGCATTATTCTCCAAAAGCCTCATCTCAAGCCAAGTTTTTATTTTTCTTCTGAAGGCTAGGCGGGAAGGGGCTGGTCTGATGTCGCAGGGGACATCAGATTGTCATACTTTGGTTATATTTTGAGATGGCATAACTCTGTAGAAAAGACAATACTTGGTATGGTAGTGAGAAGGCAGGAGAAAAGAGGAAGACTGCATTCCAGATGGATGACCTCAATCAAAGAAGTCATGTCCCTGAATCTGCAAGACCTGAGGCAGGACTGTTGATAACCGGGTGACTATGATGTGTCTCACTCACAGGGTCACCGTAAGTCATAGCCGACTGATGACTGTTATCAATAAATGCAGTTATAATTATTTAGTATTAGCAAACATCTACAGCAGAAGTTGCATCCAAGTATGGAATTCAGAGCCATTACTAAATCATTTCTGCTCCACTTCATTACTTAATTATGAAATTGTGTTGGAATAAACTAAAGCAGCTATTTTAAAAAAAATAGATTAATCTGTTGCCTCTGAATTAGTCAGTTCACTCAATATATGCTGCCTTAATAAATTATTTCATAACCAAAAGAACAAGGAATATACAGAGGCTTCTGTAACATGTTCTCTTTTTTAAAAGTTTTCCTGCATATTTTGACGCAATAGAAAAAAAGATTGAAGGCAAATCCTGCACAAATTAGAAACATTTGTTCTAGCATTTTCCAAGATGGGAAGATAACCTGACATTTTAAAAATAGCTGTTGCAATACCTGCTGAAGTTCGCTAATTTCTTGGCGCAAGTAATCCTCCTTTCTAGCTGTTTGTTGCTCCGCACGTTGCAAGGCCAGTCTCAAGTCAGCCACCTACAAAGCCGGAATAAAGAAACAATATATTGCAACTCTTTTTCTTGTAGCAGGTATCAGAGACGTTCAAGGATTCCAGTTTTCTTAAAGGATTAATTGGATACATGCAGTAGCGGTAAATATAGGGTTCATTTCTGCTGTAAGGTCTAAAGCATTTCAAATGCTTTCCATGTAATTTAAAAACAAACAAGACTTGGCTTCTTGTGTTCCTGCCTGTGATTAATTATACCAAAATTTGTGGGATCTACTTGTTCAAAGTCAAGCATTAGTCACTCTACCTCTGACTGACCTGAATTGCTAACGCTTCTTGCTGCTGCCGAGCTTCCTCTTGTGCTTTTTCTAAAGCTAAGCCCAGCTCTTCCTTCATTTTGATTTCATGACTTAGGGCTGCTTCTTGGGCCACACAGTCCTTTGCAGCATTGGCTTTATGAAGATCTGCAAGTTCTCTTTTTATTTTATTTTGAATTTATTTTTTTTTGGGGGGGGGGGGAGAGAACAACATAATTCAGTTAAGGAACAGCATTTCTATATTTTGAAATACAACCCAAACAAAACATCATACATGGGAGATTTTACATAACAGTTTTTCCTACATCCATAATTTTTTTCTTTGCTTGTTATTTTGATCAATGGCGCCTTACTTGTATGCACCATCGAGAGCTGCCTGAACACTTCGGTTTCTCTCTTCAAGATCTTCGAGATCAGCATGGAGTCTGACAAGATCTTTCTCTTGGCGTTCAACCAGGCTATTTAGCTGCTTTATGTTCTCTCTATGCTGCTTCTCAAGTTCCTCCTTGCCATCCAATACCTGTTTGGATTGGAATCCATTATACTTTGTTTGCTAGCAGTTAAAAATAGTCAGCAGTTTAAGTAATTATTACTAATTTATGTAATAAAGAAAAAGAACAACATATATACAGGGAACCATGATGAAATGGCAAGTTATTTATTATTATTATTTATTTCGGACATTTGTACCCCATCCTTCTCAACCCCTGAAGGGGACTCAGGGCAGCTCACAATTGGCAACCATTAGATGCCGGCACACAAAAAACAGTAAGAACAGTTGACATTAAATAAAACAACAAAAATTAAAATACATTAAGGTATCAACCATTAAAATATTGCAACACTACCAGCCTAAGTCCTCAAATCCAAATTGTAATCCAGAGTTCCAGTCTAGGTCTATTCATTGGTGTAAGTCATTGCAATTGCTGCTCAGTTAGCTGCAAGTTGATGCTTCCTGCACAGTGTTTGTATAAGATGGCAAGTGGAGTTGTTGTGTTCGCTTTTACTGTATGCTTTCAAGTCATTTCTGACTTATGTCAGACTTACAATAAACCTATCACTGGTTTTGCCTGACAAGGTTTGCCTTTGCCTTCCTCTAAGAGAATGTGACCTGCCCAAGATCATGTGTTAAGTTTCCATGGCCGGGCAGGAATTCAAATCTTGCTCTCCAGAGCCTTAGCCTGGATCTATGCTGCCTTATACCCCAGGATCTGATCCCAGATTGTGTGTCTTGAAATTGATTATACGAGTCTCCACTGCCAGGTAATCTGGGATAAGCACATATCTGGGATTAGATCCTGGGATATAGTGTAGTGTAGAAGGGATCTTAGTGTAATGTGCACCAACACTATGCCACACTGACCCAGGCAAGTGGAGGGAGATGACTTATTTCCCTTGCCAAACACTTCCTGAGTTTGCAGTTGAAATTGTTGTACAACTTTCTCACTATACTGCCATTTGCGACTCTCAATGAATTCATTAAAAAACCGATTACTGCAGAATGCTGTGGTATATGCCTCTGTGTGTGTGTGTGCGTATAATTTGAAAATTAATCTTTCCAAGAGAACTAAAGAAAAGTATATAAATATAGATATTAGTCTGATGCGTTTGTATGGAATCGCTATTTGATTTGTTTGTTTTGGAGCCCCCCCCCCCTTTCTTTATTTTGTTTTCAGATGCCTTTCCAAATGAGCTCTTTCATTCTGCGTCCAAAAGAACGAAAATTTTCAGACCATGGCCAACATGGTGGGCTTCCCAGGCTCCCCTTCCACTCAGTTTTAGGGCTAGAAGGGTGAAAATCACCACACATGGAAGGTACATCTACCAGTCTTAGCCCACTAGGGCTTATAACATTTGGACCATCCCCCGATTTTTAGGATTTTTTTTTCTATAAATAAAATCTCTTTTAAAACATTGCCACTCCCCCCCCCTCCCACACTGGCCCCACTCTCTAACTTCTATTCCTCATGAATGTTTTTCATAATGTGTGCCCTACTCCACTCTTCAGAAAGTAATATGAAGGTTGACAGTTATTGTAGTTTCACGTTTATTTCTTTTTGGAATATGCCTTTGGAGACACTTTACAAGAACTTGAACTTTTAAAAATGAATTGCCCTCGCTGCAACTCAAAGACATAGTCAAAGCTACCCTTCTATAAATTTGGCCAACCTGCTTAAGATGCTGCAACTCCTCTTCAAATTCCTGAATTTTTTTACTCTGCTTTGTATTAATATTTTCTTTTTCCTTCTCTTTTGCTCTTAGCTTCTTGATGATATTAGAACTTTGTAACTGTTGTTTGGAAAGCTTTTCTCCTGAAAAAGACAGAAGGGCTGGTTACTTGACATCTGTGGATATTTTATATACAACAATGACTCTTTACAGTCCACTTCAAAACCCAGTTCACTCAGTTGACTTTGGACTAATTTCTCACTAGCAATGAACATAAACATTATAATGTTTTAAATCCGTTTACTTTAGCTTCATTACATTCTGTTGATATACAATTTGGCAGGACAATCAGGCCTCCTACAGCAGTGTAAATAACAGATATCATAAAAGATTAACCCTGTTCAAACATATTCAAAGGGTGTTGCAATAATACATGAAGAGGAAAGTGTAGTGCCACCTTCTCTGCAACTGCCTTAACTCTTCCATTTGTGTAGGCTGATCTTATGAAAGGGAAAATTTTCTACAGGAATTCTGCAGATATTAAGCCATCAAAGGCGATTTCCATGTCAGGTTAAGATACATCTTCAAAATTCATACTTCTAGGGGAAATAAGGCTGCTAACGAAGTCACATACAACCTTGACACAGCCATGAACACCACTAAACACAAACATACACATACAAATGTAAGATAAAATATAGCTTCAGGCTTAAAACTACAAGATGGATTCTCAAAATATAGGACTACCAATTTGAGGTGATTCTACTTGACCTTTTATAGCAGTGGTTCTCAACCTGTAGGTCCCCAGGTGTTTTGGCCTACAACTCCCAGAAATCCCAGCCAGTTTACCAGCTGTTAGGATTTCTAGGAGTTGAAGGTCAAAACATCTGGGGGACCCACAGGTTGAGAACCACTGTTTTATAGGGTTGCAGCAATAGTACGTTAGGAAAATGGAGTTGCAAATAAGTCTGGACAAAGCAGGGTTTTCAGCAGTAACTGTCCAGTCACAAAGCAAGCTATCTACCCACTGACAAACATAACTGCATACCAAGACCTTGCTTTTTGACATACTAACTACACTACCTTGACTCCATCACAGACCATAACATCAAAGAGTAGGATGCAGCATATTTACAATTTTAAAGCCCTAAATATTTTCTAGAAAATGCAGTAGTTCGGGAGTAACCAGCCTCATGCATTGAAGTACTATAATCACGTTACCATAAACATGGCTTTTAAATAAACAGTTGACAACACATACTAAAACAATTTCCCCACATACCCACCTTCCTCCAATAATCCTTTGATTTGTTCATCTTTCTCCTTTAGTAATTCAGCAGTTTCATTAGTGTTCAATCTAGTTGCTAGATCTTCTTTGAGATTCTTTACTTCCTAAAAAGGATAAGAAATAATCCATTCTCTAATTTAATTTTATATCTTAATAGTTGTACTCCAAGCTTTCCTCGTTCAACAAGCTGCTTTGGGTCCCGTTTAGGGAGAAAAGCAGAATATAAATAAAGATTTATTATTATTATTATTATTATTATTATTATAAAAAGGTCATCATCACTACTCTAATAAAATACTTATATCAGAATTTGGGAAGAGAATGAACATGCTGATTGGCACATTCATGATGTGTATTACTCCAAGAAAAATGGAGCCAAAGCAAACATTTATTTTTTTAAAAAATTAACAGTGACAAAAAATCTCCTGATCCATCTTCTACTCATACTATATGCTAGATTATTTGTTCTGCATGTTTTGAAAACTCAACCATGATGTCGTCTCACAGTCTCATTCTAACAAACTTCTAAATGAAATGAAAAGAAAATACATTTCATACATGCAAGAATTGTCTTACCTTTTTAGCAGCGTCTCTCTCTTTGCATGCTAACTGAACCTTTTTCTCTGCATCCGCAATTCGCTGAGCAAACTCCTCTTTAAGAGACGAAATACTACTGTTCTCTTCCTTCATTTTGAAGACTTCACTAAGCATAAAATGTGGACATCATTATTAACATACTTCACATATGCAATATTTAAGTTCACAAAAGTCCTCCTTGCATTCACACAAACAGGCCCGCTTCCCAAGAGACAAGACACAGTAGCAAGGAGTAGCTTACATTCTTCAGGGGAAATTTGGGTTTGACATGTTTGCATAAAAATGCATGCATACAGTCTCTACATTCTTCATTCTAGTTGAATATTTGATGAGATCCATCCATGAGGCAGTATTTGTTTCAAAGTTTACAAAGTCAGATTTTCTTTCACCATGCTCCTTTTTAAACAACCACTGGCACCAGTTCTCATCAAATCTCTAAAACCACATTCCTTGTTGACAAACCCAGGTTTTGACATAATCAAAATGCAACTAAATTAATGGGAGAATAATAATAATAATAATAATAATAATAATACTTTATTTGTATACCGCCCTATCTCCCTAAAGTCCAAAGGGAATCAGGGTAGTTTCCAACATAAAAGGCAAGTATTCAATTGCCAAGAAGAAAATCATACAGACAAATTAAAATAAAAGCATCATAAAACACAAAAATTCTACTAAAACACAACAATAAAAATTTAAACCGATTGCAATTATAACTCCACCAGATATCAGTATCTCAAGAGATGCCTCAAAACTTGGAACAGCTTTGTCTAACCTCAAGTTCCTCATTTCCATTTGTAACAATTAGTAAAAGAAACAAGTCTATTCAATGTCATCCAGCACAGAGACATGTCACTATTAAGATTGATTCCATTTTGTTCTATACCTTTTATTGATATTCAACAACTATTTTTATTTTTAAAAAGAATCTGTTGCAATCCATTAAAACCATAAAATAAGAAATGATATTACGTAAAAAGGAACAAAATGCATTTATTAAACAAAGGGAGTTCAACAATGTTTTCATTTGGTCTGTACAAATCCCAAACAAACATTAGTTACTGAAACTTACTCTTTAAGATTATCATAAGCTTCTTCTAAAGATGCCTTCTCTTTACTAATATTTAATAGTCTAGTTTCCCTCATCTCCAGTTTCTCCGTCAACGAATCAATAATCTGAAAAACATTTTAAACAGGAGGTGAGAAAGCTAGTCCAATGTTTATAAAGCAGGCATGGGAAAACTTTGGCCCTCCAGATGTTTTGGACTCCAACTCTCCCAATTTCTAACAGCCAGTAGGCTGTCAGGAGTGTGGAAGTTGAAGTCCAAAACACCTGGAGGACCAAAGTTTGCCCATGCCTGCTATAAAGACTCTTTTGGCAGTGTTGCACAATCACATTTTTAAAGATACTCTATTTTATAAAGCAGCTAAATACATTTCACATTATACAGCTATCATTGTTTTGGAATTTTCCCAAATACTATTCAGTCAATGACACCTAGTTAGGGTTGCCTTAGGATGAACATATGTCGAAAATGCTTTGAAGCCACGCAAGAACAAGTAGGGATGTGCAAATTTAATATGCTCTCAGTCTGAACACTAAGCAACTTCTGTAACACGATCAAGACCAAATGTATTTACAACAGAATAATATTTGGGGACCAATAATTTCACCTGGATTGTAAACAAGTGCATCTCAACAAAGTGGAAGCAACTGTGGCTTTAATGTTAGTGGTAACTTAATCCAATGCTTCTCAAGTTGTCACATGTGGAGGGCCACCACCTCCCCATCCTCCATGTGTAAAAGAAGAGTACCACTTTTTGTACCTAAAAGCTATAGCTACTTCTTTCTTTCCTGGAAACTCACTGTGGACTGGCTTCCAATGGCTTGCTGGCCTACAGACCACTGCATTGATAGTAATGATTTAATCCACGGGACTCTCTTGTGTGGGCATATAAAGATTAGAGGTGCAAAAATAATCATACCATAAAGCACCAAAACCAAATTTCTCCTTCCTCATTACATACTATACAGTGTATTCATAGCAGGCAGAGAGATGAGTAAAAATCAGTACAGTACATTCAATGACATTACAGAAATGGTCCTATAATCAAATCAATGTTTGCATTTGTCTGCAAAACCATACATCTCTTCCCTGGCACATTTTGTGGCCAATTAATACTTTGAGAGGGCAGCTGTAAAATGCAATGAAGGTCAATTCTGGTATTACCTTGCACAGCTCTTCTTTTTCACATTCTGCATTACTTAACTTTCCAGGACTGGGCTGAAATACCGCTGGTTCCTCTTTTTGTATCTGTCTTTGATCAATCTGCAAAGAAACAGCCAAGACATCTGGCTGCTCTGAATTCACAGGTGTTGCACTTCTCCCACTTTCCTCCATTTCTATTTCTTCTGCAGGTAGCGCAAGAGGCTCATTTTGGATTTGATCAGGCTTGCTTTTAACAGATTCCGTCTCATCACTTTTCAGTACAGGGGTGCTGATGTTGACAGATGCCGAAATACATCCCCTACCTGACAATTCATCATCTGAGTTTATTTCGCTTACACTTCTACTGTCTAAAGACTGCACACTAAATGAGTCAATCCTTTCAAAAGCATCAGAGGAGCAGCAGCTTTCAGTCAATTTCTGAAAGTCATCTAGACGGTTATAGTCAGTGCATGCAGACGCTGAGAGGAGCTGGAATGAAGTTTGCATGAGATGAAGACTAGCTTTTGAATCAGAAGCCTCTTGCCTTGAACTCACTGAGCTCTCACTTATTACACTTTCATGGTCCAGAACTTCAATGTCGCTAGTTGTGGATGTCCCCGAGGAAAAAGTGCTAACCGGAGGGGAAGGTGTATTACTTTGCCGATCCTCGCTTTTGCGTTCTTTTGTGTCCAGGGCCACATTTTTTGCCTCTGAAGACAGAGATTGTGCAGAGAGGTCAGGTGTAAGTTCAGGCCCATTGCCTCCTGAACTGGAATTCACCACAACAGTGGAGTCTGCTTCTTTTGGGTTGTCAGGAGATTCCTTTCGATCATCATCTTTAGGATTGTTTTCATCACACACATCTTCAGTAATAGAAACAGAATTATTTCCTTCTACTGCTTCCTGAGAATCACTGAAGTCTATCAGTTCCACAGTTGAAGTTGCAGGGAAATCCTCTGCTTCTGGTGAGTCAGCATCAAGAGATTCCTGTATTGTGCTTTTTACTTCTTCTTTGGGGCGCTGGGATTTGGTGGGTGGTGTAGATACCACTGGGCTTATTTGTATGTTCTGTACATCAGTTGGTGAGAGAAAGGCACTAAAGAATGTATCTGATTCATCCACCACAGTCCTCCTAACTGGCTTGGTGATGGCTGTAGGAGATGATATTGGCAGACTTTGGGGTTCTACAACTGAGTTGGTTCCCCATGTTGAAGAATCCCAACCTCCAGTTGTAAGAGAATTGGTTCCTATGATGAGATAAAGAAAGAAAAGTCACAATTTTTAAAAGGAAACAGGTATTACAAGTATTTAGATAAGTATGCACTATCTAATACAGTGATTCTGAACCTGTGAGTACCCAGATGTTTTGGTCTACAACTTCCAGAAATGCCATTCAGTTTACCAGCTGTTAGGATTTCTGGGAAATGAAGGCCAAATTATCTGGGGACGCACATGTTGAGAACCATTGATTTAATAGAATCATATCATCATCCAACCATGTCAATGGAGCTTCAACATAAAAAATGTAACAATATATGGTAAATAAATCATGTTTACTTCTATTTTATAGTTTAAAATATAATTTGTGTTCTGTCGCTCTAAGTAGCCTAATTGTTCATGTGCTGATGAAAAAATAACTTATACTACTATTGTACTATGGTATATTTGTTATTATCAGTTAATACACATTTGCCATTTATAACGGAGCTCAAGTGAGAATCAAAGGTTTGGTGTATTAATACCATAGCCCTGCATTCAACACCAATAAAATCTCATACAGCGAATATAATCATGACTACAGCAAAGTTGGTAGCATCTAACCACAACACTTTTCTGTTAGCAAAAGCTTTCCAACATTTTACCACACATTAGATATGCATAAGCCACAACCTCTAAAGAAGCAAAACTTAATGTTCTACTTTCCATGACTTTGGTTTCTCAAACAGTAATGGATTCTGCTGGCTAACAGGATCCTTAATATAACTTCCAATTGCCATGATTTCAGTGTGATTCTTTGTGTAAGCCTTACTTGCTAAACTAGATTTGGAGGTATGTGTGCACTGTGGAAGGACTGGGAGAGAAGTCTTTTGTAGTTCACGATGATGTCATCTACATAGACACTGCAATAAACTATGTTACTGAGGAATCAAGATTTCACCTTTCCTTCTAGAAGCAGCTGGAAGGATATTGAATGTTTACAGTCTTATCAGAATTAAATATAACCTACCGGAAAATGTCTTATTTAAATATTTATGAAGGTGGCTTTCAAGAAACTTTAAAACTGACCACATTTTAGATTTTAAATAGAATGCTAAACCAGAGTTAACTCGAAACAGAAGTTTCGAGTTACCGTAACACCATTATATTATGTCCTAAGCATTTTTGCAATGAGTATTTCTTATATTCAAAAGAATTTTTTTTGCATTTGGTTCTTTGCTGTCAATCGTTTTTTCTTTCTTTTTTAATAAATGACACTTTTTGTATTTCTAAATATTGGCATATTTCACTATTACTATTACCACTATTACCACAAAAAATTTGTACTATGTTTTCAAAGGAACATGGAGGAAACGGTTTGTTTACAAGAACAATTAGATAGCATATGTACACAAGGAATTAACATCCGGCAACAGTGTGTAGGCTTTTCAATAGAGTAGCTGAAAAAAATAATCAAAACACGTGCCCAGAAAGCACTTAAATGTTGGCTCACACAGATCGGAACAAGTTCTAAGAGCCACTATGTATCATTAACTCTTATTTTCAGCTTCCTATGTCAATACACTTACAGGTGTCTAGATCTCTTTATGCAGCTGTGGTCCAGCTTACTCCGCAAGCTGGACCTTTACTCCTTTCAGCAAGAACAACCTACTCTGATTTTGGGGTACATCTACAATGCAGAATTAATGGAGCTGGAGTTGTAATCCTGGGAGTTGTAGTTTGGTGGGGCACCAGCACTTTTTGGCAGAGAAAGCGAATGACCTTGCAAAACTACATCTCCTATTATTGCATAGCATTGACCCATGGCAAGTGATGTCAAGCTGAATTACTTCTGCAGTTAAGATGTGCCCTTAGATATGACTTAAAATGGAGTACAGTTACATTCCTGAATCCATCATGCCAACATCATGAACACAGAAAAGTTAACATTCTTTGGTGTCCTAATTATGGTGTCCCATAATAGATTTAAGACAATCCTAAATTATAAATGAGTAGGATTTTTGGCACATTTGCAAAATGTACACACATCACATCAAAGGAAACTGTAGTAAAAATAGGTATGTACAATATTCATGTTAAATGACTCAGATTTGCTTCCAATGCAGATATTGGGCGAAATCCTCAAAATACAGTAGCCATCACTAATATTCCCATGAAACCTCACAACTTGCAGAAATAAAGTATGTGGAGCTAGCTGTGAGACCTTTACTGCAGGCTTATGTATCATCTCCCAACATGCTAATAAAATGTAGAGTCCAAACAAGATATAACATACAACTTGCTTCTTTAAACAGCCATTCTTCCACTGTTAGCCAAATGCTGCCTTTAAAATGACCTTTCAAAACAGCTCAACTGAAGAAATAGAATTAGCCATCTGGAGACTAACAAAACAAACAAGAGTGATGAGAGAAGGAAGAGAAAAAAGCACAAAGAAACCGTAAAGTAAATGGATTAGTTTAAAAGTGCACAACAGGATCTGGGGGGGGGGGGGGGGAGAGAAAAACAGGAAAAAGTATGAAGTTGAAGGATATGAATCCAGGATTTCAATAACTATCATTCTGTGATTTTAGGCCTATGATGAGAAATGGTATCACCACGACACAAGTGTACAGGAAATATGCATTATATCTCCTAAGCCCTTTATCAGTAATTCATTCAAGTTTCTAGCATGTATATCCTAAATGAACAAGTAAAGTGGAAGGAATAACTGCATAAATTAGCCACCAAACATTGTTGAATACTACCACCATTATTCTTAACCATTGGCCAAGCTGGTTGTCACTGATGGAAGTTGCAGTTCAAAATCTGGGGAAGGGGGGCACTAGGTTGAGGAAGACAAAATTGAAGCTGACCTTTACTTCAGACCCCCCCCCCCCAAAATTATGGTAGTGTACCTTAGTAAGGAAGTATTTAGGTGAAATTGTCTATATCAGTAGTTCCCAACCCCTGGGCCTCCAGGTCTTTTGGACTTCAACTCCCAGACATCCCAGCCAATTTATCAACTGTTAGGAATGGTGGGAGCTGAAAACACCTGGAGACCCAAAGGTTGCAAACCACTGGCCTAGATCAATGAGCATCAAACTGTGGATGAATGTAAAGCAGGGCAGAAGCAATAGGTATGTGGTTGCTATGGGGAACATAGCTATATACTGCTAAAAGAAATATATTGTGTTGATTATTTATGGGCTAATTACTTTCTGGCAGTTTGACATACATAAACTTTGTTTCATGCACAGGTTTATTAAAAACATTGTGTGTAAAATGATCTGTGTGCCTATGAAACAGAACTGAATTTTGTATTTAGATTTGCGGCACATCTCTTATCTATCTCATGTGCAAATATTCCAAAATCCAAAACACTTCTGGCCCCAAGTATTTCAAATAAAAACAATTAAAATTTAAGCTAATTTTTGGTTTGCAAATAAACACACACAGATGTGTGTATACAGGCAGTCTGCAAGCTATGAACAAGATAGGTTCTGTAAGTTTGTTAAGATAAATATGTTTGTAAGGTGAAACAGGTAAATTTTAAGTGTAACACCAGCCTCACACACACACACACACACCATGGAAACAAGGCCTGGTGACAATGCTTCAGTGGAGACACCTTTTCCCCGTGATAAATTTCCCTTCCGATGGATAGATTTTTCTCACTTCCTGTTGTCTCACCCTTGTTTGTAACTATGAATCATTTGTAAGTCAGATGTTTGCAACATGGAGACTGCCTATGTACTAAAATATGCCAAAATCAGAACACTTCTGATCTCAAGCATTTTGGATAAGGGATACTCAACCCACATTTTATGCTGATCTTTGTTTTGCTAATTACACACAGTGGAAAAAAAAGAACTATTTGCTGCTGCTAACTCTTAGCTATTCATTGAAGCATAATCTTTTTTGAACGTTTATTCCAAAGTGCCACTTTAATTGGGAGAGCGGAGTTGGTTTGGTGGTTTGAGCATTGCATTATTATTATCAGACAAATGTTTCACTATTGTCTGATGCTGATGTCTAATATGTTATTATGTGATTCATGGTTTGTTTACTTGCTTTTTTTGGTCGCACTTTACGGCATTGAATGTTTACCACTTATGTTGTGAACCACCCTGCGTCCCCATTGGGGAGACAGGGTGGGATAGAAATAAAGTTGTTGTTATTGTTATTATTATTATTACTATCATTATTAGGCTAACACTGGAGGAATGACTGTTTAAAGGAGCAAGTTGTATGCTGTTATATCTTGTTTGCACTCTACATTTTATTAGCATGTTTCCGCCCATTATTATTATTATTATTATTATTATGGATTCGAATCACCACTTGGCAAAAACTCACAGGGTAACTTAAGAGCAAGTCAAATTCTCTCAGCCTCAAAGGACCTCTTCTGAACAAAACATGCCAAGAAGACCCTGTGACTTTAAGGCACATAAGGAATTTGAAGGCATCACAGGAGAGTGGCTTGAGTAAGGATGAGGAATGGAGAGGAGAAAAACCTTGAGTTCATCTACACTGTGAAATTAATGCATTTTGACACCACTTTAACTGCAATGGCTCAATGCTATGGAATCCTGGGAGTTGCAGTTCCATCTCTGCGAAAGATCATAAACTACAACTCCCAGGATTCCATAGCCTTGAGCCGTGGCAGTTAAGGTGGTGCCAAAGCGCATTAGTTGTTCTGTGTTGTTTTGGTTGTTATTATTTCTATGTATATTGCATTTTTGTTGTAAGCTGCCCCAAGTTCCTTTTGAGAGAGAGGGCAGGATACAAATTATTATTATTATTATTATTATTATTATTATTAATTAGACAGTTCCGAAACCTTAAGCTTAAGCGGTTCAGGGGGGAAAGGAAGTGGCCTGAGGCTGTTAGGAATTGTGGGATCTGAAGTCCAAAACACCTGGAGGGTCCAAGTTTGCCTAGGCCAGATCTGGACAGTAGATTTTGAGGCAGCCCAAAAGCCCTTTTTAGCTGCTGCATCACACTGTTGGCTCATGCTCAGCTTGTGGTCCAAGGTTCCTGGAGCCTGTTTCTGCATATCATTTCCACCCTTTTCATAGAATCATAGAGTTGGAAGAGACCTCATGGGCCATCCAGTCCAACCCCCTACCAAGAAGCAGGAATATTGCATTCAAAGCATCCCCAACAGATGGCCATCCATGCCTCTGTCTAAAAGCTTCCAAAGAAGGAGCCTCCACCACACTGCTGAACGGCTCTCAGGAAGTTCTTCCTAATGTTCAGATGGAATCTCCTTTCTTGTAGTTTGAAGCCATTGCTCTGCATCCTAGTCTACAGGGCAGTGGAAAACAAGCCTGCTCCCTCCTCCCTATGACTTCCTCTCACATATTTATACATGGCCATAATGTCTACCCTCAGCCTTCTCTTCTTCAGGCTAAACATGCCCAGCTCCTTAAGCCGCTCCTCATAGGGCTTGTTCTCCAGACCCTTGATCATTTTAGTTGCTCTCCTCTGGACACATTCCAGCTTGTCAATATCTCTCTTGAATTGTGGTGCCCAGAACTGGACACAATATTCCAGGTGTGGTCTAACCAAGGCAGAATAGAGGGGGAGCATGACTTCCTCTTGGGATTCGGGAAGAATGCACCACTCACCCGCCTCTCCAGGCCTGACCCGGGGGCTTCCTTCCTCCTCTTCCTCTCCGGCCTGGATGTCCAGCACCCGGTCGATGGACTTCTGCGCCTGCGACAGGGCCTGCTTGGCGAAGGTCGAGAGGTGAGAGGCGTTGAACCAACTCATTTCTTTTCCCTCAGGTCGCCTTCCTTTGGTCTTCGGCAGCCATGACAGGGAAGGGAAAGAAAAAAAACACAACCCGCCGCGAACCAGGACAGAGTCACTCTCTTCAGGGAGGAGGATCGCCCCGACTGCGCATGCGCCGCGGTCGCCCTTCGCCCGACTGCGCACGCGCTGCCCCCGCCTCCTTTGCTTCCACGTAGCCAAAACAAGCAGGCGCTGGCGCCCTGGCTCGCGGGGGTCTGTTCACGTGACGGGGAGCTCCCGTTGCCATAGCGACCAGGGAGCGTTCAAGCTGCAGAGAGCAAAGGGTGTGTGTATATGGCTGGAGCTGACGTCATTCTGCTGACGTCACCTGGCTGAACATGATGAGAAAGTGCAGTGTGGTGGAAGCTCCTTCTTTGGAGACTAGGCTGGATGGCCATCCGTCAGGGGTGCTTTGATTGTATTTTTCCTATGTGGCAGGGGGCTGCACTAGATGGCCCTTCCAACTCTATTATTCTAAGTGATTTTGATACTAAAACGGTGTCTGCTGTTCTTACTGTATTGGAAGATGATTTTATTTGTCGTGTCAGGGCAACCAGTCAATTGTATTCCATTTCCAACAGAACAAAACAGACAGACAAAACACAAAATTTGCAAGTTTGGTAGTTGATTAAATGTCCTTTGACCAGTATCTGGCCACTTGGAGTGCTTCTGGTGTTGCTGCAAGAAGGTCCTCCATTGTGCATGTGGCAGGGCTCAGGGTGCATTGCAGCAGGTGGTCAGTGGTTTGCTCTTCTCCACATTCGCATGTCGTGGATTCCACTTTGTGGCCCCATTTCTTGAGGTTGGCTCTGCATCTCGTGGTGCCAGAGCGCAGTCTGTTCAGCGCCTTCCAAGTTGCCCAGTCTTCTGTGTGCTCAGGAGGGAGTCTCTCATTTGGTATCAGCCATTGATTGAGGTTCTGGGATTGAGCCTGCCACTTTTGGACTCTCGCTTGCTGAGGTGTTCCAGCGAGTGTGGATCTTAGAAAACTATTTCTAGATTTAAGTTGTTGAAGTGCTGGCTGATATCCAAACGGGATGAGCTGGAGATGTCTCTGCCTTGGTCCTTTCACTACTGGCTGCTACTTCCCAGCGGATGTCAGGTGGTGCAATACCGGCTAAGCTGTGTAATTTCTCCAGTGGTGTAGGGCGCAGACACCCCGTGATAATGCGGCATGTCTCATTAAGAGCCACATTGGAAGATGATGAACAAATTGAAACAAGGCAGAAGTGTTCCTAGTCAGTTGCAAGATTTGTAACGGATTCAGCCAGTGGTAGGACAATAATGCTCACAGCATAAACTTTTCAGAGATTCATGATGCATTTACACTGGAGAATTAATGCAAGTTTGTATCACTTTAACCGCCATGGTTCAATGTTATGGAGACATTATTTATTTTGTATCAAAAGCATTGCATAAATTAGTATAAAACTGATAAAAATAGAAGGCTAAATATATTTTGACCAAAAACGGGCAACAGCAATAGACATCCCGTAGACATCAGGCTAGCCCCCTCCCTGTTGATATTCCGCAGGAAGTTAAAGACCTGGTTGTTTGAGAAGGCATTTGAATAGTAGTGCAATGACGGGTAACTCGACCATAGGAATGGAACAACGGAAATGGTATTGGATTGTGAACTTGACGATGAGACGACTCGGAATGGCTTGTAGTTATATTGATGTTTTTGATGAGATGTTTTGATAATGATGTACTGTGGATTATTTTTTGTATGTTGTATTTTGCACCTGTTTTTCTATGTTGTACACCGCAATGAGTCGCCATTAGGCTGAGAATTGCGGTATATAAGCGAAGACCGTATATTCCGGCATATAAGACGACTGGGCGTATAAGACGACCCCCAACTTTTCCAGTTAAAATATAGAGTTAAGACGACTCCCATGCATAAGACTACACCTGCGTATAAGACGACCCCTGACTTTTGCAGAGATTTTCTTGGGTTAAAAAGTAGTCTTATACGCCAGAATATACTGTACATAAATAAAAATAAAATAATTGTCTGTAGCCTCCAACAGTTCCTCCTCTGTACATGAGGCAGGGCACAGTGGGCAAGCATACAGATATGGAGTTGTCTGTTCTGCTCCATGGTAGATGTAGTTTTACAAGGTCTTTAAGCTTCTCTGCCACAGATGCTGCTGTCTCAACAAGCTACAATTCCTATGATTTCATAGCACTGAGCCATGGTAACACTTCATTGGTTCTATAGTATAGAGGCAGCCTCATCTGAAGCAGACTTTGCATAGTGTGTAGCTGTGCAGGTCTTCTAGCAGGCATCACTGACATGCTAACAGATTGAGGTAATCCTTGTACACTTTTTATTAATAAATATTCTAACTGTGAAACACCAGTCTTGGATAACAAGCAAGCCACTCCATGCACAGTAACAATAGTATTTGCAAATATACAGAGGAATTTCAATTTTTTTATCTACAGGGAGAAGTAAAATCTTTTCATATTGTGAAAAAATACAGTTACATTTTGGCAATATTTAATATATAACAAGTCATTGAAGACATTAAATAAAGCAAGACATACACCCCTTATTTTATTCTACTATCCGGCAGTCAGAACTAAGATTTTGAGATTTTAGAATGTAATTTTAAAATCTTTGTTTGATTCTTTTATTGTATGCATTTGGAGAATTTGCATGTTTCTAATTGATAGGTACTACTAATCTATTGACCACAATGAAATTTCCACATGCAGGAGGAAGTGTTGTCATGACTTAAGTGTAATAACATTTTTTAAAAAAAAAAAAACCTGCTATACATCAAGATTTCTGTACATTACTGAGATTTATACAGATATCAACCAAATATTGGTTTGCAGTCAGTTCTAATGTAAGAGCAATTTACTCAGAGTAAACTAATTTCCAGCAATGCTTGCAACAACAGGAATAAGTCGTCTTTCCTCCTGGTAGTACAATAACAGTAGCTTTACAGGTTGTGCAAACTTTCTTCAGTGCATATTCATATTCCTTCCATTTGCATCAAGTGGTGAAATGAAGTTTGAAGAGTACAGTTTGTGGTGTAGTGACATCTGCAACTGCAAGTTCCTGGCCATCAACAAGTCCTAGCTCTGCAAACAAGAAAAAGTTATAAGCACAGAATGATCCATAGTAGTTCTGTAAAAAGACACAAAAGTTTGCATTTTGTTTTTATCTGAGGAGTTGCTGGTGTATTAGTATACAAGAACTGGGGCAATTTGTTGATTAACGCTTCAGATTAAAATACAAATAACTGAATAAATACAAATTTGGATCTCCTTAATCTGAAATCTGCCTTTACACATGTCTTCTGTTTCCTCCATAAGGGTCCCTGAGTTTAAGAATCTTTTTAAATGTTTTATTTCCTGTGTTTTATTGTTCTTTGTCCCTACACAATATCCCCTTAGACCAATGGTCCTCAACCTGTGAGTCCTCAGGTGTTTTGGTCTACAATTCCCTGAAATTCCAGCCACTTTACCAGCTGTTACAATTTCTGGGAGTTGAAGGCCAAAACATCTGGGGATCCACAGGTTGAGAACCACTGCCTTAGACCATCTTAACAGACAATGGAAATAACACTGGAGACAAAATATAGGCCTCTGTTTGTGAACATTGTGACCTTTCTTCTTCTGAATGATTATTAACATCTTCGTCTGATGGAGCATTTCCAGTGAAGTTTCAAAAGCACACATGATATATTCCCTGCATTTTGATTGGTCAATGAAGGCATAGGTCCTGCATAGATTGTAGATTTTGATATAAATTGCTGTAAGGTCAACACAGTTTGTGGTGACTGTTGTGTGCCTACAAGTCATTTCTGATTAATGGTGATCACAAGGCAAGCCAACATCGGGGTCTTTTTTTTAGCAAAATTCATTCAGAGGAAGCTTTGCCTTTATCTGATGCTGCCAAAATTTGATGCTGCCAAAATCCCAAGGTCAGCCAGTAGTCTCCATAATCAACCAGATTCAAAACCATGTTTCAAGAGTCAAACCATTCCCCCTGAATGATTTTTTTAACCTGTTACCTTTTAATGTCTTTGTAAGATTTGGCCTTGTTCGTTCTTCAATTGAAGCTACTGACTGGAATGGAGAGAAGAAAAAACATACACTTTATAATACTTTTGTTTAAACTGAAATAAACAGTCTAACTAGTCAGATAAATAATCACCTGTATGTAAAGAGTTTTATTTCTCCCATATACCGTGGCTGTTATTGCAGGAGATTTCATTTGTCTGTGCAAGAAAAATAATAATTAGTAAGACTGCAAACCAAAATCCTAGTTTCACCACATCAAATCTGGTTATTTATTTATTTATTCCCCACCCTTCTCAACCCCATAGGGAACTAATGTCCCAGCATTATTTCCAATTTTAACTCTACATTTGGCCTTCCCACTGTTCTTAATTATGTGTTGTTTTATTGATAATGTTGTGTATTTTATTGTCTATGTTTTTTTAAATTGCTTGTATTGTTATTATTGCTTGTATTCTTGTGTTTGGCTCGGCCTCATGTAAGCCGCACTGAGTCCCTTGGGGAGATGGTAGCGGGGTACAAATAAAGTGTTGTTGTTATTATTATTATTACATATAGAAGCAACAATTACATGCCAACCCCCCCCCCCCCCCCGACACACACACACATAATAAAAACATAAGCATTAAAACAATAATTGAAACATAATAAAGTCTTTAAAGAAGAGGGAACTAGAGAAGAGGGAACTAGAGAGCGTGTGGCGTTCGAATCCGAGCGAGCCAAATCGAACACGGTTTGTGTCCTTTTTAAGGGCATATGCCGCGGCAATAAAAGCCGCAAAGAAGACTTTCTTTGCGGCTACTATTGCGTCTGCAAAGAACCGTCCGGCTGAACTGTTCCGAGTTGTCAGAGGCCTTTTAAAACCCACCATGCAGGATGGGTGCCCTGATGACTCGGCAGTTCGCTGTGAAGCCTTTGCTCAGTTCTTTGCAGACAAAGTCGCTTTGATCCGCTCTGGTCTGGATACCATATTAACGGCAGTCTCTGAGGATGTAACACGAGCATCTGCTTGTCCGGTTTTGATGGATTCATTTCAATTGGTGAAACCCGAGGATGTGGACAAGGTGCTTGGAGGAATGAGAGCTACCACATGCATCCTAGACCCCTGCCCATCCTGGCTTCTGAAGGAGGCCAGAGGGGGATTGGCCGAGTGGGTGAAGGTGGTGGTTAATGCCTCCCTTCGGAAAGGCAAAATTCCAGCCAGCTTAAAGCAAGCTGTGATAAAACCGCTGTTGAAGAAACCATCACTGGACCCCACTCAATTCGTCAACTATCGGCCTGTTTCCAATCTCCCCTTTTTGGGCAAAGTCATGGAACGTGTGGTGGCCTCACAACTCCAGGCATTCTTGGTAGACACGGATTATCTGGATCCGGCACCGTCTGGCTTTAGGCCGGGGCATGGTACCGAGACAGCCTTGGTCGCCTTAGTGGATGATCTGCGCGGGAGCTCGACAGGGGGAGTGTGTCCCTGTTGGTGCTGCTGGACCTCTCAGCGGCCTTCGATACCGTCGACCACGGTATCCTTCTGGGACGCCTCGCGGGAATGGTCTTGGAGGGACTGTTTTACAGTGGCTCCGCTCATTCCTTGAGGGCCGGTCTCAGAAGGTGTTACTGGGAGACTCCTGTTCAACCCCACAACCTTTGTCTTGTGGGGTTCCTCAGGGTTCAATACTGTCTCCCATGTTGTTTAACATCTACATGAAGCCGCTGGGTGAGATCATCCGGAGTTTCGGAGTGCGATGTCATCTGTACGCAGATGATGTCCAACTCTGTCACTCCTTTCCACCTGCTACTAAGGAGGCTGTCGAGGTCCTGAACCGGTGCTTGGCCGCTGTGACGGTCTGGATGAGGGCGAACAAATTGAAATTGAATCCAGACAAGACAGAGGTACTCCTGGTCAGTCGTAAGGCCGAACAGGGTATAGGGTTACAGCCTGTGTTGGATGGGGTCGCACTCCCCCTGAAGACGCAGGTTCGCAGTTTGTGTGATCCTGGACTCATCGTTGAGCCTGGAACCCCAGGTGACCAGGGGAGCATTCGCACAGTTAAAACTCTTGCGCCAACTGCGCCCGTACCTTGGGAAGTCTGACTTGGCCACGGTAGTCCACGCTCTGGTTACATCCCGTTTAGACTACTGCAACGCTCTCTACGTGGGGTTGCCTTTGAAGATGGCTCGGAAGCTCCAACTAGTCCAACGCTCGGCAGCCATATTTTAACAGGAGCGGAGCGCAGGGAGCATACAACCCCCCTGTTGCGCCAACTCCACTGGCTACCGATCTGCTACCGGGCTGAATTCAAAGTGCTGGCGTTGGCCTTTAAAGCCCTAAACGGTTCTGGCCCAACTTACCTATCCGAACGTATCTCGGCCTATCAGCCCACCAGGACCCTAAGATCTTCTGGGGGGGCCCTACTCTCTATCCCGCCTGCTTCACAGGTGCGGCTGGCGGGGACGAGAGACAGGGCCTTTTCTGTGGTGGCCCCGCGGCTATGGAACGCCCTTCCCATGGAGGTAAGATCAGCTCCCTCATTGATGGTATTCAGGAAAAGACTAAAAACGTGGATGTTCGAGCAGGCGTTCGGTTAACTCAGTGCAATAAGTGTAATGATTGAAGGACTGGCAATCTGGACGACGAAACTGGATCACGATTTTAGTCAAGAGATGAATTGGATTGTTTATTGATATATGTATTGTGGATTATGTTTTTATGCTTTTAAACTGTATACTGTTGTTTGTTATAAGTTGTTGTAAACCGCGTTGAGTCGCCGGCTAGGCTGAGAAACGGCGGTATACAAGTATAGCAAATAAATAAATAAATAAATAAATAAAATAAAACAATTTAAAATCACACAATCTAATAATGTTTCTAGAATTTCTGGTAAATACTTTAAAATAAACAGTGTATTAATTCACTTACAATGAAGAACTGTTGGTCAAATAATCCAAGACCTCTTGCAGTTTGGCTGATGAAGAAAATTCTATGTTTTGTGGAAGCTGACTACAAGCCAAACAGTTCTCCTGTGAAGTTGCAAATGGAGTAATCAGTAACTTTGTTATTTAAGTGGTATAATTCTAATTAGCACACACACACACACCCAAAAAAACCACATGAAATATACAAGAGAAATTTCTGCAAATGAAGATCTTTTGTTTTGTTCACCTTTTCACAATGCCATGCCAAGAAATAAAATAAAAAAACCCAGGCAGCTACATCTTTAAAAATGTGTCTCATGACTTTTTGAGTTAAACTAACAAGGATATATTCTAGATTTTAACTTTGTCAACAAGGTGGGAAAGAGATTGCTTTTGAAGTTCAAAGATTACCTACTACATATGAAATAAATTGGCAACATATGCATTTGGGGGGGGGGGGAGGCATGGCCTAGAGTCTCAGATTTGGGGTGATAAAAAAAACAAACACACACACACACACACACACACAGTGAATAGTTGATGTGAGATGTGTGTTACATGAGCAATCGTTATTTAAAGTAAAAGAAAGTCTGACAGTTGCTACTTGACTCTCTGTGACATAAAAGACTTATGAGAACTAATTGAAAAATCTAGCAAGACAATTTGGCATTAAGTGCCACATAGGCTGTCTGAAATAATTCATCCTGAATTATCTGAGTTTTGTTCACAGATTTTCAATATGAAAACAAATATTCTTCTTTTTATAATAAGAAATAAATAAATACATTGGAAGTCTAAAGTAAAAATGCCCCACATATGGTTTACTTTCAAAACCTCACCCATGTTTGAGCAAGAACTGAATATTCTTGTAATAATTATTTTTAACAATTGTGGTTCCCATCAAAAAGTCCAGTTTTTCTTCTTTAATTTTTTGGGAAAAAGTCCAAGGAATGTCAAGAACAAATATGATTTTTTTTCGCAGCACCACTAACCTTCTTCTCAGCTTCAAAAGTGTATGTATAGAGACCATCTACATCATTAAACACCAAATAGTTGTTCAGAGGCATATAAGCACTGAAATGGGAAAAAACAACCTCTTAGCCTTTATAAGAAACAAATTTGAAAAAAAAAATTAATTAGAAAGCAAATTACCTTGTGGCTATTTTAAAGACTTCTGTGGCACATATAGCTACATGGAAAAAGAGAGAGGTGAAAGACCAGAACTATTTAAACATTAAAGAAGGGAAGGTGATAATCAGGTATCAGATTAACAGAAACATGCACAATGAACATTTCAAGATGCCTAAAGCTTGGATATCAGCAAATGTTGCTATGCATGAAACCTGGATTTCACTTTAAACACTGGATCATAGTCCATTCTCTTGAAAACTTACTCTGTATCAGATATTGAATTAGATGTCAGCAGAATCTGAATCCCCATACCGATGGAATCTAGCTTGCTTAAACTATCCATTTACATGTGCTTTTCTGAGGCCTAAATGGTGAAGTCTCAAATAGAAGAGATTCTCTGAATCTCTTTGGTAATTCAACCACTCAACAGTAATTTAGGTTTTACTGATTTAATGGGTTTAGTATACCTGGAACTAACAACTGGATTTAGGCCTAAAGCTTGAACACTTAGGATATTAGCATCCCAGCTGCAACATTTCCATTCTAGCAGCCTAATTTTAACATTGTTTCTTCAGAAATAAATTCCATTAATGTCAGTGTGATTTACTTCTGATGAAATCTGCATAAGACTACAATTGAAAGCTCAGATCCTATATGTGTTGTCTAAGCATAGGTGCATCAACAGTGTTTTGTAACTTGTTTTCTCTTATATACACACACATATTCAAGTCAAACATAAAAGCACCAAAACACCCTTTCAAAGCAAGGATCTCTAGCTCAATTGTTAAACATGTAACTAGAACCATAACTCAGAGCATTACTGTACCTGCAATCACAGCATTTGTAGAAGCTACTGCTGGAATGATTCGCTTTACAACCCCTGCATTGAGACAAAAAATGCCACTCACCATTACACTATTGCTATGTGTATTTAACAATAACTGGAAAGATAGCTGTAATGACTTAATCAAAATCCACAGATGTAATATCAACAGAATCTTGAGGTAGTTATTTATTTATTTATCACACCAGGAGCGAACCAAGGGTACAGTTGTAATATATATATATATATATTTTAAAAACCCACAGAGTTTGAAAACTTGGAATTATATTAAATGTCCTTTGACCAGAAGCTGGCCACTTGGAGTGCCTCTGGTGCTGCTATAAGAAGGTCCTCCATTGTGCATGTGGCAGGGCTCAGACTGCATTGTAATAGGTGGTCTGTGGTTTGCTCTTCACCAGAAGTGACCAGAAGCATCTTGAGATAGATAAAACTCTGGTTAGATCTGGCACAGCTCTTATGTCAAGTGCGGAAACTAAAAGCTTAATTTGTTTGCCACCAGTTTTTCAGAGGACAATTATATGATTTGAATAGACAGCTGTTCATGAATTTTACCTTGTGTGAGCCTATAAGTTACACCTTTGATATTAAACTGTGATGCTCTTTCTAATGACTTTTCAAAAATCCACTGAATGTGTTCTGGGTCATCTCCATCCAGAGAAACACCTTCTGCAAGAAAAGGTATAGCTAATATTAGTCCTTTACACCTGTAATTTATCATGGTTCATAAATCACATATCCTTGGAGTCTAACAAGATAACATTTACAGGATAATTATTTATGTATTTGATTGAATGTATATCTCACTTTTCTAGCAAAATGGGACTCAAAGGCATGGTTTATTAAGAACTGCAATTTCTGCTACAAACACAATTTAGAGAATCAGGACATCACAACATGATGATGGAGTTCTATTAATTACATTTAGGTAAAATCATGCAAGGTAAGTAAAAGGCACAGGACAAGGTTTTTACATTATTCAAATTTATATTTTGATTGAAATGTAAAGAATTTACGATTACCTCCAAAAGGTTGATCCTTGGGCCACTGCAATATCCTGACATACTCAATACAGTGTTCTGGTAATCGAGGCATTGAAGCAATTGTACACATGGGAAAATTGACCTGATGGAGAGAAATTCTGAAATGATTTATCATGCCTTTGAACAGAGGAGAAACCCACCTGTGTCAGCTCAATTCTTTTTAGCTACCTGTGGTGGATAAAGCTCAAGTGTACACTCAATACAAGCTGTCATCCCAGGAATGATCACACGAGCATTTCCTTTAAAGCCTTCTGTTCCACCATCAATCAGCGGTATAATGGAACTCGGATCCAACACCCCATCTTCATAGTTTAAAAGTGAAATCTACAGAGTAAAGTAGAATTTACTACATTAGGATCACTCCTCCACTTAGCTCCTTGTCTTAATTTCTATACAGGCATACTCTGCATGACAAACATACAATTTACAAATATTACAAACGGGTGAGACAACAGGAAGTGAGAGAAATCTATCCCTAGGAAGGAAAAATCAGAGGTTGTGAGGTTTGAGACACACACACACACACACACACAATTTTCCTAGTTTCCAACAAACCTCACAACCTCTGAGGATGTTTGCCACAGAAGCAGGCGAAACATCAGGAGAGAATGCTTCTAGAACATGGCCATACAGCCCAAAAAACCTACAACAACCCAGTGATTCTGGCCATGAAAGAGCTTCAACAAAACCTACAGAACCTATTGTAACCCAGGGACAGCCTGTACTGAATGTTCAGGCCTTGTTTCAATTGTCTGAAATAACTGTAGCAATAACTATGCCTAATTCTGTTGCAGAAGTTGCCCTTTTGTATACCAAATTGGTAAAGGAATTTATTGTGGCTGTAGAGTATATGGCAGATATACGTAGTGGAGATCTACCAAGACATTTTAGGTATGTTATTGACTGACAAAACAGATTCCTTTGAAATGGCACAGTATGCCAAAAGATGTATTAGGGATTATTTTCAGGGGATGTCTTTTTCCTCAAATTGATATATTTTGTTTAATTGTAACTAGACTTATTTTTGAAGTAGGGCTTATATTTTGAGCATCCTTAAAAATTGTGCTAGGGCTTATTTTCAGGGTAGGTCTAATTTTCGGGGAAACAGGGTAGTAATCCACATGGAAGTCCAGCCTCCAATACTCTTAACAAAATTTTAATTGAGATATTATAAACTTTTGCCTACAGCTTCTGAAAGGTTGTGAAAGAAAGGGAGGAATGTAGAAAAACATCTGAAAAAACCCCAACTATCCTCTTTCTTTTCTCCTCTTGACCCAAGGCAAATTACATATGCTGTGAAAAATATATAGATGGCATTTCATATCCTGATTAGTTAATAATAAAGTGGAATTCTCATATTTTGCGAATACTGAGTAACTTTACTATTTAATTATCACAAATATTTACCAGCATGCCATTTATCCATCTTCTTGCAATTATTGAATCCAAGCCACATACAATGATATGAAATTCTAGAAGAAAAGATATGAATGTTGTTATATTGATATAATACTTACGCCACCATCCAATGTTGTTAGGCTATTGTCCTGCTGGTTTTATAAAGAAACTACACTTTATAAACTGAGAGTTCTGTTCATAATATTATATTACTTTTTCAGTAGATAAAGCCAACACGTGCCTCTCCAGAACTTTTGCCACTACATTTTTCATAATCCCTCACCATTGGCTATGCTGGCTAGAATTTAGGAAAGTTGTAGAAATTTTGAACAGGGCTTCTTAAACTTTTTCTACTCACGACCCTTTTCCACTTGAAAAATTTATTCATGACCTCGGATATATAGATATATAAATATAAAATAGGTATAAAAACCCAAACCTTTACTGGTAATACATCAACATTTTCAAGACTTGCTAAACAGGCCATTTTATGAAGCACAAATGAAGACTTTTCTGCAGAATGCACTCTAGACATTGCATACTGTTGCTAATAGATTTGTGTAAATGGGTGGCGCTTAGAAAACTTTTACTGTTGCCAAATTTTTCGCAACCCCAGCATTGAGCTAAGGGAATCCCATTTAGGAGTGGGAGTCACAGTTTAAGAAGCCCTGCTCTAGAGAACAAATTGTTTTAGTCACAACTTATCAATTAGTTTGAAAAAACAAACATTTTTTCCCCACAACTTACGTCTATAAAAAGATTCATCCAGGTCCTGAATCTTTTTGTAATGTCTGAAAGCAAGTTATAGTAAAGGAATTTTCTTAAGTTTATTACTTGTTTAGGACATAAATAGAACCTGATTGAGTATACAAGTCATACGCAAAATCCAAGCCTAAAAAAAGCAAGTTTTAAAATGGCTCTAAAGCAATCCCCTTCAAAACCTTCAAAAGTTATTAAAACAATGTTAGACTCATAGTAACATGACTATATTTCAGACTATCCTTATCTAATATTGCTTGGGAAAAACAGTGGAGGAAGACTATTGACCTCATCTATTAGTAGTGGATTCCTATCAAACATGGTGAAGCACTGTGGAAAACAGGATGCTGGCTCAAGACTTTGTAATATAACTCATTCTGAACTCTCTGGAGCCTTAAAATGGAACAATATTCAAACTTAGAGCAAAAAGTCTAAAAATCAATTTAGAAAAATGTACCCTTTGAAAATGTAAATTATCATTTTGTCATGCAATAAAACAAGCCAAACAAAACACCAGGAAACATGGGGGACTGAACATATGAAGAATACATCCATGTCATCAAGTTTTCATAAAAGGATACGGAACAACAGCACAATTGGGAATTCGGTTATTTAAAAATTCAGCAGCAACTTCTGCTTTAGGCCGTCCAACATCCTTAGGTCTGTAAAATCAAAAACATATTAAAAACCAAAATCTATTTGCCTGTTGCATTATATACAAAGGTCCAGAGGAGATTACTAGTTATAAACAGGAAAGGCTGCCTATTAGTGATCCTGTCAGAGATCACACTATCCTTTAATCCATTTCAGTCAAGAATAGCACCATATTGTATTTATAGTATCATTGTTTTAAACTATTTTAAACTATTCTTTATATCTACTCTTTACAAACACAAGAAAGTGAAGCCAGATTTATCATATTTAAACCAGATCTGTTGACATCAAAATATCATTTATTTCAATGAGTCTCTACAATGTATAGTAAAGGCATCAGATCTCATTTAGTCTTGGAAGCTAAGCAGGATTGGCCCTACTTAGTTCTTTGACATGAGACCATCATAAGTCTTATTGAAATGAATAGGGGGTTTTGCAGATGACAGCTGCATTTCACACTTCATGGGCAAACAGACAATTTAGAAGTGTGACTTACCGAAACAAAAACTGTCTATTCAAATTAGATACATCAATGGTGTCCATATCAATGACATGAATTTGTCGAAAACCAGACAAAGCCTGCACAGATGAAGAAATCAGGGTTACAAAAAACAAATCAGAAGCTTTTCATTCGTTAATATTTCTGGGAAAACGAATACTTGTCAAAGATTTAGCATTTTTAAAAAAACCCTCCTAGTAAACACTACATCATGGCACTCATCTGCTCCTCCTTTCTTTTAACAGCCTGATGGCCTGCCAAGCAAAGGACTTGGTTTGCAGCCACCTGCTATCTTCATTCTCCTTTTGTCAAATGCCTTTGGATCCCTTGTGGGATCCAAAGAAGATGGCCGGTGGCAGCAAATGGGTGTAGGAATGACATTTTGCGTTTAAGAACACCAGGTCACTCACTCACTGTACTCTGCTTTTCAAGCAAGATGTGTTTTAACCTAATGGGTTTCCTTCTGGGAGATACTGAATTCGCTGCACCCACCACAGTAAAAATTTAAAAATTAGAACCCTCTTCTTTGGCAATTGTACTTGCAATGATGTGAATAATACTTTCTCAACATTTCAGCTACGCCAGTGGTTCTCAGCCTGTGGGTTCCCAGGTGTTTTGGCCTACAACTCCCAGAAATCCCAGCCAGTTTACCAGCTGTTAGGATTTCTGGAAGTTGAAGGCCAAAACATCTGGGGACCCACAGGTTGAGAACCACTGAGCTATGCCCATTGATTCAAAAACTTTGGAGATCCCTGCTCTATACAACATTATCCTACTGATGCATCAGCCCCAAAGTCAAACACAGAATGCTAACATCCATGTTACGTAAGGGATGCTTTTAAAGATAGTACTCTGACAGAGTTTATAAAATGCTTATAGAATGTAACTTGGAGTTCTGCCATTTTTAACTGAGATCATATGTCTTCCCAGTACTCGTTTTCTGTAAGCATATGCTCAAAGAAAACCAAAGGGTCCCAATCCAGGTAAAGAATTATTAATAACTCTGACATTTCGAATTGTATTGTTCCAGTTTCTACTATACATAAGAGAGAGGGTCAATGAAGTCATTTAAAATGTGTGGCTTCCCTCTTAATATGAAACTTACAATTGAATATTGAAACTGTATTCTTAGGTTGGATTTACTCTGAAGAATTTATGCAGTTTGACACCACTTCAACTGCCATAGCTCAAGACTCTGGAGTGCTGAGAATTATAGTTTGTTGAGGGAACACCACACTTTGGCAGAGAAAGCTAAAGATCATGTAAACCTACAACCCCAAGAATTTCAAAGCATTGTGACTTGGCAGTTGAAGTGGTGTCAAACTGCATTAATTCCACACAGTACATGAATCTTTAGAAGCCCAACTGCTTTACACAAAATGTGTTCAAAAGTCATTAGTTTCATCCAGCCATAAGTCACACATTTCCCTAATATGCCGGGCTTCAGAATCGCAGTGGTTGGGGTGCTGCCTGGCTTGAGATGTCAGGTTTTTAAAAGATAGTGTATTGATGTACGTATGATAACACATCTCAATCGCTCAAATCACTACACCACACTGGCTCTCATTTACTTTTGCGCAGTGACAAACTGGAAATATATAAATCACAACATCAATTTTGGAAATAGACAGAAGACTCATAGAACTAAATGAAAAACACCATTGATTCTATAGTGTAGATGTACCCAAGAGCCATTTTCAATAGCTAAGATCCAAAGGTACCTTGTTTGAACAAACCATGAGTTTATCTTATACAAGGCATTACAAAGGCCCAGAAATGACACTCCAGAGGACAGTAAAACACTACTGTCAGTAAGGACATAGTTTTGATTTTATTTTTGGACAAGCTTTCTTTATATAATTGAAATATAGTTTCACATGTAAGAATCACTTTGTAAAAGATCCTAGTATTCTGAAGGTACTGGGACAGTACTATGCACAGAATGCTGGGATTTTTGTATGCTTTTTTTTAGATTGGGAAAGACTGCATAACCAACTATATGTGAAGTACACCCTTTGTTCATTACAAGATTGCACTGGTTTCCATTGGTGGATGTCATCTACTATGTTTCAGTTGCTGAAGCAAATTATTAATATACCTTACACTGAAAGAGAGTATCAAACCCAATAAGTCTGGATAATTTCATATGCATGGAAGAAAAGCATGCAAAATAAGCATCTTCTATGTAAATAGTGCAGGCTTTCAACAAATAAAAATGAAACTGTTACCAGATTTTTCAGAAGTTCACATCCTAATCCTCCTGCTCCAATAACTAGAACTTTACACGTGTTTAACAGAAAGTCAAGGGGCTGTAAGGAACCAAGATAAACAGCTTGTTGAAAACAGGAAAATAGATTCTAATTAAGACAGTGGTACAAACTTACTGCATAACATTATAGTATTTTTAGAAAGTCAAAATCAAAAGAATTCACTGTAAACGAGTCTTTATTTAATCAGTACAGATTAAATCTTTACTGTTGAGTAATAATTTGATTTTTTAAAATATCAAATGTATATAAAACAAATATTAATAAGGACACACTAAACAAAATATGTTCAAAATTTAACATGCATTACTGTTACTTGACTTCTTAATCGACTATTTCATGCAGTGAGAATCTACATAGGTACACTGTTGACCTGCCACTTCTACAGAATAAAGGGAACCGGGGTCCTTCTAATCCTTTTCAGTATAATATAAACTATTCTGAGGGCACTATGATACCAATTCCTGAATGAATGTACATGTGAACATACAGTATCTATTCAATGGAAAGATCTATTGGGTAAAAGGTTTATAACCAGGTACACAGGCATACATTTATAGTCAAGAATTCTTCCTTTTAATGAAGTAACATCTTTTTAAAATTTAATGTTAACCCAAATTAAAAGGACAGATGAAAAGAATAATATGGCCACATAAGTAGGAACAACTGGTATGCGTATGGGGAGTATGTTGAGAGATACCAATCCCAAAGAAACCTGTAAACCCAGTTTACCATTACATATATTGCAACCTTGGGCTCTATCACTCTATCTATCTTCAATCTACTTGGGTATTAACAAATATTACGTATAACACAAAGACAAATAAGCAGTTTGACATCATATTGCTAGTTTACACACTGTTTCATGTTTATTGTTTCACAGTTTAGCTAATTATCATAATTCTCTCTCGCATACATGAAAAATTCAAGAGGCTCCCAGTATCCACAGCTATACTTTAAGCTATCCTTCAATGCGCAAGAACACTGGTCAGTCACAAACAAAAATATTTTGTTAATTTCAGAGATATAGTCTTGGTCATCAATGAATGCAGACAAACAGATATGTACACAACACTGACAACACAATACTAGAGACATTTGTATTGAAAATAACGATTTCTCACTTGAGTGCCTGGCTCGAAATCAGGGTGTGTGAATGGTCCAGATCGCTCGAGGAACTTCTTTACATGGTTCCAGCGACCATCCCAGTCTCCATTGTCCCCACACCCACCATCAACAGCCATTCTGCACAGAACACAGAAATTCAGCTGCAAAAAACCAGTAAGAAAAGAAACACATGCACAAGAACAGTGTTTCTACAAACCTAAAAGATTTCCATTTTACACTGTTGTTGTATTTCTCACACAAACCGTGATGAAAAATATTTTATTCATCTATTTTATTTTATTTACAAGGAATACATGAATTTTGGGGGGCTGCGCTATTATGATAAGGCATTTAATTAACATTTAAGCACTTTAGCAGATGAAGAACCTATTTTCTATTCTTAAACATTGGTATATGGGATAAGTTACCAAGACAGTCTTAGAAAGTGAAAGGATATAGTAACTGCCTTTGGATAATGACATCCTGAAGCTTCAGATTTGTGTTCCTCAGATAAATAGTCTGGGGAACTGTTTCCTACAGAGCGCATTATTGCCACTAACAGAGAGAAAGAAGTTGGTAGTGTAAGCTTTCATAGACTATTGTATATACTCATATATAGGTCAATGTCATGTATAAGCCACATATAAGATTTTGAGGGCAAAATTATGCATTTTGATATGAGCCATGGATACCTTGAGGTTATTCTGTGGAGAGGGGAAAATGTTAGTGCTGCCGTTTCCTCATCTAAACATTCAAAAAGGCCAGAGGAAGAAATAAAGGGAGTTAATGCTTCTTTTAGGTTCTCCCAGGACAGACGTAGCTCCTGCCTTTTGCCACTTTGCTCAGAGATTGTACTTTTTTTTTTTTTAGTAAGAGTTAAGACACAAGAACTTACACCTGCCCCTTAGATAAGTCAATTCAAGTTTTGAGGCTTGACTAAAATTTCTAGATTTATACATGAGTATATAGCAGGCATGGGCAAACTTTGGCCCTCCGGCGATTAGGAATTGTGGGAGTTGAAGTCCCACAATTCAACTGCCAACTTCTGGAGGGCCAAAGTTTGCCCATGTATGGTATATAGGGTAAGTCTACTTTTTCAGGTGCATGAGTTGAATATTTTCAGTTGAGAAAGTGAGATGTAAGCAGTACTTCTAAAAATGAAGTCAGCTATGTCTGGCTTGATATATAAAGTATACAGACAATGAAGGTTGGAGGGAGTTCAAAAAAGCAATTAACTTATTACTGAATTTGATAAGGTTATTGAACACAGGAGATACAGTATGACCCCCCCCCCCAAATCTACAGATTCAATATCCATGATTTCACTTACCCCACGTTCCAACAAATATTCCCCTTGGAAGTGTTTGTGAGCCTATCTAGTCCTCCACTGCAATTCTGTGGTATGCTTCCAGACCAAATATAGTCTAAAGATAGGGTTCATTATTATCCATGCTTTTAGGTATCAATGGAAGCGGGGAGGTGCATTGATACTGTTCATAGAAAACTAATGCAAGTCTTCAGACAAACCCAGAAAAAAAAACTAGAAATTGATGTATTTGGTTTTACAATCAGGGGATACTGTAACTTTTCTGAAGAAATATTTAAATGCAAGACAAATGCCCTTATTAAAAATCCATGACAGAGCCTTATCAGTTGCTACGCATTAACAGTATATTCAGACATTAGCTGGCAAATATCTTAACTTTTTTATATATAACTGGGAATTCCTGCACTGGAAAGTGGCTGAACGTAATTGGTGTAATTCTGTGGTGTCTTGATAAGTGTACAACATGCCTAATGTGATTTTGTACCCAATGCAACATTTATCTTACAACTTTCTAGGGATTTTCTAGGGTTTTTTTTTTAAAGACAATTTCAGCCACTGTATGCAAAAAGGTGAAAGCACCCCTATCTACAACTATCATTAGAATTAATGCAGCCTGATACTACTTTTAATTGCCATGGTTCAATGCTATGTAATCATGCAAGCTGTAGTTTTACAAGGCCTCCAGCATTAATTCCACAGTGCAGAGACACCCAATAGCACGTTGCACTGATGGCTGAAACAGACTTTAGAAATGTTTCTGAAGTTCCAAAACCAGAATCGTCTTAAGCGCAGGCCTTAAGTGGGAACCACCATCTTCCCTTCCTCATACTTCTTTCTCTCTGATAGAATATAAGTGGTAAAACTTTTTCTTCCTGAATGGATGTAAATGAGGTTGTATTAAGTCTTATAGCAGAATTTTGCCCCTTCATTATAAGTTTTTGAGAACACATCCTGTATACTTCGCTTCCTGGTTCCTGTCTATAATGAGTGGACTATAGCATGGCGAGCTAGTAGATCATGCTAATATGGAGGACACGTTTGACGTGACATGGATCGTGTCTAAATAAACCTAGCCTACTTTTTAAATAAATACACTTGTGCCCTTTAGTGATAGCTATTGAAATTGTAGTGCCTTAGATCAGTGCATGCCCTGGTAAGCTCAAGGTTGGACTTCTACAATGTGCTTTACACTGGGTGATCTCTGTACCAAGACTGGAAATTCCAACATGGCAACCAAGTTAGTTGGCACAGAGTTTCTCAAATTGTGATCCTCCAAATGTTTAGGACTTCAACTCCCACAATTCCTAATAGCTGGCTGGGATTTCTGGGAGCTGAAGTCCAAAACACATGGAGGAGCACAGTTTGAGAAACCCTGGGTTAGAAGACAATCTAGGAGTGAGTGTATTATGACTACATTATGGTCCCTCCACTGGTTGTCAATTAGTTTCCAGGTAAAGTACAAAGTGTTGATTTTGACCTTTAAAGCCCTACATGGTTTGGGTCCAGGTTACCTACAGGGTTGCCTTCTTCTGTACAATCCACCCGATAGGACACTTAGGTCCTCTGGATGACACTTACTCCAACCAGCCAAAACCTGACAGGCAACTGTCACCCAGAGGACCTTTTCATCAGTTGCCCCAAGACCATGGAATGGCTTGTTTTAAGAATTTCAACAGGTAGATCAGCTGTCAGAATTCAACCTATATCTTCTAGCAGGCCTACACAGTCAATTTTAAACTGTGAATTTTAACTTTACAATATATTAGTACTGGTGCTTTAATCTTTGTCCTATGCATTTTACTATATGTATTTAATAGGTATTGTGTTTTTATCTGCTTGTGTTTTAATTATGTCATAACCCAAGCTGAGATGAGGCGGGTAACAAATTATTATTATTATTATTATTATTATTATTATTATTAGGAATTTGGAAGAAATCACAAGGCCCTCTGCCACGCAATGGTCAAGAAATCGTACAGACAAAATCCTTTCGAAAAGGAGGGTTTCCCTCTCATTGTGGAACCATGCTCCCTGAATTATTGTTATTATTCAATCAGAGCTGTAATTTTGCCATTCATCTAGGACAGGCACGGGCAAACTTCGGTCCTCCAGGTGTTCTGGACTCACAATTCAAAATATGACAACCATAGGATGAAAGGTTGAATTCACTGTATTGTCGAAGGCTTTAATGGCCAGAATCAATGGATTGTTGTAGGTTTCCTGAAAAACCTACAACTCGTTGAATTCATCGTTGAACATCTTTGGCATTTATTGGCCACAACTCTCAATGCTACTGTTCTTTTACTTTTTTTCTTAACAATATCAAATATACATATTGTTGGCTCTGCTGAATGTGAAGTATTTACCCATTTATATTTACATGGCTGCTTGGGCCAATAATTTAAAGTTCTAGATAAAGACAATTAATACTTCCTATGCATGTTTTAATGTTATTTTTACCTGAACACATGCACTGGCGTTGTCTTTCAAATCACTGCAACATGACAATTCAGTTCCTACCCAAGACACCAATTACAACAGGATCCCTCCAGTTCCAATAAATGTAAGCCAGAATTGCAAATGGTCTCTGCTATGTCAGGGCTATGCTCCAAAACATCCTGGAGATAAGATGCTCAACTCCTACAACTTCCACTACTGGCTTGTTAGGAATTTAAGAAACAATGAATGTTTGGTGTTTCTGTAAACTGAGGTCTATGTTGATGTTTTTATGTTGATATAAGCTATTTGATAGGCTATGTCACCATTTAATTTGAGGCTATAAGTTTTAATTTGATATTGGCTTATTTATTTATTTATTTATTTATTTACTGTATTTGTATACCACCTTTCTCAGCCTTTCGGCGACTCAAGGCAGTTTACAGGCAACAAATAATATACATAATATCAAAATGCACATAAAAAACATTAAATACAATATAAAACCACAACAAAAATAATAAGCAACAGCCAGGAGACAGGCGTTTTTAAAGTATCTTCCTCAGCCCCCTTTCTCTTCTTAGCTGGCTTTGGTCGGGTTATTACTGCATTTGTATCTGTATTTATGATTGTGTCATAGCATTGAATGTTTTCCTTTTGTCTGTTGTTGTTGTTATTGTTATTGTTATTATTATTATTATTATTGAAGACCTATCTCTCTGGCAAGCCTACGTGATCAATTCTGAACTGTGAATTTTAACTTTACAATGTATTAGTCTTGGTGCTTTAATCTTTGTCCTGTGCATTTTTAAGATATGTATTTTAATGGTATTATGTTTTTATCTGTGTGTCTTAATTATGTTGCTAGGCTGTTAGAAATTGCAGGAGTTGAGGTCCAAAACACCTAGAGGGCTGAAGTTTGCCCAGCCTGATGTAGAACCTGGGAAACTGTAGCTGATTGGTTTATTGTGCTGGTGGCCTTCTTTTGGAATTGGTTTTCCTGTAGCTTACTTTAAAGTATGAATCTTTCAGCACATTTATCGCACAGGGTGTGTGTGTGTATAGCTTTGATTTAGATCAGGCATGGGCAAATTTGAGCCCTCTGGGTGTTTTGGACTTCAACTCCCACAATTCTTAACAGCCCCAGGCCCTTTCCTTCCTGACTGTGAGAGTTGTCCAACAGTGGAGATCTCTGCCTCAGAGTGTGTTGGAAGCTTCTTCCTTGGAGGCTTTTAAACAGAGGCTGGATGGCCATCTGCCAGATATACTATGATTGTGCTTTTCCTTCATGGCAGGGAGTTGGACTAGATGGCCCACGAGATCTCTTCCAACTCTATTATTCTACGAGGATTGAATGAAAAGTAATGCCTCCACCTTTGTAACTCAACAGATGGAAGTACTGGTATGCGGCAGGTACTGGCTTGTTCAGTAGACTCTCCTGTACAGTTCCATTTTGGCAGGAAGCCTTAGCATTAAATGGGTGTATTGTTAAAGTGAGAAGTATGGAACCCTGCACAGACATCGGTCAATGCGATTTAAGCAATGTGCAGACATTGAATTCCTGAAAGCAGAAGGTGTCACCCCAAAGGAGATTGATCAGAAATGCAAGCTGTTTATGGTGATTGGGTTGATGCAAGTACTGTGCGTCGTAGGGTGAGTAAGCTTAAAAATTTTGAGGTGACACCTTCTGCTGTCAAGAATTCAATGACTGCATGTTGCTTAAGTCCCATTGACTGACCGTCTGTGCAAGGTTCCATACTTTGCACTTTAACAACACGACCATTCAATGCTAAGGCTTCCCGCCAAAATGGAACTGTACAGGAGAGTCTACTGAACAAGCCAGTACCTGCCACATACCAGTACTGCCATCTGTTGAGGAGTTACAAAGGTGGAGGCATTACTTTTCATTCAACCCTCGTATGATTCTATGACTGAGCTATCATACTTTTGGCTGGAACTCTCTGCCTCAGAGTGTGTTGGAAGCTTCTTCCTTGGAGGCTTTTAAACAGAAGCTRGATGACCATCTGTCAGGGGTACTTTGATTGTGCTTTTCCTGCATGGCAGGGGGTTGGACTAGATGGCCTACAAGAGATCTCCCAACTCTATTATTCTATGATTCTATGACCCAATGGGAAAGATCTGTAACATCTGTTGTTGTTGTGTCCTTAAGTTTGCTCAGGCCTAGCCTAACCAAAGCAGAATTGAGAGGCACCATGTCTTCCCTATTCTAGATACTTCACTCCTTTTGATGCAGACCAAAAGCACATTGGCCTTTTTACTTGCAAGCTTATGCGGCTAAGGGGGGGAAAGAAGAAGCCTGAGGCTGTTAGGAATTGTGGGAATTGAAGTCCAAAACACCTGGAGGGCTGAAATTTGTCCAGGCCTGATCTAGAACCTGAGAAACTGTAGGTGACTAGTTTATTGTGCTGGTGGCCTTCTTTTGGGATTGGTTTTTCTGTAGGTTAGTTTGAAATATGAATCCTTCAGGGTGGTTATTGCTTATGCTGTGGATGTGTGTGTGTGTGTGTGTGTGTGTGTGTGTGTGTAGAGGGAGAGAGAGAGGGAGAGAGAGAGGGAGAGAGGGAGGTTTGCCCAGGCCTGGTCTAACCAAAGCCAAATTGAGAGGAACTATGACTTTCCTATTCCAGATACTTCACTCCTTTTGATGCATACCAAAAGCACATTGGCCTTTTTACCTGCAAGCTTATGCAGCTAAGGGCCATGAGCCAACAATGTGATGTGGCAGCAAAAAACGCCAATGGGATTTTGGCCTGCATCAATAGGAGCATAGTGTCTAGATCTAGGGAAGTCACGCTATCCCTCTATTCCGCCTTGGTGAGACCACACCTGGAATACTGTGTCCAATTCTGGGCACCACAATTGAAGAGAGATGTTGACAAGCTGAAATGTGTCCAGAAGAGAGTGACTAAAATAATCAAGGGTCTGGAGAACAAGCCCTATGAAGAGCGGCTTAAGGAGCTGGGCATGTTTAGCCTGAAGAAGAGAAGGCTGAGAGGAGATATGATAGCCATGTATAAATATGTGAGAGGAAGTCACAGGGAGGAGGGAGCAAGCTTGTTTTCTGCTTCCCTGGAGACTAGGACGTGGAACAATGGCTTCAAACTACAAGAAAGACATGAAGAAGAACTTCCTGACTGTGAGAGCCATTCAGCAGTGGAACTCTCTGCCCCGGAGTGTGGTAGAAGCTCCTTCTTTGGAAGCTTTTAAACAGAGGCTGGATGGCCATCTGTCAGGGGTGATTTGAATGCAATATTCCTGCTTCTTGGCAGGGGGTTGGACTGGATGGCCCATGAGGTCTCTTCCAACTCTGACTAGCTGACTAGTTTATTGTGTGGTGACCTGTTTTTTTTACGAACAAGCGTTTGGCTAAATAGTGCAATGAAATACAGTAAGATGGTACAACTGAACATAGGAATTGGTATAAGGATTATGTTTACGGATTCTGATTTGTTTGCTGAGGCGCACGTTTATGATAATGATTGTTTTTGACTTGATATGTTTTGTATAATGTGCTTTTAATTGCCTTTTTGATGTTGTTGTGTTAATCTTTACTATGTAAACCGCCTTGAGTCGCCATTTCAGCTGAGAAAGGCGGTATAGAAGCAGGCCCGTAGCCAGGATTTCGTTTGGGGGGGGGGGGGCTGATTTTTTCAGGATTTCGTTTTGGGGGGGGGGTGAGTTTCGGGGGGGGGCTGAGTCTGAGTGAAAGAGGGTCTAGCCTAGCAAACCTTTTGTATCATTACCCCAATACCCCCATGCATATGGGATATATTGAGTATGGTGATCAGATCATGATATGAATAAACATAACAGTTTAAATAATGCACCATAAGGCCTTTTCGCAAACCACCATGAAAATTTCGGGGGGGGGGGGGGGGGCTGAAGCCCCCCCCGCCCCCCCCGCCAAAGGAGAAAATAAAAATAAATACAAAAATAAATAAAATAAACTCTATGATTTTATAAAAGGCGGGGAAAAGGAAAGGGCCTGAGGCTGTGGGGAATGATAGGAATTGAAGTCCAAAACAACCCGCTCTAAGTTTGCCAGGTTGATCTGGAACCTGCGGAAAACAACTAATAGTGATAGTTATTGTGTGGGGCCTTGTTTTTCGTAATTGTTTTAAAGTATGAATCTTTTAGTGCAGTTATCACACAGGGGGTGTGTGTGTGTATATGTGGCAGAGAAGGGTATACACCAGTGATGGGCCAACTTGGGCCCTTCAGGTGTTTGGACTTCAACTCCCACATTCCTAAGCAGCCTCAGGCCCCTTCCTTTTCCCCCTCAGCCGCTTAAGCGGCTGAGAGGGAAAAGAAAAGGGCCTGAGGCAGCTAGGAATGGTGGGAGTTGAAGCCCAAAACACCTGGAGGGCCCAAGTTGGCCCAGCCCCTTTCCCTTCCTTCCTTCCTTCCTTGCTTCCCTTCCCTGTGCCCGCACTGACCCCATCTCTCTCTGCCGCCGCCGCTCCTCTAGCCTCCTTCTTTTCTTCTCCCTATAATAATAAGGGGAGAGAGAATAAAAGAAGGGTCAGTCCCCGGCTCCCGCTCCGGCCAACGCAGGCGGAGGGGGAGCCCCACCCGCACCCCGCCCGCAACCGAGAGCGACGACAACGGCGGCAGCAGCGCCCGCCAAGCGACTTACGGCTCCTCGCTCTCCGCCATCATCGCCACCGCCGCTCTCCAAGGACCTCTCCCGTCCCACAATGCACCGCGCGGCAGGAAGCCCGTCGCCGGCCGGGGGCGCCATTCTGAGGGTGTAGAGGCGGAGCCTGGAAGGACTGAGACTGCAACTGCCACTTCCGGGCTCCCATCGCCACCCTTAGAAAGGGCTTCCACATCAAGAGGCTCCACCTGACATCCGCCAGGAAGTGGCAGCCAATAGTGAAAGGACCAAGGCAGAGACATCTCCAGCTCATACCCTGTTTGGGTATCAGCCAGCACGTCAACGACTTAAATCCAGACATAGTTTTCTAAGATCTACAGAGACACTCGCTGGAACACCTCAGCAAGCGAGAGTCCAAAAGTGGCAGGCTCAAACCCAGAACCTCAACCAATGGCTGATACCAAATGAGGGACTCCCCCCTGGGCACACAGAGGACTGGGCGACTTGGAAGGCGCTGAACAGACTGCGCTCTGGCACCACGAGATGCAGAGCCAACCTTAGAAATGGGGCTACAAAGTGGAGACCACGACATGCGAGTGTGGGGAGGAGCAAACCACTGACCACCTGCTGCAATGCAACCTGAGCCCTGCCACATGCACCATGGAGGACCTTCTTGCGGCAACACCAGAGGCACTCCAAGTGGCCAGATACTGGTCAAAGGACATTTAATCAACTACCAAACTCACACATTTTGTATTCTCTCTGTTTGTTTGCTTTGTTCTGTTAGAAATGTAATATATTTGACTGGCTGCCCTGACACGAGAAATAAATAAATAAATTGTGTGAATTTAGACCAGGGGTCCTCAAACTTTTTAAACAGAGGGCCAGGTCACAGTCCCTCAAACTGTTGGAAAGCCAGATTATAATTTGAAAAAAAAACATGAATGAATTCCTATGCACACTGCACATATCTTATTTGTAGTGCAAAAACACTTTAAAGAATACAGTAATTAAAATGAAAAACAATTTTAACAAATATAAAGTTATTAGTATTTCAATGGGGAGTGTGGACCTGCTTTTAGCTGATGAGATAGGGTTGTTGTTGTGTGCTTTCAAGTCATTTCAGACTTAGGTTGACCCTGTGTGAGGGCCGAGTAAATGACCTTGGGGGGCCGCATCCGGCCCCCGGGCCTTAGTTTGAGGACCCCTGTGATAGACAGTGTCCTCCTTTGTATAATTAATTGGAAAAATAGAGGGAGCAAAATGTGGGGCCCCCCCCCCCCCGTGACAGACTTTGTATTTCTAGGTGCAAAGATAACTGCAGATGCAGACTGCAGCCAGGAAATCAGAAGACGCTTACTTCTTGGGAGGAGAGCAATGACCAATCTTGATAAAATAGTGAAGAGTAGAGACATCACACTGGCAACAAAGATCCGCATAGTTAAAGCAATGGTATTCCCCATAGTCACCTACAGATGTGAGAGCTGGACCATAGGGAAGGCTGAGCAAAGAAGATAGATGCTTTTGAACTGTGGTGTTGGAGGAAAGTTCTGAGAGTGCCTTGGACAGCCAGAAGATCAAACCAGTCCATCCTCCAGGAAATAAAGCCTGGCTGCTCATTGGAAGGAAGGATAGTAGAGGCCAGGATGAAGTACTTTGGCCACATCATGAGAAGAAAGGAAAGCTTTGAGAAGACAATTATGCTGGGGGAAAGGGAAGGCAAAAGGAAGAGGGGCCGACCAAGGGCAAGATGGATGGCATCCTTGAAGTGACTGGACTGACCTTGAAGGAGCTGGGGGTGATGACGGCCGACAGGGAGCTCTGGCGTGGGCTGGTCCATGAGGTCACGAAGAGTCGGAGACGACTGAACGAATGAACAACAACAACAAGAGAAGGTAAATGACCTTGGAGGCAATATCTGGCCCTCGGGCCTTAGTTTGAGGACCCCTGCCTTACGGGCTACGGAAGAGTTTTCCTCTTGGGGCCCAGATAATGTGGGATTTTTTTCAGCTGTGTAGAAGAGGCCTGAGTTTGCTGCTAATAATGAGTTCTCCTTAAGGTTGCAGTAAGTTAAACATGACTTAAGGGCACAAAAACAACAGATGTTACAGTTCTTTCCCACTGAGTCATAGAATCATAGAATAATAGATTTGGAAGAAGCCTCGTGGGCCATCTAGTCCAATCCCCTGCCATGCAGGAAAAGCACAATCAAAGCACCCCGACAGATGGCCATCCAGCCTTCGCTTAAAAGCCTCCAAAGAATGAGCCTCCACCAGACTCCGAGCAGAGTTCCATTTTCTGAACAGCATTCACGGTCAGGTAATTCTTAATGTTCAGGTGGAATCTCCTCTTCTGTAATTTGAACCTATTACTCTAGAGCCCTAGGGCCCTTCCGCACAGCCCTATATCCAAGAATACCAAGGAAGAAAACCCCACAATATCTGCTTTGTACAGGGTTATCTGAGTCCACACTGCCATATATTCCAATTCAAAACAGATAATGTGGGATTTTATTCAGCTGTGCAGAAGGGGCCTGAGTTTGCTGCTCAAGTTTGTCCCAAGCCCCTTCCACACAGCTGTATAAAATCCCACATCTGCTTTGAACTGGATTATATGGAGTCAGGGCCCTTCCAGACAGGCCCTATATCCTAGGATCTGATTCCAGGTTTTCAGTTTATCCCTGATTATCTGGCAGTGCAGACACATATAATCCAGTTTGAAGCAGAAAACCTGGGATCTGATACTGGGATATTGGGCCTGTCTAGAAGGGCCCTGAGTCCACCCTGCTATATATCCCAGAATATCAAGGCCAAAAATCCCACAATATCTCATTTGAACTGGGTTATCTGAGGGCCCTCCCACACAGCCCTCTATACCAGAATATCAAGGCTGAAAATCCCACAATATATGCTTTGAACTGGGTTATCTGAGTCCACACTCAGATGATGTGGGATTTTCTGCCTTGATATTCTGGGATAGAGGGCTGTGTGGAAGGGCCCGAGACCACACTCAGATAATGCCATCTAGTCCAACCCCCTGCCATGCAGGAAAAGTACAATCAAGGCCCATCCAGCTTTCGCTTAAAAGCCTCCAAAGAAGGCTTTAAAGCCTTTTCTGCCTTGATATTCTGGGATAGAGGGCTGTGTGGCAGGGCACTGAGTCCACACTGCCATATAGTCCAGTTCAAAGCAAAAAATGTGGGCTTTTATTCAGCTGTGTGGAAGGAGACTTACTAAAAAAAAGGAACAGTGAAAGATAGAGAAAAATACAAAAATATCCCACCCTCCCGCTTGGTTTCTTTCCGGCTTATCTGTCAGGCAACCATGCAACCAACTTTATTTTTCGGTTTCCCCCGCCCGCCTCCGCTGCTTCTTATAAGAAGCCCGCCCCCTTTCTGACGTCACGGCTCAGCTGCTGCTGCTGTAGAGGGAAGGGAAGGGAAGCGGAGTGGCCTTCGTGATGGACGTGCAAGTGGCGCCGCTCCGCTCCTGGGACGACTTCATCCCGGGCCACGACCGCTTCGCCGTCCCGGACTTCAAAGACATCTCCAAATGGAACAACCGCGTGGTCAGCAATTTCCTCTATTACCAGACCAACTACCTGGTGGTGGCCGCCACCGTGATCTCCATTGTGGGGTAAGGAGGAGGCCTGCTCGCCTTGTCAAGCCCTGGCGCATCCTCGCTGGGGGTTCAATGCAGTTTGGTACCGCTTTAACTGCGGTGGAATCCTGGGGTTTGTAGTTTGCTGAGGCACCAGCTCTTGGGCAGAGAAGGCCCCGCCATTGCATCTCATTGAGCCATGGCTGCATTCATTCTGCCCTGATTCACTCCCATTCATTCCTGGACCTGTGACTCACACTGCTGTTGAGGCCTATGTCTTGAATAGGCTATTTGGCTTTCCACAGACATGTGTCTTTGCTTGCTTATGACGACCCCATAGATTTCGTAGGGTTTTCTTATGCAAGGAAGATTTGGGTGGTTCTGGGCTTCCTTTCCTTTTGAAATAGAGCCTACAGCAGCTGATACTTGGTGGTGGTCTCCCCTTAAAGTACTAACCAGGTCTGGCCCCACTAATAATAATAATAATAATCATCATCATCATCTATATCAATAAAAATGTAATGCTCGTTTGTGGGATTAACAGAACTCAAAAACCACTGGACGAATTGACACCAAATTTGGACACAAGACACCTCTCAGGCCAACGAGTGACCATCACTCATAAAAACACTGAAAAACACAGCAGAAAAGACTTAAAAAGACAAAAACCAAAAAATACATTACAACGCATGCGCACAACCACATTTATACGCAAACACACATATACTCAAATATATACACACACATATGCACACACAAAACACATATACACAGACTGGGCCACGGCTAGTCTATATAAATAAAAATGTAATGTTCGTTTGTGGGATTAACATAACCTAAAAACAATTGGACAAATTGCCACCAAATTTGGCCACAAGACATTTACTAACCCAAGGAGTGACTATCACTCAAAAAATTGATTTTGTCATTTCGGAGTTGTAGTTGTCGGGATTTATAGTTCATCTACAATCCAAGAGCATTCTGAACTCCACCAATGATGGAATTGAACCAAACGTGGCACACAATACTCCCATGACCAACAGAAACACTAGAAGGGTTTAGTGGGCATTGACCTTGAATTTGGGAGTTGTAGTTCACCTACATCCAGAGAGCACTGTGGACTCAAACAATGATGGATCTGGACCAAACTTGGCACAAATATTCCATATGCCCAAATATGAACACAGATAGAGTTTGGGGGAAATAGACCTTGACATTTGGGAGTTCTAGTTACTGGGATTTATAGTTCATCTACAAACAATAAGCATTCTGAACCCCACAAATTTCCCACACAGAACTTCCATGACCAACAGAAGATACTTAAAGCCATCCAGTCCAATTCCCTTCACGAGGGCAAGAAAACGTAATCAAAGCCCTCCTGACAAAGAGCCATCCAGTCATAGATATAGGTAGATATATATGATTCACAACAGAGGGAGAGATATAGTATCATACATTTGAAATGGACCCCTAAAGAAGGACTATAATATGTTGCATGTTCCAGAGTAGGCAAGCCAGACACTCTCCACATCAACACTGGCAAAGAAACAGCAAGAAATACTGCTTATCCACAAGCATAAAAAATCATAGAATCATAGAGTTGGAAGAGACCTCATGGGCCATGCAGTCCAACCCCCTGCCAAGGAGCAGGAATATTGCATTCAAAGCACCCCTAATTATCCAGCCTCTGTTCAAAAGCTTCCAAAGAGGGAGCCTCCACCACACTCTGAGCCAGAGAGTTCCACTGCTGAACGGTCTCACAGTCAGGAGTTCTTCCTAATGTTTAGATGGAATCTCCTTACTTGTAGTTTGAAGCCATTGTTCCGCGTCCTAGTCTCCAAGGCAGCAGAAAACAAGCTTGCTCCCTCCTCCCCATGACTTCCCTTTCACATATTTATATATGGCTATCATATCTCCTCTCAGCCTTCTCTTCTTCAGGCTAAACATGCCCAGCTCCTTAAGCCGCTTCTCATAGGGCTTGTTCTCCAGACCTCTGGCTGAGCAGCTTAAAAGCCCCTCCCTAAACTACAAGCCTTAGAATTCTGCAGGAGGCAGCAACTGGATTTAAAGTGGATCTATGCTATAGTGCAGTGGTTCCCAACCTTTGGGCCTCCAGGTATTTTGGACTTCAACTCCCAGAAATCCCAGCCATCTTACCAGCTGTTAGGAATTGTGGGAACTGAAGTCTAAAACACCTGGAGGTCCAAAGGTTTAAAGTATTTAGGCCTTAATAGGTCCTCATCACACCTGAGCATTTATCAAACTTTAAATGCTGCGGCTGCCTCCTGCAGAATTCTGGGGTTTGTAGTTTAGGGAGGGGGCTTTTAAACTGCTCATCCAGAGAAGCCCTGGGCCTCCCTAAACTACAAGCCCCAGAATTCTACAGGAGGCAGTCACAGCATTTAAAGTGGATTAAAGTGGATAAATGCTCATGTATGATGAGGCCATTAATAGCCAGAATGTTCCTCATGGCACCAAAAAAATGTTGTTGTTTAAATGTTGTTGTTAAAAATGACAGCCACAAAAACAGTTTCTGGAGTATGACAAGCACTTTCATAGCAAGTACCACACAATTAAACAGGAAATAACACTTTCAAACCAGGAACAGAAAATGTTTCAAGTTTGGTATACAGTGTTGCATAAAGTTTTTGCCACTCAGCCCTCCATATTCACAGATTCAATCTTCCATGGTTTGAAAATGTTTTTTTTAAGAATTCAGAGAACAAACTGTGATTTCCACCCCCTTTTTGTATTAAGGAATAATATTTTACTGTGCCATTGTATATAACAGGACTTCAGTATCCACAGATTTTGGTATCCAAGTATTTGTCATGCCTCAAAGTTATGGGATCATGGAAACTGGAATCTCGCAAGGTCTTTAGCTTTCTCTGCCATTGCTCTAAAAGTAGTGCCAAACTGCATTGATTCTACAGTGTAGATGTGCCCCATTACCTTTAATGTGTAGTCAAAGCACCATAATTGCATAGTATGAAGGGCAGTTCACTTTTTTCTATTGGGAAAATCAAGGGCCATCAAAAGGCCTTGAGTGCCACCTGCAATCTCAAGGCCCACTCCTGTGTGCAAACACTTATTTGGGAGTCAAAGCAGTTGAATGAGGCATCTTCTTTTTCAAATAGACAAGGTCCTATTAATCATAATTTTACAGCTTCTGTGCATGTTGATAAGAGGTTAAAGTTGAAAAGATTGTCACTTTTTATTTGTTTTAGACTCTTGTTTACTAAAAGGATATATGATGTTAGATAGCTGGTTGCAAACAATCTCTCTATGTGGCTTATAAGCACTTTGTCCTTAGCTTGTTTCTTGACATCACTGGGCTTGTTCCCAACCAAATATTTACTCAGAGAGTATTACCTCCCAACACCCAAAGCATACTGACATTCTTTTTCAGACGTAACTGCCAGAAAGTTTATGTCTTTTTTCAGTTGAATACACTTCTGCAAAATGGATTTGAAATTAATCTTAGATGTGGCACATACATTCCTTGAGATGAAGGCCTTCACTTTCCGGATTTTTTTTTCCGAAAAAAGTAGCCATTTTTGTAGGGTTACCTATGAAGAAGATATAGTATGTGGCTTTAAATGAAATGGTTTCTAAGCTACCTTTTTGGTTCATTTAAAATATAGCTGTTTGGCACATTTGCTCATAGGCTCACTATTGAAGAGCCCATGCATCTTTTTTGTTCAGACTGACTATTTAGTTTGTGGAAGGTAAGATTGGATGGTAAACTACAAGGCTAATGCAGGCATGAGCAAACTTGGGCCCTCCCGATGTTTTGGACTTCAGCTCCCACAATTCCTAACAGCCTACTGGCTGTTAGGAATTGTGGGAGGTGAAGTCCAAAACATCGGGGGGGGGGGGGGGGGAAGTCGGCCCATGCCTGCGCTAGCAAATGAAATGTGAAGTCATTTTGAACGAACTTCTGATTTGTTCAAGTGTTTCAGATTTGTGGGTAAAAATGTTGCAAGTCAAACTCACACAAACCTTTCACCATGTTAGGTCATTTTAATCTTTAAAGGGCTTAGATGAAAATTTCTCAGTATGAAAGTATTTTGTGAATTTTTGAAAAGTCGTGATAAACTTCCCCATACCCCAAAATCCTATGTAAAAATGTTGCAAGTCAAACTCAAACTCAGAGTGCTGGTTTTGAAATTCCAGCTGCCCCTTAAAAAAACATGAGTCATGATTCATATGATATTTAATCTTAAGTATCTCCTTCATGGCTTCTTTGGAAGACATGAATGAAAAGCTTCCCAGCTGCTTTTACGATTTTAACTTCGGAAATAATCCAGAACCAATGCCATGTTGGCACTTCAGAATTATGATGTCCAAATGCTCTTAATTTGGGGTCAATGCAACACTTAAAATGACATCTAATTTTAGGATTTAAGTATGTCCCTTTGCAACATGTTCACAAGAGATGAAATCTCCATTCTTCAATGAAAATGAATGCCACCTGTGAATATCCTTGGGCTACATGATTTGAGTATATAACTCTAGCCCTAGTAAAGGTAAAGGTTTTTCACTGACATTAAGTCCAATCGTGTCCGACTCTGGGGGCTGGTGCTCATCTCCTTTTCTAAGCCAAAGAGCCGGCGTTGTCCGTAGACACCTCCAAAGTCATGGGTTTTGATATAAGGGATGGAGGTGATTTTGTGGTCACAAACAACTCTTCATATTTTTTTCTTGGCACCATTTATTTGTGGTTTATTGAAAAGCCATGTTAGCAATGTGTTCATGTGTTAGTCTTTTCCTTGAGCATAAGGGATTGTCTAGTTCCTATTGAAAAATAACTCAAATTACATAGTTCTATTTATTCCTTCTAACATGATGGGTAGCTAAGACAAGTATAGTGATGTAGATATATGCATGATGCATATATATATGCATGAAAAAAATTCCTTTCCGCATCTGTTTCTTAATGTGTGGCTTTCAAAAAATGAGCTTTAGGAGTGTGCATCTTTACTGAAATGCCATGCCCATTTCTGTAAATTGCAGATTATAAGCTCCAGGCCCAG